TAGTTTTCTCAGGATTCGAAAAAAATGAATGCATTTAAAAAACATTTTTCCCGAAATTTTGCTCCTACGCTGTTAACGATAAACTAGCATGACCCACCTCTACTTCTCGTTACTCGATCTTTTGACCAGACGACAATCTAGACTAGACGTTGCCAAATAAATTAGTGTATGAATATTTTTTAATTTGGCGTTATTGTATGCATGTTTAATTGTTTATTATTTCATATTGGGAGATTATTTTGATATTTAGATTTTTAGTTCGGAAATCGTACTTAAAATACGAAACATTAATAAATTTTATTTATATAAAACGATTTCCGAAAAAATGTTATATTACAATTATTGTAAAGAAAACTTGTGGCATATTCCCAATAAAAAAAACAGTAACCTGCCATTTATATCAATTTCGCCCAAATTTGATTGTCTTGAGCATTTTATCTTCTTGATAGAACATTGTTCAAATGCAAAAAAAGACAACAGGTCAAATAAAACCAATAAGTTTGGCAACGTTGAATTTCCCCTTTTTTAATATTTCCATTCGGCGATATAAAGGGCGTACCTAATATAATTCTCTCTTTTTAAACAGCTGTTTCTCACTCCATCTCACGTAAGGTCCATACCGACCATAAAATTTTTCCTACACATATATCCATCCTCGTGCATCGTTGAGATCAATACAACCGCTCTATTTGTTTTCGGTACATGGGAAATTAATGTTACATTTTTTTGGAATCCAAATAACGAAGATTTAACAGGTATATTTTTATGAGGTAAAAACTCTTGCGGTATTTACCGTTTATTTTTTTTCATGGTCCCAATCATGGTATTTTTCTCTTCCAATAATTCCTTCGCTAGCGGATAACTTGAATACCAGTTATCACATGTCAAGTTCCGATTAGTACCTTTTACTTCGTTCAACAAACGGTGCACAATTGCACTAGATGTATTTGGCATGCTGTAGGGGCCTTCGGGCTGCTTACCACAATAAACTTCAAAGTTTGACACATAAAATGTTTTTGCATCACATAATATAAAAAGTTTCAGTCCATACTTCGCGGGTTTGTTGGGAAGATATTGAAGAAAACTACAACGCCCTCGGAAAGGTATCAACATTTCATCAATTGTTAAAAATTCACCCAGAGAGTAATTGTCTTTGCAATTCGTTACGAATGTATCTATGACCCATCTTATTGCAGCTAACTTATCTACCTTTTTTCTTTCATTTCTGGTACTTTTATCATCGAATCGAACCACTGCGAGTAAAAATAAGAACCTGTTTTTGCTCATACATGCCCGAAAAACTTCAGAGCCGGTGCCATCTGTTGTCCAGAGTTCCAAAAAGTGGGTATGATTTTGCTTCTGGTATCCAGATAACAAAAGCAAACCTATAAATGCATGCATTTCTACTTTTGTTACGTCTTTTGCATCACGTTCTCTCATAAACTGTGGTTTAATATTCGTAATGTGTCGATTCGTGCATTTAGTAATGTACTCTATCATTTCATCTCTGAATATCCTCATAAAAGCATCTACTTCGTTTTGCATATCCCTTGCTTTTTGTTTCACGCCAGGAAAGATTTTTAGCCCTGACGTTACTAAATTTGCTCTTGAGTGGATTTTTATTCCATCTAGTCAGTTTATCTTTGGCAATAAAGTAACTGCTAGAATTAACATGTTCTAAATCGTCATGGGAGTCGTTACTTTCGATTTCTGATTCTGAGTCATGTTCAGTCTCCTCTACGTACTCTTCAGAAGAAATATCAGCATCAGTCGCAAATATGCAGATACCTAGGTAAAAGTCAGACTAAAACAAAAAACGGATGGTATAACCAAGAATGTAGAGAAATAACAGGAAAAAAGTGCAAGCCAGAAATAAATGGCTAAGAACAGATAAAGAGGAAGACAGAGAAGAATATGAAAAATTAAGAAGGAATGCTAAGAAAGTGATAAGGTAAAATAAAAGAAGATGGGTAGACAAAAAAATTCAGGAAATAGAACAGGAAAGAACAAACAGAAATACGAAAAGTTTTTACAAAAAGATTAAGGAACAAAACAAAAAATACTATGGCAAAACAAACGGAATGAAAAATAGAGAGGGAATAGTGATAATAGAGAACCAAGAATACAAGCAAGTATGGAGAGATTACTACAGAGAGCTCTTGACGGAGAAAACAATAGAACAAGAAATGCATAACGAGGAGGAAACGGTGCACGAAGAAGAAGCAGATGAAGTAGACATCGAAATTTCAAAAGAACCAACATTAGAGGAATTGGATGAAGTAATAGAGAGATGCAAAAATGGAAAAGCCCCAGGTAAAGATGGAATTAATATGGAACTAATAAAATACGGGGGAAGGGAACTAAGATAAAAAATACTGGCACTATTGAAAAATATATGGAAATAAGAGAAAATGCCAGGGGACTGGGAGGTAGGGCAGATCATAACAGTACATAAAAAGGGAGACCAACAAAACTGTGAAAATTATAGAGGAATAACGTTACTAAATACAACATATAAAATATTGACCTCAATAATAAAAAAGAGGTTATCAAAGATCACAAAGAAGACATTAGGACAGTACCAATGTGGATTCACAGAAGGAAGATCTACAATAGATGCAATACACACAATAAAACAAATAATGGAAAAAGCAAACGAGTATAAATTAGAATTGGAAATGTTATTCATAGACTTCAAACAGGCATTTGATTCAATTAAAAGGAACGGATTAATGATAGCACTTAAAAAATTAAAAATTCCACATCAACTCAGAAAATTAATAGAAATGACAATGAGAACTACAAAAATAAGCATAAAGACACAAAAAAGAAAAGACAGAGGAATTCAGTAAAAATAAAGGGATGAAACAAAGAGATGCTTTATCAACAACGCTATTTAATCTAGCATTAGAATATGTACTGCGAAATATAAATAAAGGAAATCTCAGAACAAGAGGTGGTCAAATAATTGCATATGCAGACGATATTGCTATTATTGCAAAGAACAGAAAAATAATGAAAGAAATGCTTAAAGAAATAAGAGAGAAAGGGGAGGTAATGAGGCTAAGATTAAATCAAGAAAAGACAAAAATATTAAGATTAGGGAAAAAACCAATGAAAGTAAAAATCAAAATAGGAAGTTCTGAGTGCGAAGAAGTAGAATACTTCAAATACCTAGGAGTTATAATAAGTAAATCCGAAATAAAAGAAAAAATATTAGCAGCGAATAAAGCTTATTTTGCAAACAAAAGATTACTTAAAAGCAAAACACTGACAAAAAAAGTAAGATGAGCATTTAAAACACCATAATTAGACCAATATTATTATATGCAGGAGAAACAATGACGATGGTTAAAAAAGATGAAGAAGACTTAAGAATATCAGAGAGAAAGATATGAGAACTATACTAGGAACAATGAGAACAGAGCAAAATGAATATAGAAGCAGAACAAATGCAGAAATTAAGGAAGAACTTAAGAAGACATCGTAACTAAAATAAACCAATGCAGAGTTCGATGGTTAGGCCACATTTGGTGAGCAGGCGATGAGGCAGTGACATACGCAATGATAAAATGGAATCCAGGAGGAAGAAAGAGAAGGGGAAGACCGAGATCAAAGTGGCTGCAAGAAGTTGAAGAAGACCTAAAAAGGGCAGGAGTCAGAGAATGGAGAGGAAGAACTAGAGACAGGAAAAAATGGAGGGATATTGTAAAGAAGGTAAGATAAACAAAAAAGACTGATCCACTTAAGAAATAGGATCTAGAAAGCATTTGCGGTTTTAAACCCATACTGGGGTGTATATATATATATATATATATATATATATATATATATATATATCTCTATATATATATAAATATATATATATATATATATATATATATATATATATATATTTATATATATATACATATATATATATATATATACATATATATATATATATATATATATATATATATATACATATATACATATATATATATATATATATATATATACATATATATATATATATATATATATATATATATATATATATATATACATATATATATATATATATATATATATATATATATATATATATATATATATATATCATCTCATCTACAAAATCTAAGCTATCAAAATTTCATCACTAACGAGTTCAGTCATTGCAACTTCGAATTGAAAACGATAAGTTTCCCATGCTATTTGACCATCCAATGTGGGTGGTTTTAAACATTGACTATAATTATACCTATTATTTTATACTTATTGTGCCTGTTTCAACTATGAAACTATGATGAGACTGTTTGTTCAGATTTGATACTAATTACTGAAACAACTTAATCTAACATTAGATACGAAAGCTTGGGTACCAATATTTGTTTCTAAGTCAGCTATTTATCTTTGTAAATTAGATTTTAAATCGTTTTATTGTTGATCTATTTTATTTTCTAAATCTTCAAGAAATCTTTGGATTTCTAATTTTTGGTTTTATTCGTTGATGGGGTCATAGCGTCCTTATAAAGTTCTTTTATTATTTCTTCCTCTTGACGGAAAAGATCACGTTCAAGGCTTCTGAAGAGTCGCTTTGATGAGTATTACTAGGACGAAATACGTATAAGCTAATAAGCAGAAATACTGTAGGTAAAATCAAATCAAATCTCAACTGTCTTTCTTTAAAATTTATTTAATAAGCCCGAAAGATCATCATATTACCAATATCATATATTACCACATCAGTACCCATTTAATTTAATCGTAGTTTGATTAATGTAAATATAGCGATACGTGAATTTTGTCCAGTGGTTTATTTTTGTTTATTAACATGTGTTGTGAGACTACCGATTGTAATTCTATTAAAAAAATCAGATTAAAAACATATGGCAATAAATTATACAAACAAAAATCAATTTTCCCTTAATGGAAACATCAAATTAATCATCTTCGATATCATTTTTACAGTATCAATTATCTTGATTTGAGCCTCAAGCACATTCATTGATTGCAACATGCTCACTGACGATGATTCCGATTTGGACAATGTAAGTATGAATTTTTATGTTTTTTTAATAATTATAATTTATAATGACGACAAATTTTATGGTTTAAGATCATAATGTTTACTTTAATTTTTGCAATGGTACATGCAACCCAAATAATATAATTTTTCGCTCTTCTTTTATTTAAATTTATTATATCTTTTAACTTTTCTATAGCTACAGTTTTACTCATAGGAGAAGTACGTACAAATATATTGTTTTATTATTTGATCACAGCTCTTGCTTAATAACACACAGAACTGTCAGATTCTACATCAATTATCTTCTTCTTCTTCAGCCTTCATTTATTCATTGTTGGACATAGGCCTCCTCCAATTACTTCCACGCTTCCCTATCTTTTGCAATTCTCATCCACTGCTTTCCAGCTATAGCTGTTATATCGTCTATCCATCTGTTTTTGGGTCTTCCCACGCTTCTTTTTGTTTCTCGAGGTCTCCAGAATGTCACTTTATGAGACCATCTGTTGGTGACTTGTCTTGCTACATGTGCTACCCTTTGTAATCTCAATGTCGCTATTTTCCCATGATGTCGGTTACTTTAGTTCTTAAATGAATATAAGGTTGAATGTTCGAATAATTGAACTTTGATGGTATACAAGGCAAATATCGAACACAGTAATTAATTAAATTTTTAAAACTAATCATTAATGATTAGGTAAAGACTTTGTTTGGAACGTCAGCACAAGCAGCGTGAGCCCAATGAGAACAATAATTGCACCACACTCAAACTTCTCCAGCCTTGGAGTGGGAATAAAGATCGTTGCAATATATGCATGGAGAGTCTTCCAGATCATCATTTTCAGTGTCGTTAAACAAATTTTCTTCTTCACTGTCGTCTTAAGGTAACCTTTTACTGACGTGTGGTTTTCTCTTTGCTGGAGGATCTTTGGGCTTATTTTTCAATTTAATTTCCTCCATTACAGGAGTAGAGGGAGCAACAATTACCAGTGAAAACACAGGAGAACGGGAGGTTGAAATACGAATACTGGCGGGGAATAAATCATTCTTTGCCATTCAACATCTAATGAGGTCAAAGCTTCTCTCAAGGCCTGCCAAAATCCAAATGTACAAAACCATAATACGACCAGCAGTGACATATGGAAGTGAAACATGGACATTGAGAAAGAAAGAAATCAATAAGATATTAGTATGGGAACGCAAAATCCTGCGAATTATATATGGTCCTTGCAGGGACAGCGTGACAAATGAATGGAGGAGCAGATACAACAATGAAATAGAGACTCTCTTCGGGAAAGGAAACATCGTAAGATACATAAAAGCCAATAGATTAAGATGGGCAGGCCACGTGGTACGGAGTGATGACGACAGACTGATTAGCAATGTGTTTTGGGAAAGACCAGATGATAGAAGATCGACAGGAAGGCCTACAAAAAGGTGGAAAGACGCAGTCAGGGAAGACCTAGAGAATATGGTAGTAAGGCCATGGGAAATAATAACACAGGATCGGAATCAATGGAAGGCAATAGTAAACGCGGCAAAAACTCACGAAGAGTTGTAAAAGCCAATGATGATGATGATAGTAGTAGAGATTAGAACTAACGATGTTTGACGAGTCTTTGGTTTACGTTTTCCCTGTTCACCAATAAATTTACCTTTTAGAGCCGGAGAAAGTTCCTCTATAGAAACAGACAGAGTGGAAGTCGAGGTACGTTCTTTTTTGTCGGTGGATTATTCTGTAAAATACGTTTTGCAATAGCGTTTTGTAAAATATTAGATCCTGGAATTTGGTATGAATCATTATCGGCTTGTTGCATGGATGTATGTAGCTTGCACTTAACTTGTAGAATATTTGTTGCAGGAAGTAAAAAGGTATCATCTTGGGGCTGTTTAGATAGCCCAGCAGTGAAAATATTGTGTATAATTATACACGTATATGTTATAGTAGTTTATATAGCCTCGCATTTGAAATATCACCAAATGTCGTTGGCTGCTCAAGTTGCTCGTTGGGGATATTTTCCAGTGGTCTATTTGTAGTTTCCGTGGGTTCATACATATAATCGGGAAATACGTCCGGATTTAAAGGCCAAATACCAGCACTTTTGAATCCGTTACAACCATTTTGCACTGTAGCTACCTTGCAGTATGCTTCCTTTAACAATCCGAATATCTGTTATTGTGTAACAACTCGACCAGGATGTGCTTTTAACCACTTGGATATTTCTTGGCTAAAGTATGTTTTTAAGGATGCGAAAAAAGTAACATCAAGAGGCTGCATGCGATTGTCATCCATCTTGATTGTTGAACCACACCTAAAGTTCCAAGAGGAGCTTCGTCGACAAGTTTATATTTCATATTTTTCCTCTGAAATATCATCATCGGTGGGACAAACGTACCAATAGCATTAACGCAGCAAATAATAGTGGTGTTTATTCCGCGCTTTGAACTGGTTATAACGTCAACCTACTTTTCACCAGTAGTAGCCAAAATTTTCTGTGGTTTTTGTACAGTAGAAATGCCCGATTCTATATGGCTTGTAGTCTACAGACTCCAGAAGTTTTTTATATAACTGAATGAAAAAACTTTTTGACTTGAGGTCTATTAAAGGCCTAAGCCCGGGCTGCTGAAGTAGGTTCAGGTTTCCGTAAAGATATTTTTTTATTTCGTCTTAAAAATCCTTCCATCCATTATTGTCCACAGTCATTTAGACCAAAACTAACGATATGCAAAGACAAGGACGGAGAACTACTAACAGAGAAGCAAAAAATTATAATGAGATGGAAACAATATTTCGAAGAAAATCTAAATGCAGACAACGAAAATGATCAGAACGAGACAATATATTATACGGCGGAGTTGCATATCGAAAATCCGAGTTATGAAGAAGTAGCAAATGCCAGAGGAATGGACAGTTGGCCTCATACAGTCAATATATAAAAAAGTAGATAAAAGGGAATGCCAGAATTATAGGCCAATTACATTGCTAAATGTAATATACAAAATTCTTTCTGGTATAATCTACAATAGATTATTAGAATACTCCGAAAATATAATTGGTGATTATCAAAATGGATTCAGACCAAATAGAGCCACTACAGATAACATATTCATACTAAGAACGATACAAGAAAAAGCTTATGAATACGACATAGACCTATATAATATGTATATAGACTTTAAACAAGCTTTTGATAGTGTGAAAAGAGACAGAATGCTGGAAGACCTTTGTAATCTAAGTATACCTAAGAAATACATCAGCCTCATAAAAATGACGTTACAGGGTTCAAAAGCCGCAGTCAGAGTAGATGGAGAACTGACTCCCCTGTTTAACATCAACATGGGAGTAAGACAGGGAGATGCCCTATCAACCATGCTATTCAACCTAGTTCTTGAGGCAGTCATCAGAAAAAACAATATAACCGGCCATATAAACACCAAATCAGTACAAATTACTGCATATGCAGACGATGTAGCCATCATTAGTAGGAATAAGGAATAAGTAGCAATAACTGACAATGAAAATAATAACACAATAGACAACTATACTGTCGAACGAGTGGATGCCATTACATATCTCGGCACAGAAATCAATCAGAAGAACTCCATAAGTAGCGAAATTAATGCACGTATTTCCAGCGGGAATCGTACATACTATGCTAATAAAAGATTGATGACATCGAAATTATTAGACAAAAGAACTAAAATGACTATCTACAGAACACTGATTAGACCCGTAGTAACCTATGGATGTGAAACTTGGGTAATGACGAAAAAAGATGAAGCCCAACTCAGGACATTCGAGAGAAAAATACTGAGGAAAGTATATGGCCTGGTACAAGAGGAAGATGGCACATGGAGAATCAGGAGAAACGACGAGGTTAATGAGTTAAATGAAGGGTATGACATTGTAAGATTTGTGAAAAGTCAAAGACTGTCATGGCTGGGACATGTGCAGAGACAAAACGATGCAAAAACATCATGCATAGGAAGGCGAAAAAAAGGAAGGCCCAGAACGAGATGGTTGGATGACGTGGAAGACGACCTGAAAACAATGAACATAAGACAATGGAGAAGAAGGGCACAAGAGAGATCTGAATGGAAGGACATAGCCAGACAGGCAAAGACCCATCCAGGGTTATGATGTCAAAAGAAGAAGAAGAATTTATAGCAAAGTTGTTTTTCTCCGCAAACTGCAAATTTAGTTCTTGGACCGATGTGCGCGTCACCCCAAACAAACGAGATTCAAGTTATTTCAAGTGTTGCACTAATTGTCTTTCCACATCACAAAGAAAGGTAAGTTTCCAGCATCCAAGACCCTTCGAATTGGACTGCAAAGTTTTATTATTGCCCAATGCGTGCCTCCGCAGACTTGCTTGGGGAACACCAAATATTTTTGATGGCAATAACTAACCCATTTCCTTTTTTCGAACTGCTTCTATAGCTCCCTGCATTGAATATTCACTCCAGGATTGGCGATCAGTATTACGCTTATAATTGCGAGGTATTTTGTTATATTTGTAATAAATAAATAGCTAGACTACATTTTCAGTTCACTACTGAATTCATAAGGACAAAATGGCCTACCTATGTCATTATGCTAGTTGTTCAGCTATGTCGTTTTGTTCATATAGCTTTATGAAAGAAAAAAAGGAAAAAATAAATTCAAAGTGTGCTTTTTTTGTAGAATAAATTATATCAGGGGTACAACAAATTCATTATTAATAAAATAAATGTAACAAAAATAGGTAAAAGCAAAAAACTTACCATTTATACATAAAACTTTTCGTCTGTACAAAAATTTATACCGCACAAACACCTATACTACGGGATAATATCGAAATGACTGAAATGGGCGTAAGCCAGTTTTCAGCTGTGTTTTCAATACCACTACATTGCTAATATATAACTATAATATGTCATTTTATACGTGTATTTCCCCTATACATATCGGTTAAAGTTAAAAACATATTAATTGTTTCCTTTGCATTAAATGACAGATGGGTCCTTAAAGCCTTTCTGTATCTTGCCCTTGAATGGAAGCAGTCTCTTCAAAATGACAATTTTCATCAGTGGGTTTAAAACATCGAGTTAGAATTTAACTCGATGGTTTATAAGGAGTTTCTGTATTATCGTTATCACAATTTCAAGGACGCCACATTGTAACAATATTTTGTTATACAGAGTGGCCCAAAAGTCTGGAAACGGCTAATTATTGTAAACTGAATTTTTCAAGTATTCCCAATAAAAATAATCTTTAGGATTGAAATCGGGTGAACGTGGAGGCCATTCAATTCTACCTTGTCTACCAATTTATCGTCCAGGAAATATCTCATCTAAATATCGCCGAACATTTACACCAACTATCTGACGTTAAATTTATTTCGACAAAAAATTACCCAATTGAATAAGTAACTACTATATCTGACCATACATTTAATTTTTGTGGTCTTTGAGTATGGTTTTTACGCATTCAGTCTTCAGTGTGATTTTACGTCACACCAGTACCTTAAATTGTGTCGATTTACACTTCCACACAGTGTAAAAGTTGCTTCATCGGAAAAACATATTCTGTTAACGAAATTTTAATAATTTTCAATTTTATCCATCATTACCTCAGTAAACTCTAATCTACGACCAAAGTCATCTTCACTTAATTCTTGCAATAAGTTAATTTTGTATAATTTAAATTTATTTTTACGTAATAAACGTAAGACTGAAGAAGTGACCTACATCATGTACTTGTGCAACCCTGCCTGGGGATGTATGTGGATCTTCAACAAAACTTTGCTTATATCTGAAGTTTTGTTGTCATTGATAACTCGTTTTGGTCAACCTGATCGGTATCTATCTTTTACTTCTCCAGATTCCTCAAATCGCCTTACAGTTTTTTGTACCGTCGTCTTATGAATAGGAAAACGGTTTAGAGAACTGCATTTTAGAGAAGCAATTTAAATTGTAGAACTTTTTGAACCACAACTACTGTCAATTTTAGTTCATAATTTAAATGGTGAACAAATGTCAAAATCACAGCATTCTCCATTTAAATATTTAAATTTATTAAAATCTACATATTTTGCACTGTTTTATGTATTTAAGATGTTTCAGACTACATAAAATCAAGTGAACATATGGTTAAACTCGTATTGAATAGCTAAACTCGTGTGAAATTCACACTGAATGCGTGAAAACCATACTCAAAGACCACAAAAATTAAATGTATGGTCAGTTATAGTAGGTACTTATTTAATTGGGCCATTTTTTATCGAAAGAAATTTAACGTCAGATAGTTGGTGTACATGTTCAGCGTTATTTAGATGAGATATTTCCCGGACGATAAATTGGTAGACAAGGTAGAATTGAATGGCCTCCACGTTCACCCGATCTCAATCCTAAAGATTATTTTTATTAGAGATACTTGAAAAATTCAGTTTACAAAACTTAACTAGCAAGTCTTGCATAGCTAAGGCAATGAATTATCGATGAATCTCGAATAATTCCTAGACAATCATGGAGAAATGTGGTAGACGCATTCTACCATCGATTAGAGTGCTGTCAACTCACAAATGGAGCACATTTTGAACACTTAATAACGTAACTATTATGTTAAAAAATATTCTAAACTATCAATAATAGGAGGTTCCAATATTGACTGAATATACAGGGTGATGCATTTGAAAAACCAAAGTTACTAGTAATATAAGAGAAACTGAAAATCTGGCAACATTGCAAATACCAAATATGGAATCTCCGTATCCCAAAATAGGCGTATCTCAAATTTTGTATAATTATGTCTAGTAATTTACGAGATAATTAGCCGTTTCCAGACTTTTGGGCCATTCTGTATAACATAACTTACTAACTTATTCATTCAAAGACTATTATTTAACTGATTGTTTCCTATGTATTATGAACATTGTATTTTACAATATAAAACAGATAAACTTACAAATTTAAATCATTCCTGATAACAAATTTTTAACAATAGAAGATTTATAAGTGGGGAATATTTTTATTATACATAATTTTATTGTTAGGATAATGAAGGCACTATATTTGCGAACGTTCTTTACACAAAAATTTATTAAACTATGTTTTACGCATTGTTCATTAGATCTAGAGAGAAAAACTTTAGACTTGCATCTGTTCTATATTTCATTACATAAAATATTATTCTTTCAGCTGGATGTTTCTCATATGCCATTCATCAACACTATTTGGACATGCAAGAATTGTACGGAGGTAGTCTTAAAGACTTCGGCCGTTTTACCAGTCGTAGCGTTTGGCATTTTCGGAAATATTATGGTTATATATATTTTATGGAAAAATTTAAACCTACGTACAGCTACAAACCTTTTGATTGGCAATATGGCAGTAGCTGACTTACTATCCCTTCTTATTCATCCGTGGGTGATGTTGACACTGGATTTATTTCAGAATTACCAACTGGGTGTTATTGGATGTAAGGGAGAAGGTCCGGTTGAATGTAAGTATGGATTCAGAGAAAAATATGTATTTAATGTTTTTAGAAGTTTAAATGGTATACCGGGTAAAGGGTAGGTACTCTTCCACAATTCCAGTGGAGGATTTGATTTTCTCTCAACTTCAGTACTGGAGAACATTAGGTAATAAGTCCATTACTACCTAATATCTACCATATCCTACCAATTTCCCCAAAACAACTCACCAACCCGCCTGACAATCATGGTGTTTAAATGCCAAAAACACCTCAGCATGAACAGACATTCAAGAAAGGGGCCTTTAATTGCAGCTCGTTTGTTCCCAACCAAGGTAGCGGTAGAATTCAAGGACAGCGAGTAGAGGGTACGAAAAATCCCCGGATTATAGGAGGCTATCAATAACGATGAACGCTGCCACGTAATTACTATAATGTAAGAACCGCCTGGAAATATGAGAAAACGACGAAACTGAAGAAATAACTCAAACATGTCAAATGAGATAATATAGGAATTAGCGAAGACAACAGAGAAGGTAAAGATCAGATCAAACTATATTCAGGCCACATATTTCACCTTAAAGGGAAAACAGAATTACAGAATTATTAATAGACAGAAAATTACAGAAAAGCATACAGGGTATTGACTACATGTCCGCAAGAATAATGTATATAAATTTAAGACTAAACAAGAGATACAATCTGAAACTAATCCATGTATATGTCCCCACCAGTTATTACGAAGATAAACTTGTTAAAGTCTTCTTTAGGAAATCTAAAGAGCAAAAAAGGAGGAACCTGCCAGTTACAATATGACAATGGGAGATTAATATTACTGATTTGAGGAAAAAGATTGCATCACTGGACCAATTATATCCAAAAGCTATTTAATGATGAATGAGAAGAACTATCATTAATATTAATAAATCAAATGTAGACCAAACCAAAGAAATTAAGACACGTATTGAGATAGCACGTGCATCATTCATTAAACCTAAAAAGTTTCTTTCTTGTCGGAATATAAGGTTAGGACTACGCCTAAGAATGCTTCGGTTTTACGTATTCACTACTCTTCTTTATGGCTTAGAAGCATGGACATTAAAACAAGTGCATCTAAAGTTAGCCGCCTTTAAATTTTGGTGTTACCGAAAAATCCTAAGAATATCATGGACTCAAAGAATATGAAACGCAGAAGTTACTAGAAGGATAGGAAATGAAGCTGAAATAATATTATCTTTCAAAAGAAGAAAAATTTAGTACTTGGGCCATGTTATGATCCATAGTGACGTTTCGTATTGAAGCCTGTTAATGATTTTGTATGATAATAATGCCAGTCAATAGAATACGGAAACAAATTTAAACAAGCAAAATTGGAGCAAAGAACAGAAGCAGAAGACTTTTTATTTTAAAGTTACGAATACAATCCCTTATAACCCTTTATTAACATATTTTTCAGGTTCTCTTCTTATTGCAAGTGTAGTGAGTATGTCTGCCGTAACATATGACCGTCTAACTGCCATAGTGTTGCCTAGAGAAACTAGGATAACAAAAAAAGGAGCTAAAACACTTATAGCACTTATGTGGATATTTGGACTTTTGTTATCCCTACCGATGGTTTTTAACAGAACATATAAGGTAATAAAAATTATTTCAAATAAATTGTTTCATTTTTAATTTTTTAAATTAACTATTTATAAATAATACTTAAATAAATCCTTTTGTTAATACTAGTGGTCTTGCCCGTCGCCATCCGATGGGTGGTCTATTTAATGCTGTCCAGCCTATTTAAGGCTAGGATGTAAACAAAATGATAGTCACTTTTGGAAAATCGATAAACTTTTTCGTGAAGTCGTCTTATGAAATTACAAAAACCGGCGTAATTCTAGTTTGGAAATTTATTTGTTGGGAAAGCTCACCAAATTCGCAGCCGATATTTTAGAGTAAACAAACTTTCAAAAGAGTTAAAAATTAACTTTTTAAAATATTAAACTTCTTGCATAAAATGGCCGGTCCTTTCACCTCCAGATAAATATTGTCCTATCTGACAGATAGTTATCTGGAGGATAGACATTTATTCATAGAATAAAATGTACCCGTCTTTTTAGATAAATTTCCTTTGAAAATTATTGGTTACAGTTACTACGATAAAGCTCATTTGCATTTTATGTATTTGAAGTTTGTCTGGACCATGGACGTATAAACACAGATGGACACAGCAATAAGATACCTTTAACACACAATGTTTTGAAGCTTCGATAGAATGTGATGCTTCCTCAATGAGCATAAGCGTTCTTGAATTTTTACTCGCGGGGATAATTATTCAGACTTTAAAAATTGGAAGTAGTAATAATGTATAAAAACACGTTCAAAGAATTAAAAAAAGAGAGAGTTTAACTATTAACAAATCACGTCTTTATAGAAAATATAAAATATAGTTGAATTCAAGTTAATCTTTTAATAGGTATCAAAATAATGCTACAATAAAAAATCTTTATGTTTTCTCCTAAATTTGCTACCCAAATAGTTCGATCGTCAATATTATTTGGAAACCTATATAGAAAAATAAATAAGTTTTATTCATTTCACTAATTTATTTGTATCGATGAGAAATATTAAATTAAAAAGGTACTAAACAGGTATTTTTTAATCAGATGATGTCTACTTACAATTTAAAAATGTCTACTAATTTCATGAACTCATATCTTATTGTTAATACATTAATAAACATGAATAAACCCAATGGTGTGCCGTTCCTCATCTTACATAATGTAAACAGACAGTACTTACGAATGAAATGAGAGATCGGGATGTAAATATTTCGTTTTTTTGCAAATGTAAAACTGTAGCGCCATTATTATAATATGTTTATTTCACTTTTCACAAATATCACTCAAAATACAGAAAAAAATATCGAAAAACAACTTTTCCTCATCTACTGTAAAAAGTAAACAAACATGCATTTAAAGTTTGACGTAGAACCATAAGACAGAGAAATGTTAATACCGTTGCCATTTATAAATCGTTTTCAGTGCTTCTACATATAAAACAATTGATTGATATCTATTATACGCTATTATTAAATGATAATGCACCTACGTGCACACTTGATATTTTGATTACAATTAAATATATTATTATAACAATAAATTATTATTTTGGTTTGATAGCACCTGTAGAGTATAAAATACGGAGTAATATTTTCAGTGACTCGCGAATAAGAAATTTTAATAAAAAAACGTGACAACAGTTGAAGGTGCTGAGAATGTGACCTATTCAAATAATTTTGACTTCACAATTTTATGTAAATAACTGAGTCCATCTGTGTTTATATGTCCATGGTCTGGACTATCACAATATTTTTATAAACTCATACCAAAATGTATAAAATATTTCTAGGAACGTAAGTGGTTAAACTTCTTAGAGAAATATTGTACTGAGAATCTAATGGTTAGTAACATGTATTGGTACGTAATAGTAGCAATATTAGTTTGGTTACCGATGACGATTCAGTTGATTTGCTATATTTCGATTTTTATAAAGGTGAGTACATTTAAAATTTTATTTTGATTAAGTAAATTTAATTACTCCAAGCAATCTTTCTTTTAAACTTTTTTAGGCTCTTTTTAAAATTGCTTGATACAGTCAATCCATATATTTTTTCAGATCATGTATCAGTGTTCTCTAAAAACATGCTTCAGGTATGAGATATGCCTTATTTTAATAGTTTTCAATAACTCACGAACGACATTTCCTCTATTTGACGCAGCTTCGTTAGTCTACATCGCTGTCCAGAGTATTCGGAACATTCTTCTATGCAACCAGTCATCTAAAACACCTCTATGCAATTGATCGTATCTGCTTTCAGAGAGTAAATCTCGTCGTCATATAACAACACTTACCAAATATACCATTCGATCATTCTTTGACGTAATTTTTGTTTTAAGCTGTGGTTACAGAAGAATGAATTTATTTTCGAAGTGCTAGCTGCTTCAATTCTCCATTAGATCTCTTTACTTGGTCTAGTTGGTTTGTAATGTAGCATTCGATATTTAAACTGAGTAATTCTCTCAATGTTTTGTTGATCTATCTGTAGGGCAGTATCCTTATAAGGTTGGCGACTAAATATCATAAATTTTGTCCTAAAGCATTCATTTTTAGACCCAGTGCTCTTCCTCTCATGATTATGCAATCCAATTACCCCAGAAAGCCCTGGAGACTATCGCATAAAATAACAGGGTCGTCAGCGTATCTAAGATTAATAATCAGTTAATCATTAGTTTTTACTCCAGAGTTTTATCTTGCAAAGCCTCTTTGGAACTTATATTCCAGTAGATATTAAATCAGTGGGGATATAAAACAATAGTTTATCTCTTTACACATTATTTTAAATATAACTAATCATAAAGCATCAGATCATCCATTTTTTCCTTTTTTACCTCTTCCAGTGTTTAAGCATCGAACACAATGAAAAGCTGACCATAAAAACACATCGATTTTGAGGCTGTGATGTACGTCAAGGCTGTGTATTGCCTATCTTATTCCTTATAGTAATAAACCGGGCGATAAAAGGACAACGGTTAGCCGAATGAGCATAAACTGCAATTTCTGCCAGCGTAGCATGGTTGACAGTACGCGAGGAACAGGACAAATATGACATGGCGAGCAGGCATGACATGGAAATTAATCAATAGCCTAAACAAGATACGAAAGGTGAAAGAAATAACCACTAACACAAAGCTAAACATATCTCTGTTAAGAATCAAAACAGTCCTTCCGAATTAATCGGTAACTTGGAAGGTAGGTAGATAAATTACTGGTGAAAAAAAATACAGACAATCTGGTCATAGAAGATTAGTGACCTGTGGATGCTTACAGAGAAAAATCTATTAAAAAGACCCTTAAGAAGAAAATTGAAAATCCACATGATTAAAAAATTAAAAGCCAACATATCGCAATAAACTCTCAATTTCGACATGGTAGGAAATAGAAGGATAACGAAACTGCTCAATACATGGAGCTAATACACGGGGAGGAAGCTGCATGGAGAGAGTGAGAGAGAGAGCATGCAGGTACAAAAATTAGTCAAGAACGACAAAATATGGAAGGTATTAATTGAGAAATTAACAGCAAACGCTACACATACTGCACAAGAGCAGTAAATATAATTTTACATCGACTATCACAATAAAAACGTGACTGCCCTATGCTTCACGAGCAACAGAAAGAAGGAGAATCTCACCTCTTTAATCTAATCAAAATTTTTTACCAAAAATATATTCTGAAGGTTTATCGCAGCTTTCAAAAACTTCCGGTGGTCTCAGCATTCCTATTCATTAAATATATTGCTTAATATATTTTGTACAGATTTTTAACTTATTTCTATGCATTTTCAGCTAGACAAATATGAAAAAATCACTGTAAAATCACTCAACAAGCAGCACATGAACTATAAGAAAAAAGCGGCAATAACCATGTTCATTGTAACTATTGTTTTCATGATATGCAGATTGCCATTTACCGCATATATAATGTATAGACATCAACTCATCAAGGAACAAAAAGTAACAGCTTCTTCAAGTGACATCAAGTTTCAAGTAAGTTTAATGATCTACATATTGACCTAAAATGACAATAATTTTTGATACCAATGAATTAGGTAACTAAAAAGTAACATTTGTTTTTTGACCACCTTTTAAAAATTAATAATTCAAAACGAGCCATTAAAAAAAGGTTCGTAATATTTGGAAATTATATTACTTGATAATAAATTTTCTAGGTCCCTTTTCTTATTTTCAGAGATCATAATTTTTGAAATATATGCAGGTATTTTTCTAACATCTTCTATATTTCTTGTTCTTGTCACTCGTCTACTTTTTACGGTTATAGCATAGGCCTGATTCCAATCCACCTGTTTGTAGCTGATTTTGTTAAAGAATCTATCACTTTTCTTCTCAAATCGAATCATTTTAATATCTGACAATTTTATTTGTTCCCGTGTATATTTTTCTGGCAGTTGAAGCCGATGTCGTTAGCAAGCATTTTCAAATTGATGAAGTCGTTGTAACTTAATTCTTTTAATATAACAGTTTCCTTTTTTCTTTGCGTTTCTAATAATCGACACAAATTGATCGGGAACGTATATCGGTACTGACTTTTTAACTCTTTTCATAGCTTTTTCGATGATACTGTGGACTTCATCACCTTCGTTTTGTGTATGACCTCGGATGAGGTACTTGTGTGTTATGGAATTTAACTGAAACTTCTTAATTGCGTAGTATTACATTGCAAGAACAAATGTTTTTTTGCTGACCACAGCAGTTATCGGAATAAATAATTATGTCAGATTGAGGATGTGTATTAGCGATTTCTTCAAGAAATGTCAGGACACATGAACCAATTTCTACTGCTCCTGTTTGTCCCAGACTCATAGATACTGGCATGACAGCTTGTAGGTCGTAGAATACAAAAACTGTTCTACTTATAGGCCAATCAAGTTAGGTTTTTACTCATCACAAGTGTATAGACGGGTTTGACAGTTGAAATAAGTAGTATGAGATATTACAAAAAGACTCTCATCTAGGGATTCATGAATTTTTTAGTGGAAATATTTTTAAATAAACAATTAAAATGTCAATATCATTATTTTGCTCATAACTTATAAACTTGTCTATTTAGAGATTTGACGTCTACAGACAAGTTGTTGAGAAAAAAAAATACACAAAATGAGATATACTAAATTAAAATCGGTTAATAAACAAAAAAGTTATTCCATAATAACCAAGCAAAACCACTGTTTTTGATTATTGTTAATTACTCTTTTATTAATCAATAAAATTTATTTAAATGTATCTGAACTTAAAGATCTTATCGTGTTCGAAGTATGTGCGAAAAATAGGCTAGATCCGTCAAATAGTTTTTGCACAATTTAATTTGTTTATAAGATTTTTTGAAAAATGCACAAATTTCTAAGGCCGGTCCAGATAATTTGACTCAATGGATCTTAAAAATCCGGGGCTTATTTTCTTTGTTGAGACATATATTAATATCCTATGGAAAAAAAAGTTAAAAAAAATTACGTTTATGTACACAAAATGATTTAACAATAAATAGCACTTTTTAAGCTTATAAACATTTACAATAACTCCGTACTATTTAGTTTAAATTAAATGGCAATAAAATATTCGGAAAGCTGGTTAAAAAACACAACTTAAAAAAAAAGAAAAAGGTCCTGCGACCATTAGGAGCCGAGTTAGTCCTTTTTTTTTTAAATCACTGTTACGTCAATTGACAACATTAAGGGCTGAAATTAACCAATCTTTTAGAAGAAAAGTCAAAGTTTTTAACAAAATATTTAGCAAAAAAAATAATTGAAAATTGATTAAACAGGAGTGTTGTAAACCAAGAGTACTTTGCGTTCCGACTCAAATGGAAGCAGTGGGGATTGCCGATTGCACTCAAGCCGCGCTCTAAAAAAAGTCGAGCGTCGAAAGCGGTACAACTCATTTTCCTGCGACTATACAACCGGTTTGTTGTATTGAAATATTTAGTGTTTTGTTTTATTTAATAATTGTTACAAATAATTAATGGTACGTAAAATTCATCTGAATATTAAAAAAAACTACGTGTTCTGATATATATTAATATAAACACATGGTTGTACCACGTTGTCTGAATAATATACGGTTAACTTTGAATATAATATTATTTTACTATTATAATGTACTAATATTTATGAAATTATTAATGAAGAAGAAAACGATACAAAAGATGAACAAGAGATAATTGATGAAATGTATTTAACTGGGTTTGATGAGAATAGCGACAATGAAAATGAAATGATTTATGAAAAATATAATACAAGTGAAATTGAAGATGAAAGTGAAGATGAATGTTTACATAGTAGTAGCAGTGACGATATAGAAATTAAGCGTAGAAAATTACAGTAAATTAAATTATTTTAAAAAATCACTACACAAAATTTCAACTTCTGTAATAACATAAAATTAATTTATTATTTCATTAATAAATTTTTAGTAAACATTATTCAAAATGTTCATTTACTTATAACAGTTATTTAATATAATCATATTTGAAATAAATAAATAGAAAAATAACAATAAAAAGACGACTCAAGAAAAAGTTTGTACATTCCATAGTCATTAGCTGCTTTGTTTTGAATAATTTTGCAATGAAAGTACGTTAAATGTTATTATTTTAACGTTGTACCCCAGTTTAAAAAAAAAGAACAAATTTGGTCCACTAGAACCCGAGATATTTATTTATTTTATATTAATGGTGATATTGTATAAACACCATTCGATGTCCATTTATTTGAGTTTTTGTACTGACTTTTTAATACCATTGACAACTACATATCTTTTTTAAGGTAACTATTTAACATCTTCTTCATGAATGTGTGGTACTCTAATGTAAATAAATTTTTAGATGAACTGATGATGCTATCAGAATTCGATAGCGAAACGTCTTCAAAATAGATGAAGTAGTATCAACTTTGTCTTTTATTTCTCCACCTAGTTGACCGATTGAACCCACCACTCATCTGAGTGATCCTTATTTATATTGGATAGACGGTCGTACTCCTTTTTGCGATATATATATATATATATATATATATATATATATATATATATATATATATATATATATATATATATATAATTAATAATCAGTAAAAGTAGTTTTGATTAAAAACGGAAAGTACCTACCTGGTCTAAGTTTACAAGACTTATGTAGGAACATACTATTAGGATCTAAACTAGAGGAATTTGGATTTAAATTCACTGGCTGCAATTCTGCTAAAATGACCGCATCATTGAGTGTTTCTAAAATACTATTGTCTTTCAATACTTTCCTCTGAAGTACTGTTCTCTTCTTGTAAATTGTGAGTGGCTACATAAAGTATCAGCTCAGTCCTTTTCATTACTTAATATTATACTCGCAATTTATTTCTTCACTGAAATACAAATCTATTATATTGACTGTTTTTACACACACTATTTCACACAAATTTTCTAACAATGACATAAATACTGGTTAAGTGACTATAAAAACTACTATTCAAAAACCATAAAGACGTAAATGTGTACTTACGACTTTAATCATCTAGCAAGTCGCCAGAGATATCAAATTTTCTAGGCGAACAATGACACAACTGTCCGTTACGCCGATGTTCCTCTGAGATTACCCCAAAACTTTATTTTATTTTCTCACAATCTACACTTATGTCGTTGTAGAAATATAAACGAAGTGTTGCGTTCGACAGTCTATGAACAACTGACATTTGCGGCGATTTCGTTTCAACAATATAGCCGAAAGCACATAATTTTGTCAACGACGCAACTGCTTCCCAGCTGCCAATAAATGTACTACCTTTATGGTATTGTTTCATCCGATAGAATGGCACGTTCTCACTTTTTTGACACATTTAACTTAAAACTACAAAAAAATTGTACTTACGTCATTGTTGCTCCGGGAAGCGATATGATAAATAGCCCTGATTATACTTTTTCCTATGTTTGACTCTTCTGTTAATTTTGTTTTTGGTTACATTCGATTAAGGTTTTTAGCATCTTATTGGTAAAGGACCAAGACAAACAATAAAATATTTGTTTAAACACAATTTTATTTTACAAAAATACTATACAAATAATATTGACAATTTTCGGTATATTTCGAACATTCTATACTGAAAGTAAAAAATATATAAAACTTCAAACAATAATCAATAAGTTAAAAGTTAAATCTTGTACATTATAGGTAAAATATAATACAAATATTGATCTAATCATCTTCTTACAAACATGACCGATTACGCTATCTGCATATTACTGGGATTACAGAGTTTCGTAAATCCCCATTTTTTGTCTTGTGCTACAAACGGTCCGTTGTGGACTATATGAACCAGCATATTAGGAACGTATCGCAGATGAGGTATTAGCTTTGGCGTTATTAGAAAATACTGTGATGAAGAGTTGTTACAGGTGGTATCCACAACCAATTCGAAGATTCTTCTCTCGTTGCTTGCGTCCATACCTAAAAAGTAAATATTGGTTTTTGTAGGGATTCCAATATTATACAGGGTGTCCCATAATTAATTGGACATTAGCTAATGGGTGATAGCTGATATCAAAATAAAGCGTTTGAGCTCAAATTGCTTAGGCAAAATGTTGCTGGTTTTCGTTCTACAGGATGATTCATTAATATTTTTTATATCATTTTTAGGGATATATTAAAAACTATTCAAACGATTTAAGTGAAATTTAGTATATATCTTGCTATTATTTAGTATGCTTGTAGCATTTGCAAATTCTTTGAAATATATATTGAAATATATTGGAATCCCCTCGTATATGTATTAAATTGTGTAGCGTTTTATATTTAATGTCTAAATAATAATATAAATTCGATTCTATATTTATCATAGTACGCCCCTGGTATGCTAGAAATGTGTTGTCTGTAGAGATTTTTAAATACGCAATAATTCTTCAATAAATAAAGACGTATTTGCTAAAGAAAACAATTTATGGCTTTTTAACTTCAACGTTCCCAGAAAAATATTGCAAGCCTGGTATTCTTTTTTCTAAAACGTAGTAACGCCGGAAGTTTGAACGAGTTTGAGTAAAGAATTTGTTGATTTGACAAGATGGCAATGGTTTTGTGCGGGGAAAAGAGAGGCGGTATCTATCCGGCAGATTGAGATCGAGAGGGTCAAGCGAAGTTAGTGATGAAGAATTGCTCGAAGGGAAAGGTCGTTTAAAAATGGTGGAATTTTCCCTCTATGTAATATGTCGTTTTTGAAAGAGTGACCACTAACCACTGTTTTGATTTTGCTGAAGATTTATAATGTTTGAGAAGTGAACAAGTTTAGTTCCTGCGTTCTTTTCGTTTTTTTGAGAAACCAGTTCCTTTCCAAGATGCCTCTTCACCTCACGTAGAATGATATTGGAGCAGTTTTGATTTGAATCTGCCAGTGTGTCAGTTTCAGCCTACAAGAAAGTTTTCCGTTGATGAATGGTCAGTTAGATACCCCACAGATATCTATTAGCCAGTTGTTCAAAAGTTTAAGTTAACATGTGTAAACTGAGGTAAAATTTACGTTATTAATTTTTAAAGTAAAAATAGACATTTTCTTCTAAAAAGACAATTTTTACTTTCTTTTATAAATTATTTAAAAAAAAAAAATTTGTAATTAAAATAAATATTATGTTAGGGCGTGGCTTAAACTGTCATGTCATAATTTTATCTTGTTTTTAAAAATGTTTGTTTTGACGTATGACAGTTTGATTTTTAATCTGTTGTAAAAGATATTTTGATTTTATAGTAAAGATTAAATTTTATTTTTCACAAAAGGATATCCATAAAATTTTAATCTAATTTGGCCACGTTATTTACTAGGAACCATTTCGAAGGTTTTTGTAACCTCTTTGTAAACAGATAATATGTAAGTTTCTTTATTTGTATTTGACAACTATTTTTATATAGTATGCCTTTTGTATAAGCTATATTTAGAAAAAAAAACTGTTTGAGACAATAATAAACGTTAGATTTGATTCTCTAACCTATTTTTTATTTTTATTTAGAAAAATCTCCTAAACCCTTTTTATGTATTTTAGAAATTAAGGAAGAAGAATTTTTTTTCCTTCAGTAAACTAGAATCCTTCAAGTGGCGCCCTATATTAAATTCCTTGAGGTGTTCCCAGTCTAATTTTGATTTGTTCGTTGTATCAATTGCCCAGGAGATTTATGTAAGTATCCCTTTGTCTTCATTTTAGTAGATACCCCAATCCAACCCCCATATTTCAACTAATCCACGACCCAGCTCTCCAATAACCAACTGAGTGTCGTTTGCATTTGTTTCGATTATTTTGTTTGCCCAATCTTCTACCCCTCATGTTCTTACCCTGAGGTAAGCAAAATATTGTCGTTACAATTTTGGCGCCCAAGTGGGGTCCCAAGAGATTCACGTAAGTACCCCTTTGTTCCATTTTTTTGTAGTTGCCCCAATCCAACCCCCTTTTCATTCAACTTATCCACGACCCAGCTCTCCAATTAACCCCCGAGTACCGTTCGCATAAGTATCAATTATTTTGCTTGCCCTATCTCGACCCCCAATAATATCTGTCCCCAATTTTCTACCTCTAATAGTAATACCCCATGTGGTAGGCAAAATATATTTGTTACATGCTTAATATGAAAATGATATTAGTTTTACCATTGACACTAGGTGGCGCCACCTGCTATAACATTGGTTCATTAATGTGGCCATAATTTTTTGTCCGTCCTGTATAAACATTCTAGCAAAAAACACGAATTAACATTCAATTCTACACAAAAAAAGTATTCCAGTTTCAAATAAAAAAAGTTTGCCAACAGTTGTAAAGTCAACCAGTTCAATAAAAGAGGAACCTTAGACAATTTTTATGTGAAAAACTGTTTTATACAGTCGAAGAGTTTTTTAGATCTTAGATATTAGCAGTATTTCATTTAGCTTTTCAGTTCATTTTATGTCGTGTTTAGTCTAGTTTAGTGTTTAGTTTTTAACAAATTATGTATATTTCGAAGCACGTGGTGGTCGTGTGTATTAAGGTATAAAAAATGCTTATTAAAAGCTTAAAATTTTTATTTCAAAGAAGATCTTTTCGGAATTGAATCATTCCATCATCAGTTTAATAAAAAGTTGTCAAAAAAACATTGTATGGCCACATGATAACATAGGAAGGAACTCCGTATTAAAAAACAATCCTCATGGTGTTTATGAAGGCAAATGCAATAGACTGTTAATTTGTAGATAACTAAAAACTGAAAATGGGGGCATCTTACATGACCTTCTGTAGTTGGTGAGGTTTTATTGACTTACATTACCTCTGATCTGTGCTTGAGTCTAGGGCTAACTAGGAAGTGGATATTCCACTTCATGGTTTGTTCCAGTTTCACTTTTTAAGTATGTATATTTATATTGTTCTGAAGCTATTTTCTTGTGGCATTTTAAATTAATTACTATTTAACTAGGAATAAGCCACAATTAAAGATAAAAATACGTTTATTGACGTTTCAATTTCTAATAATTTAATTTTATCTGACTCATTTATATTGACAATTCAGACATACATTATGCATTTTAAAGTAGACGACTCTAAATTAATATTGCCAATATTGTTGAGTTGCGCTCCTTGGACGACTTTACTTATAAGATAGTTCATTCGATTACATGAAATCAACTTTAACTTGAGAATATCCGTCAGAAAAAAATCATAGCATATAATTCGTCTTTAAAAAGACAAACACATGATGACAGTAAAATTCTCCTGTTAGGGATTCCATAGTAAATTATGAGGGAAAAACCAGGAAAAAAACCTCATAATATATCCCGACATGTTAAGTATTTGTTCGTGTATTTAGTTTACCGTCAATAAACACCAAAATTCTGATTTTATATGTTTAGTTATTTAAAAAACATAAATGATGTATCCTCTATATGTTACTGACTTACTAATACTGGTATTTTCTTATTAATAACTTCCTCTTTCAATATTGGTAACCAGATCCTACTACATTCTGCCGAGGAATTTGCGACACAATTGGCCTCATTTAGCATAATTAAAGCCGCTTCTTTGATTTTTCTTTGTTTACCATCCGTCTCTTTTAGGACTACATTTGAATTATTCCATTGAACCTTATGTTCATTATCCCATGCGTGTTTACATATTTGAGATCTATCAAATTCTCTATTTTTAATATAAGACTGATGTTCACTTATTCTAACATTTAATGGCCTTGATGTTTCACCTAAATAAAACTGATCGCATTCACAAGGTATTTTAGAAATGCAATTCTTTGTCCTTTCTTGTTCATTGTTAGGTTTGGTTTTGGACAAAATAGATCTCAACGTGTTTGTTGTTTTGAATGTTGTTGAAATGTTAGGAATGAAATGAAAAACAAAAATGATAGGCAATAAATTCAACATTTCAACAACATTCAAAACAACAAACAAGTTGAGATCTATTTTGTCCAAAACGAAACCTAACAATGAACAAGAAAGGACAAAGAATTGCATTTCTAAAATACCTTGTGAATGCGATCAGTTTTATTTAGGTGAAACATCAAGACCATTAAATGTTAGAATAAGTGAACATCAGTCTTATATTAAAAATAGAGAATTTGATAGATCTCAAATATGTAAACACGCATGGGATAATGAACATAGGGTTCAATGGAATAATTCAAATGTAGTCCTAAAAGAGACGGATGCTAAAAAAGAAAAATCAAAGAAGCGGCTTTAATTATGCTAAATGAGGCCAATTGTGTCGCAAATTCCTCGGCAGAATGTAGTAGGATCTGGTTACCAATATTGAAAGAGGAAGTTATTAATAAGAAAATACCAGTATTAGTAAGTCAGTAACATATAGAGGATACATCATTTATGTTTTTTAAATAACGAAACATATAAAATCAGAATTTTGGTGTTTATTGAAGGAAAACTAAATGCACGAACAAATACTTACCATGTCGGGATAGTATTATGAGGTTTTTTTTATGGTTTTTCCCTCATAATTTGCTATGGAATCACTAACAGGAGAATTTTACTGTCATGTCATGTGTTTGTCTTTTTAAAGACGAATTATATGCTATGATTTTTTCTGACGGATATTCTCAAGTTAAAGTTGATTTCATGTAATCGAATGAACTATCTTAAGAGTAAAGTCGTCCCAGGAGCGCAACTCAACAATATTGGCAATATCATTTTAAAGTCGTCTACTTTAAAATGCATAATGTATGTCTGAATTGTCAATATAAATGAGTCAGATAAAACTAAATTATTAGAAGAATTTTTCACTATGTAACAAAAAATAAAATTTGTTTAATTTACTGTTTGTATTTTGAGAACGATTTCCGAAGTGGAAATTGATATGTCAATAAACGTATTTTTATCTTTAATTGTGCCTTATTCCCAGTTAAATAGTAATTAATGTATATTTATGACTAATTCTATACAAACTATGCTTGTCAGAAAGAAAATAAAGAATTTGAATTTTGAATTTGAATATTAAGCATACTAAATAATAGCAAGATACCAAATTTCACTTACATCGGTTGAATAGTTTTGTTAACTTGTGAACTGTTTAGAGCAGCAGTAGATTAGTAGATAGTAGATAGAAAAAAATGGAAACGGCCTTACCTTGATTGATTTCATCAACACATCTAAAAGGCACAGGTGTGAGTTCTTGTAACGACAACATAAACGCAGCGGTAGCCACAGCCCTTTCTCCTCCACTCTGTATGTTGGAATTCAGCTCCTGCAAAGGTTCTCCGTTGCGATAAGTTACCTTGATACTAATGCCATACTGCGAATAATCTTGGTCGTTATCGCCAGTGTACACAGAAATTTCACCGGCACAACCCATACGTTGAAAGGCCGCTGCAAACTTTAAATTAATCTCACTAAGAAGTTGCTTTAAAGGTACAAGCCATTCCTGTTCGAATCTCTCCAATCTCGTCGTCATCTTATTTAAGTCAGTATTGCTCCTATCAATTTCTTTCTGTAAGTTATCTATTTCCTTACGTCTATTCTCATATTCTTCCATTTCACCGTCGTCTGCGACGTTTAAACAAGCTATCCGATTTTGAAACTGATCACGTTGAACGTTTAGCTGTTCTATATCTGACGATAACTTTTCAAATTCGTCCCGAAATTCATTGAACCCATCGTCACCAGGAGTAAAACCTTTAGAGAGCGATTTGGCTTTCGACAACATAGCCTTGGCCTCTTCCATAAATTCGCTATATCGTTCTTTTATTTTCTTTAACGTATCTTCTGCTTCTTCGCTTTGGCGTCTCTTTTCACTGATATCATTTTCTAAAAACTTGATTGCTTTACTAACCTAAAATCAAAAATGTTTTGTTAGAATTTGCAGAAGATCCTAACATTTGTGGAAAGTAAATAGTGTAATGTAAACATAGCAAGAAAATAAAGAAAAAAATAAAGGGTAGTAGCCTAGAGAAGAGTAATAATTATTTAAATAATTATTATATATTCCAAATTGAATAAAGAACAAATAATTCGACATAGCTAACGTATACATTTCAAATTAAACAAAGAATGAAAACTCGACCTAGTTTAAGTGTATTACACGAGTTCAATATCAGTTTGCAACAATTGTTTTAAAAGAAAAAAAATCACATTTAAAAAACAGAGACTGTTGTTGAAAAATAACACCGCTGCCTGACCAGGTTGAAGCATATGAGTACTGAGTCAGCAAAAGCTCGACCTCGGTAATTGAGAATACGGGCTCATAAAAACGAACGAAGTGGGCCAGGGAGTCAGTAAGAGTGAAACCGTCACGAAGGCTCCGCGCCACAAGCACGGGCGATCGCGCTATTATATTTCGCGGGATAATAGTACCGTATAAGTGTCGGGTATCTGGAGTTTCGAAAATTCGTGATAGAGCTCGGTACCTCCACAACTGAACCTGAATTCCAGTAGGACTAAATACGCGAAGGTAACTAAATCTATATACTAACCCAAGTAATATATAAAAGTGCAGATTTTCCACCCCTTAATTTCTTGCTAAGGTCTCTTCTCGTCTCCCTTCGCGCCTAAACGAATCTTTATTGTTTATAACTGACAGGTTGTTAACTTAATTGTAGCATATAGTCTATTTAATCCATTTGTAGTCTCGAAATTTGGTTTTAATGTTCCTTCCCGGCGGTTACAGGCAGAGACTAGAAGAGTACACAATTTCCGCTTATGCATTTCTCCGGCTTCTGAAGTAAGCCCATAGACTCAACTCTTTACAGGACTTGAGACCTAGAAGTCCTTAACCATTTTTCCAGATTTTCCTACCCTCCTGTAAATCCACGAGGGCGAACCAGCCAGTTCAGAATAGTAGGACCAATAAGCTTTGCCTCATCTCGCAGGGATAAGCATCCTTTAAAGTTTAACCCGAGGATGTTACAGGGGTTACAGTAATTTTAACTCCGCTATTATTTTAATGGTGACAGCTGACTTGAACCCGCTAGTCATACAATAGACTAGAGGAGTTCGGTCTCATTCTCCATGCTAAATCCCATAAGAAAACGCAAGGTCTAGCCTAGTAATTTCTTGATTATTTCAAGGTCACACTTGAACTACTCAACGAATCCTTGAATCGTGACATTTTAAGTTAAATATGACATCTGACGTGAGAATGGACTACCGAAGTCAGCCGTCACATTGAGTGGGGGTTTTAAAAACTTTTCCAAACATTTCTAATTTGTGTGCATCTGTCCCATAAGAAATTGAAAATATTGGTTTTTTTAATTGATTGAAGACGTGATAAGGACTTTTGGTTATGAATATTCATTCTGTGCCATTGGTATTATTTGTTGTTCGTGAATTTGTGAGGTAGACTATCAAAGTACAGTAGACTCGTGATTATCCGAGTCCCGATTAACCGAGCCTCTAGATTAACCGAGGTAGTAATTGAAAAGAACAAATTATGTAATAAATTAGCTTAAGAGTGATATCAAGTAAAAGCGTTGCACGGGTTGTTGGTATGCTGAAGAGATGTCACTAGTGAGTGTTATTGTTCTAGCCACTGTGCTTCTACTGGCCACCTCACCAGCCACTCTTCCACCCGCCAGTTTGAGTCATAACAGCTATCTGTACGGTTCATCCCATTGTAAGTTCATTCACGTCTTCTCTTTGTATAGTTTCTACGTAACTTAAAGTGCAATATAAATTTAAAATGTAAACGAGTTGTGCTTTCTTTAGAAACAAAATTAAGTGCTATAAAACGCTTGGATAAGGATGAGTCAGTAAATAAGGTTGCTGCTGGCCTAGGTGTTGGAGAAGTGACTGTCGGAGATTGTAGATGTAAACGAAAAGATATTGAACAATCGGTTAATAAAAGTGTGAGTGGTGGGAAATTTGTTGCGAAAAACTATGAAGAAAGGACAATACGAACAGACCTCTGAAGCCTTATTTTTATGGTTTTTTATTCTTCGAGGGTTGGGAAGTCCAAATAGCGGCCGCATGCTTTCAGCTACGGCTGTCGAATTTCACAAACGGTTTAAGGATGGCGAGGAAAATTTTACTGCAAGTGATAGTTAGCCCAACAGATGGAAGATGAGGTATGGAATCCGACAACTGAACATTTCGGGTGAAACAGTTTCGGCCGATTCATCTGAAATTGACCCGTTCAATTTAAAATTGAGAGATATCATTTAAGAGCATGATCTCACGTCAGACCAAATCTTCAATTGTGACGAAACGGATCTCAATTTCAGAATGCTTGCAACTAAAACAATGGCAGCTCAAAGTAAAAAAAATGCGCGTGAATACAAAAGAAGCAAACGAGTAACTCATTTGATGTGTAGCAACTCTTCTGGATCCTTAAAATTAAGACCATTGGAAAATCGAAGAATCCAAAGGGCTTTTAAAAATATTTAAGTAAACTGCCTGTCCACCATGCACAGGAATCAATGTAGTGCGTGGATGGATTGCCAAATTTTTAGAGATTGGTTTTTGGACGAACCTACTAAAAAAGAAAAACCTAGCAAGAAAAGCTAATTTTCTTTTGGACAACGCGCCATCTGATCCAGATGCAAGTTCGTTGGCTAGCGGTGATATCTTGTCACCAAACGTCACATCTCTCATTCGACTTCTGGGCCAATGGATTTTAGAGGCTATGAAATAGAACTATCGTCGAAGGCTTAAGTGTTGTTGATCTGCTTCGACGAGGAAATGACTGTGATAGCAGCCCTTTAAAAATCATTGTTAAAGATGTGTCTTACTGGATAGTTTCAGCGTGGAATGATGTGAGAGTAACAACTTTGCAAAAGTCATGGCGAAAGCTTTTTCAAATTGAAGCGAAAAGTTATAGAAAAGATAACAATGAATTGTATTGCTGAAATAGTAGACCTCGCTACTCAGTTACCAACGAAACTGTCGATAGATGATAAAGACGTCAACGAGTGGATTATGATTACAACGAGCGATTATGAAAGATTAGCAAATGGAACTGACTAATGATGCAATCGCCGACATGGCTATCAACCCACACAATGTCACTGCGGAACACAGATGAGATAATCGAGAAAATATCTCACTCCTTAGGATTGAAGGCGATTGGAGTTGCTCTTGCCTACATTCAGCAACAGAAAGAGTCAAACGCTACCGACCTTCTTTATCTTCAGCGTTGGCAAAACGTCGCAGCTTCAAAACGAGGCCAGAAGTTGATGCAGAAATCTATCAAAGACTTTTGTCATAACTCAATTTTGTCAATTTGTCATTGAATGTTGGACATAGTGTTTCCAAAGAATGGAAGGACCTCTAAGTGACTTCAACTAGGGATGCGTTTGTTAAGGAGTTGTCAATTGGCCTAAAACAGCCGACACAACGAGGCCCCCGATTTGTTACAGTGCATGCGGGTAGCCAACTGGGCTTTGTAGAATGGTATTATATTTGAACAATGGTTTCGGGAAAAGCTGCTTCCTAATCTTCCAGAGAAAACTTGACAACGCTTTGTACCACACAAGCCTTCAATAAAGATCAAATTAAGATATGGTTGTTGGAGAAAGATATCTTTCTTGAAGAAGATTATTTAAAATCAGAGCTCATGGAAGTCGTAAATAGATACAAAGAAAAATACATAAAATATAAAATCGACGAGATGCGCAAAGAGAAAAATGTCGCCATTCTGAGACTACCTCCATACCATTGTGAGTTAAATCCAATTGAAAAGTTTTTTAATAAGTTTTTTAATTGGTTAAATGGTAGTCATAGTTTAAGACCACCGCTATGGAATAATTAATAAGAAATGCATTTGGTGTAATAACAGTGGAAAACTGGAAAAACTATTGTAAACTTGCTATTAGAGCAAAAATTTTGAGTTATTGACGGGTTGATGACGATATTGATCCTGTGGTAATAAACGTGACGGTTGACAGTGACAGTAATGAAACAGTAGTGTGAAAATCGGTGGACACAAAGTGCCAAATCCGAAAAGTCTGTAAATAATAGTCCGGCAAAAGTGAAAATTAGGTAACAGTGCGAAAAATTTCATATAATATATATATATATATATATATATATATATAATATATATATATATATATATATATATATATATATATATATATATATATAATTATATATATATATATATATATATATACAATAACGACCATACATAAAAAAGGCAGCTTCCATAAATGCGACAATTATAGAACTATCTCTCTTATATCCCATGCCAGCAAGATAATGCTACATATAATCAATGAGAGACTGAAAACATTCCTTCAAAGAGAAATTCCACAAGAGCAAACTGGATTTACCAAAGGTAGAGGCACTCGAGAACACCTGCTGAATATAAGACAGATAATCGAGAAATCTAGGGAATTCAACATCCCACTATACATCTGTTTTATAGATTACCGTAAAGCGTTCGACAGGGTCAAGTTGAGACACTTATGGCGAATACTAAAAGAAGTAGGCGTACCACAACATCTAATTACGCTTATAACCGAACTATATGAACACACTACTGGATCAGTTAAAGTACTTGACACACTTTCGAACGAATTTCATCCAGAACGGGGTGTCAGAGAAGGATGTATACTATCTCCACAATTATTCAACATATATAGGGAGTATATTATGCGAAGAGCACTTGAAGGATGGGAAAAGGGCATCTCAATAAATGGTCATAAACTAAACAACCTACGTCTCGCAGATGACACAGCCCTTCTTGCAAATAGTCAAGCAGAGCTGATAGAACTTATACGACTGATCGAAAACGAAAGTCAAATATTTGGTCTGCAATTAAACATATCAAAGACAAAGATCATGATAGTGGATAGACTACACAACAATCATCCACACATAACCACAATTGACCGGTTCGAGGTTGTGAGCTCATACTTATATCTGGGATCATTAATCACAAACACAGGGTCATTACAAGAAGAGATTAAACGTAGATGTGATCTAGCAAAAGTTGCCACAGCAAAAATGACCAAAATATGGAAGGACTGTCAAATTTCAAGAGCGATAAAGATGAGGTTAATCAACTGCTTAATATTCCCAATACTGACCTACGGATGTGAATCTTGGACTCTGAGACAATCGGAGAGAAGAAAGATAGACGCCACTGAAATGTTCTGTTGGAGACGAATGTTACGAATTCCTTGGACGGACCGCAGAACAAATAATTCAATTTTAAGAGAGCTAAAAGTTAGCTCTCTAGTAAAGTCCATCTTCAACAATTAAAATATTTTGGGCATGTTATGAGAGCAAACACAGAAAACATGGAAAGACTCATAATACAAGGAAAGTTAGAAAGCCGAAGATCACGAAGAAGATCCCCAACAAGATGGATAGATCAAATTACAGGAATATGCCAAAGACCTATGCATGAATTAAAAGAAATGACCAGAGACAGAGATCTCTGGAGACGGACGATACACGACATCACGTCGACCACTACACTCCCCCTGGGGGGTCAGGATTGAAGATATATATATACTCTGGGCCAAAATTAACCGACCACCTTAAAAATGAAGATATATATATATACTCTGGGCCAAAATTAACCGACCACCTTAAAAATGGGTAATTTTTAATGTCTTATATCTCCTAAACCTGTTGTCCGATTTAAGTGATTTTTTAATATGTTATAGCCTTATTCCTTAATAATATCGTTCTAATAATATGGTTACTAAACATGTAAATTTTCATTGTATACCGGGTGTACGAATTAAACTGCGTTTTTTCTTAAAGTTTTCATCACCCTGTGGAATATTCTAGCATTTATAAAATATTGAAATTAAAACCTTACTATAGCCTCATGTTTTCTTAACATTTTGTTTTTTGATTCATTCGCTTATGTTGGATAATATAAAAGTTAGGTAGTTTAACAACTAGCCATGTTTTTCATCAATACAGACGATTTAATTTACCAGCAAAATGAACCCCACCACCTTTATTATTGGTTTGTTTACATTACTTGTGACAGTTTGTTTCCTAAATTTGTATCATTGAAGGATTTTTGACATATAGTCGTTGTAGGACATTGTTGCAAATCTGTTTCCGTGTTAATAACAATTCTTGAACAATTTGTAATTAAAATTAAATTTTTAATTAACAATTAACAATTAAAATTGTAATTTTATATCATTGTGAGCGAATATTAGTGAAATTAATTAACTACAACTACACAGTGCTGAATACGGCTCTGATTAGAATGAATCGCAATGTTATTTTCTTAACTTCAAACAAAGTATAGTCACGTAAAATTTAAAATACAGTTAAAGTTGTGAAACAATGACGAATCTCGGAGATTCGACACTCAATTAAATAACAATAATAATAATAAATAGCTTACCTCTTCTACTTTCCTAATATTCAGCATACTTCTCTTCTCCAATTCAATCATTTCACCAACACTTTTCTGTATTGAGCTGTGGATGGATGGTATACTTTTTAAAAACTGCTCCCCTTTCTTTTTATACCCGCTTCTAATTTCGTCAGGACTTTTCTTTAACTGTTCCATTTCTATCAACTTCTTTTGCAAAGTTTGCACTCTAGCTGTAATGGTTTCAGCGTGCTGTTTGTGTTGGTGAAGCTCCTTTAGCTTTGCTCTTTTTTCAACGATTTGGTCATTCAGAATGGACAGTTTCTTATTGACGTCTTCGCTTTGAGTGTCGTACGTCGAAACTTTTCTTTTAGCTTCTTCTATTTCGCCTCTTAATTGATTCATTTTAATAACGTCCAGTGTTAAAGACAAGCTCCCGTCAGATCTGACTGCTACTTGTCGAATGCTCTTTTGACCCGAATACTTCGATATACTTACACTATATCTGTATTCCTCACTAAAAAATGATCTAATTTCTTTAGGGACTTTCTCGTAGCAGTTGTCTGTAGATTTGTCCCCCAAGGGAATGTTGTGCAAACGGTACGTTTTGCAGAGATAATTCATAATTGGTTCCGGAGCAGTAAACAGATTATTCACGTACGTATAGAAACCGTATTGTCTTAAACACTCAATGGGTGTCGACGGTTGGTATTGAGAAGAATTTTGGTCCTTATCCGAGTGAATTACGTTCACGCTTAACTTCTTTTCTTGTCTTAGAGATTTCAACAACTTATTCATGTCATCTTTGTTGACACAAGTGAACGCAACCCTATCCCTGGGTGGTATCACATTCTCTATATATTTAGCATGACGATTTTCCGTTACGTTTAGTTCTAGCATAATCGGTTCGTAAATTTCTCCTCGAAAGAGGTGTTTGTTGTTTCTGAGCCAATCGACAGCGGCGTATGCATCTGCATTGATTCTTCTAAGATGATCTAAACGATTCTGTTTGACATTTTCTAATTTTTGTGTTTCGTTTTCGAGAAAACGTATCCTCCTGACGCTTTCTTGTTTTATTTGTAAGAGTTCGTCGGTATTGCTTTGGAGTATTTGGTAGGTTTTGGTTAATTTTGTCATTTCATTTGTACACGATTGCTTCAACTGTTCATCTAAAACAAAATGTAAGTGATAGGCTGGTATTTATAAACCAAAAAGAATTAAGTTACGAGCGGATTTTACACCGAACCGGCCGGCGACGGAACGGCCACCAAAGATACAGATATTTTACAAAGGTACAGAGATTTTTCTCAATTTAAAAGCTGTTTCTAAGTCTATCTGTTAGTTTTTGTACAATTACATACTTTATGGACGTGGATATCTCCCGATAAAAGGCCGAAAAACGAGATCGATTACTTCTTGTGTTGGAACAAAGACATTTTTGAAGATATAACTGCTTTCAATCGATTCACAACTAGCAGCGATCATCGCCTTTTAAGAGCAAGGATTCTTGTTAAACAGACGAAAACCAGTAGAAACATGTCACATAATTATTGTAATCAGATAGATCAAACTAGAAGGGACATGAGTACAGAGAAGTCTTAAGAAAATAATTTGTAGAACATTATCAACAAGAATATTCCGACATGAACACAATTAATAAAGAAATGTAACGAAAGCTGTTGAAAGCAGGACTGACTGCAAGGTAAACGAAAAATAAACAAGACAAAATAAGTGATGGAACAAAACAGTTGATGGAAAAGAGACGCACATTTCTAAGCGAAGAAAAGCGAAACACCAATGGTTTCAAAGAATTGAATAAACAAATAAAGAAGGGAGTAAAGGAAGATTTAAGAATCTACAATGAAAACAAGGTAGAAAAAATAATAGAAAAGGCCTGTAAGATCGAACTTAGCAAAGCCTATAATAATCTCATTGAAGGATAAAGAGAAAATATATAAGAGAAAAGAACGGAATCCTAAAAGTTACTTAAACAATTTTACCCAGATAACACTGCAAAGGAAGATCTTAAGAGAAAGATAACGAATGTCAACTCAGAAATACTCCATAACATAGAATCCTTCGATATAAAACAAGCTATGGCACAACTAAAGCACAATAAGGCTCCGGGCCCAGATTACTTGAAGAAATGTTGAAGGAGGGGAGTGAAATTATTCACGAAGAATTAAAAATTTTTTTCAACGAATGTCTTCACAGAGGGGAAGTCCCAGATGATTGGAATGAAAGTTTGACAATGCTTCTCTTTAAAAAAAGGAGACAGGGGAGATTTGAAGAACTACAGGTCAATCTTTCTCAAACCACCAAAAATAATGAAGAAATCGTGTATGACAAATGAGATTCTAGATATGATGGAAGAGAGGCGAAAGTTCAAAGATCAAGACATGTCATTATACAAAAGAATAGCCAAAAAGCTATTAGAATAGCTAAGGATACACATCTAAGAAAACAGTGTGCGGAAATACAGCAATTGCAACATAAACACGAATTATTTAATATGCACAAAAAAGTTAAAGAAGTCGCAGGCTTATACAAACCTAGAAGAGTTGGGTGTTTGGCAGATAACCAAGGCAAACCACTGTTAACTGTGGAAGAAAAACTAGACAGTTTGAAGAATTATGTGGAAGTAACTTGCAGATGAAAGGCAGAATACCATTGAAGACACTGAATGCCAAACAGGACCCCCGATTACCATTGAAGAAGTCACGTCAGTTATTAAAAGAACTAAAAATAAAAAACAACATATACGTAACTGGAAAAATACCCCAAAGCTGGTTAAAGTCGACCTTCGTGACCATACAAAAAAAAAAAAATGCCAAGACATGCGAAGACTACAGAACAATTAGCCTAATGAGCCACTTACTTAAAACGTTCTTGAAAGTGATACACGGCAGAATATACAAAAAATGCGAAGAACAAGTATCATGGACGCAGTTTCGATTCCGCGATTCCTTAGGCACCCGAGAAGCTCTATTCGCTGTCCAAGTGCTTATGCAAAGATGCAGGGATGTTAACTGTGATGTGTATACTTGTTTTATCGACTACAAAAAGGCATTTGATAGAGTAAAGCATGATAAACATCTTGAAATAAGTGGGGTTAGATGATAGGGACTTGAGAATCATCTATAATTTATATTACAACCAAACATCCAATATTAAAGTGGATGACCAATTGACAGAGGTAATCTCCATAGATAAAGGAGTGGAGCAAGGATGCATTCTATCCCCGGTGTTATTTAATATATACTCTGAATATATCTTCGAGCAAGCGCTAGGAGAACTACAAGAAGGCGTATTAGTCAACGGAATGCATCTAAACAACACATTAGATATAACAACGCAGTAGTTTTTGCAGATAGTCTAGACGGTTTACAAATAATAATGTCGCGTACATCAGATATAAGTAGAGAACACAGACTTGATCTTAATACCAAGAAAACAAAGTACATGGTAGTCAGTAAGCGCGAAATATTAAATACACAGCTTTTGGTTAACCAACATCCAATTGACAGGGTGGACAGCTACACATACCTTGGTACCAACATTAACAGCCAATGGGATCACTCCAGTGAAATAAAACAACGCATAGGAAAAGCGAGATCAGCGTTCATAATGATGAAGTCTCTTTTCAGAAGTCACGATTTACCACTTGCTACCAAAATCTCTCTCATTAGATGCTATGTATTTTCTACGTTATTATACGGAGTAGAGGCCTGGACACTTTCCGAAGCTTCTTTAAGAAAACTCGAGGCATTCGAGATGTGTTACAGACATATTTTAAGAATTTCATGGGTGGATCGTGTGACTAATGTTGAGGTCCTAAGTAGAATAGGCAAGGAATGCGAGATTACGTACCAATCTCAGAAAATAAAGTAAAATGTTTTAAAACATCCCAAGCAACTAAATATTTAGAATTTTTCACAAAAAGTGCTATCTCCATTTCCCCTAAGTGAAAATGATGTAATAGCCTGTGTGTATGATGGAAAGTGGTGGCTAGGGGTAATAAAAACTATCAGCATTGAACATCATGACTTCAATGTGCACTTTTTTTAACCTTCTGGACCCAGAACATCATTTAAGTGCTCATGATGAAACTTGGGTGCCTTTTCATAAAATCTTGAAGAAAATCACACCCTTAGAACTAAAAATAGCAACTGGACGCAATCATAACATATCTCAAGATTTATGCGATGGAATATCCCAACTTCTGAACTGTCAAAATTCTAACTGAAGGTTAATATTTCTACAATGTAGTATAAATTTGTATTTATTGTGAAATTTGATGAAAATAAATTAATTTTTATTTCATTGGACAGTTTATTTGAATTTTAATTACTCTACCGCCAACGCTCAAATTAATGATTTTTTACCATTTTCTCAGGCCTGTACCTCCTATATGCCTTAAGTCTACAACTTCAGTCTCAAAGCTCAAACTTTTTTCATTTAAAGTATGTATGTATGTCTTTTTCAGAAAAAAAATTACAAACCATTATCAGCTTGCCTTATGTTGTTAAAAAAATGCTGAAAACCGAATTTTATCAGTTTACCTTTTCAAACTTTGAGGTTAATTTAAGGCATTAAGGGTAATTTGTAATTAAATGATGCTATGGACCATTTTTTAGAGCATACTTTTCCAAACAGTTTGGTTTTTGATTTATTGTTTTAGGACAAACCTAAGTGAAAATATTGCCTAAAGAGTGAAGCCATGTTTTCCGTGAAAATAACCGACACGATGAAACAAAAATAGCCGCCATCGGCAAAATAAATTTTGTTAAAATAAAATAAATGCAATTTTGTATACTCTATAAACTGAAGTTTAATTGGTAGAAAAATAACAAATTTTAAAAATAGTCAAGCAACCAACTTAATTTATATTGGGCCACTTCGTATGGATTGACCCTCACCAAGTCTAATATGAATAAAATAGTAAAGGCACAAAGAGCGATGGAAAGATAAATGATCAGGGTAAGACAAAAAAAAAAACAAACAAATGAATTAGAAGTTTCGCAAAATAGAAAACACTGTATTGATTTGGGGAGGCCTATGTCCAAAGTGGGATTACTTAAGGCTAAAGAAGAAGAAGAACATACTTTAAATAAATGTCTAGTAGAAAAATATTTTTATTTTAGAAAATGAATGAATGCAACAGACCTTTTACGGTACCCAGTACCGAAATGGAAGGTTCCTCTTTGTCAGTGAACAACATGTCAAAATGTCTAAGCCAAAGTCTTGAAAATAAACCAAGATGGTTGGTGACGTTGTTGATTTGTCTAGAGAAAAACCATCGATCTTTAAAAGCTAAGCGAGTGCTCACTGCAGAAGGTGAGTAGATAAAAGAGAATCACTTGTAGCGTGATTCTGACAGAAGACCGTCGAGATGGTTGCTGGTCCATATCCTAGCAAAAAACCATCTAGCTTTAAAAGCTAAGCGAGTGCTCACTAATTATTATTTCAATACAAAGTATGCTTTACCACTTTCTCTAATAACATAAAGCTGCAGCATCATTTGGTGATTTTAAAGGCAGTTTAAATTATGGTGTACAAATTAACAACACTAATTTTGATCTGCTGCAAAACAAAGTGAAAGTGACTTCCCCCTTCCAATTCTAACGAACAGAACTATGAAATACTTACTGAATAAAACTACCAACTATTCTACTTACTTTCATTGGCTTTAGTCCAAGCTTCTTTTTGTAATTTCTTCATGTCCTCCAGTTTATTGGAAGCATTTTTAATCTCTTCATTCCAATGTTCAATTTCGGCCAACTTGGACAGCAGTTCGTCATTAAGTTTCCTTACTGATCCATTTATACCATCAATTTTTTCCAAATTTGAATCTATAGATGCCTCGACGTTTCGTAAAGCTTTTGTTGTTTTATTATTCTCTTGTTGTACATTGGAGATTTCTTTCTTCTTGGACGTTATCTCATTCTCAATAGGTTTCATGCTGGTCTTGTATTTGTCGTACACTTCTTGAGCTTTAGTTTTGTCCTTTTTTATTTCGGCAAGCTCACTCCTCTTTTCTTCGTATATTCTGAACGCTATCTTCCTTTCTATATGTTGGATCTTTTCAGTATATTCTTTCTTTTTATTGAAACTTTGTACTCTTCCTTCTAACCTAAGAATGATATAAAAAATAATTTTATAAGATAATCAGAAAATTTGATGAGTAAAAGAATCATTACAAGAACATACATAAATACACCTAGTATCAGCACACAAGAGGTCTAAAATCGATAATAGATTATTTCATAACAAGACAACAAACTAAGTGAGTACAAGACGTAAAGGTGAATAGAGGAGCAGAGTGCAGCTGGGACCAATGCCTGATAATAGGAAAAATATATACACCATTCGCAGACAGGAACCACACAGACATCAACAAAGAACACAGAGAAAAAATAGAAAGAACTACGTACACCTTAGTTAGACAATCTAGATAACGAAAGTACACAGTTGCTTTACTCCTGGTGACTAACACAAAAACTACAGGAATCACACAGATCAACAACGGATGAATACAAACATATAAAAAACTGCATGAAAGACACAGCCTTACAGTTACAAGTGAAAGAAAAGATAAAAACAAAAAAGAAAGTATATCAAATGTTATTACAACAGGGAGACGAACAAACAAAACAACAATATAAAAACTTTAATAAAGAAGTCAAACGAGAAGTGGTTAAAAACGAAAAATAGTGCATGGGAACAAAAATGCCAATACCTAGACAACCATATCGGAGGGACAAAGAGCTCTGAAGACTGTAGAACTATAACAACGATGAGAACAACGACAAAAAACTATATAATAAATAGAATATCAGAGAACACATGGATAGAGCATTTTGAGAACTTATTAACAGAGAGAAGAGAAAGGTTTAAACAGACAAATGAACAAGTGGAAGTAGAAAATAGAAATATCAATAGAACAAGTGAAAGAAGCAGTTAAGGGAATGAAATTAATGGGGAAAGGGAATAGGGTCCGTTCAGGCCCTGGCCCGTCTTTTGTGTAATATTTTGAAGCCTGTCCGAGGAAGGTTAAAAGTGGTTTTTGTAAACTGTGCTGTAATTTTGCAATAGATCACATGCCATGTCACTTGAAAAAAATATCCGTAAGGGGCGCTTACGTCGAGGTTTGGTATTAAATCATATTATTCCTCATATTGTAGATATACAATTCAATACATTTTCGCAGATTTTAGCCATAGATTCACAGCGTTTAACATTTGTGAAATTAGTGAGGTATTTAATATTTAGTTTGTACATTTTTTATTAATGGATATTTCAACATTGAAAAAAAAGTGTTTTTTTATGTTTTGTCTCATAGTTAACCAATGAAATAACGCAAATTAAATCTTGTTAAAGTCATATTTTCCAAGTTTTTAAACAAATTAAAAAAGATAATTAGTAACAAATCACAAATATTATATGTAAAACCAATAAAAAAATAAATGCTGTCCCACCAGGAATTCAATTGATCAATATAAACACAAAATAATGTTCACAAAGTGTTACTTATTCCATTTTTAAAATTACAAATCTTAAAACAAATATAAATTATTTCATTCATAATATATAGAAATAATTTGGAAAAAATTCTTTTAGTTTTTTATGTTTTTTTGCAAATCCTATAATATTTTCAACAACGATTCTACGATTTTTCTTCTTCTGTTAACTGAGCCCCTTTTTATATGCAGGTATATTTAAATAATATTCCTTTTTCCTTTAAAAGATCTATTATATCAAAACGCCTGTCCGCTAGAATTCACATTTAGGACAATATGTCCTAAAATTCGGAATTCTACTGTAATTTTTCTGCAATCTGAAATACCGTCTTCATAAACATCAGATACATATCTAATTTCACCTTTTTCAGCTCATGTTATTAGTATTTTAAAGGTGTTGGTTCCATAATATGTAGAATAAATGTTGCCTGTTGTACTGCTACACAAAGTCTTTTTCTATATTTATCACTTCTCCTACAGTCCTTCACTGATGTCTCCGATTTTCTTTTTGGTAAATTTACTTTAAGGTGGTGCATCTTTTTTAAGGATATCATATTGCCCTAGAAAAACAAGACAATGACAATACAAGAAATTAGGATAAGTATTTTTTAACCCAAACTTGTAACGGTATAACTTTCATTTGAAAAGTGCCTGGAATAGATTTTTGTATGCTTGCTGATACTTTTTTCAGATCTGGTAGCGATCAATCATCGCTTTTGTAAAGCTTTATTTAAGGGGAAATTATGAAACGTTTTAGAAAACGAAAGTTTTATTGGAAACTGAATTGCATTCCATTATTACAAATAATTAAAGTGTCCTAAATAACTTATTAAAAATCACTCACAAAATTGCATACCAACTAGGAAACGAGTACTAGCAAACAATGTAAATAAATGGCAGAATAAAATAAGGTTATGTTTTAATACCAAACCCTAACGCCAGCGCCACCTACATGCATGTGATCTATTAGGCAGAAGGTGAATGCTAAATGCAGCAACACTGACGACTCTGATTCCAGACTGTCAGCGCTACAAGCAACAGAAACAGAGCTTACTGCAAATAATGACTTTGCAGTAGGCTCCGTTTTTTTCTTATCATTTTTTCTTTACTTCTGGAAATGAAAGATTAGAAAATGGACAGGAGCATTCTTTGAAAAACTTATCAAAGAAATAGAAATGGAAAGGTTTGCCACCATAACATTAAAAATTAATATGGTAGTAGTACAAACTTACCTAACATTTAAATCAATAGACTCTTGAAGTTTCTGTTGAGATTTGGCTATGCTATTATGTAACTGCTTATGGTGTTCCCTATTTTGTACTAATGAATCTTGTTTTTCAATTAAATCAAATCGACACAAGGCCTTCTGTGTTTCCCGTAAGAGCTCCTGCTTGTTCAATTTTGCGAAATCCTGTACCCTATCTTGAGGAAGAAACTGGCAAAGATTGTCAACTTGAATATTGAAAGGTTTAATACATTCCAAAACGTCATTTAGTTTAACTTTTCTGTTATTTATTTTCCATATGGTTTTATCACGAACATCAAATTCTCTAGTCACCTAAAATTTATATGATATAGTTATAACCTACAGGATAACTATAAAGCAGAGCTACCTTCCATGGTTAAATTTGATAAACATGCATATGATAAAAATGAGACTCAGTTTCCAGACCCAAAATTTTGAGCATAAACATTGAAAGTTGATATTTAGTAAATTTCATATTGTTGGTATATCTACAAGTTTATGCTCCAACTGTAGACGGATATGATCTGTGCAACAGAAACGAAAGGGATGACAGGCTTATCGAATTTTGCCAAAACAATACTTTTGTTATAGCTAATACATTGTTCAAAATGCCAAAGATAAGACTATATACCTGGAAGTCACCAGCAGATCAAGAAGAGAGAATTGTAAGAAACCAAATAGACTATATAAGTGCCGACATAGGATCAGATTACAACCCAGTAGTGAGCAAAATTAGGCTCAAAATAAAAATAATATAACAAAGAACAACTAATGCAAAAATCGATACAAGTAAATTAAGGAACCTACTCATAAGGCAACGCCTGGCAGATGAAATAAACAACGGATTAATGAGTGTTAAAGAACAAATTCTGCAAAATACTGAGACGGAGAAAAAATTGTTATTAATAAAGAGAGAAATAGATAAAAGTCAAAAAGAAATTCTAATACCAACCAGATATAAAAAGAAGCAATGGATGACAGAAGAAATTTTAGATTTAATGGTAGAAAGACGTCAATATAAGAGCAAAGATAATCAGATGTACAAAAAAGTGGATAAACAAATAAAATATAGAATTAAGAAAGCGAAAAAAAAATGGTTAAAAGAACAATGCGTAGAAATAGAAGAATACCAGAAAAGACATGATAGTTTACACACATAAAAAAATTAAAGAATTAACTCACAATAATAGAACAAGAAAACCGGGAATACTGAAAGATACAAAAAGTTTAAAATAACAAGCCTAATATACTGGCATAGCCTTTATAGTACCTAATTTTTATTTATATGCTTCACAATCTGTAACCTCACTTGATTCAACGACAGCATAGCTGTCAGTCTTTGAATTTAACTTGATACACTATCACACAGCACACTATCGCAATTTCAAGATTGTTTTCAATCATAAAGCATGCATAGATGTGTACAAACTCAAATCCAAAGATCAACAACATGAGGATATAGTAATTTTCTCACCCAAGCAGTTAAAAAGATGACATCTTATCTGATCCCCATAAACGAAAATAAATGTATAATACTCTGAGAAGACAATTGAATGAATATGTGAAAACAGTATTGGGAAAATATCAAGCTAGCTTCAGGATTAACAGATCTAGAATTGATCTAATTTTTACAGTGAAAGAGGTCAAAGCAAGTTATTATAATTATAAAACAAAGTTACACAGAATATTCATTGATTTCAAATAAATATACAATAGAATTAATAGAAAAATATTGTTTGAAGAAATAAGACAGCTAGAGATACCAACTAAGGTGACAAGGCTAACAAAACTGAACATAGGCAACTAGAACTGGGCTGTTTTGAAATGGGTTAAGATCAGAGACTATTTAAGTTAAAAGTGGGCTACAGCAAGGTACTATCAACAACTTTGTTCAATTTACATCTGGAAATGATACTAAAAAACGGTGATTTAAAAGGACATATATAAATAAATTTTCATGAACTTGATCTTATTCCAAAATCGCATTATTTAAAAACTAGATAATGCAAGATTTTTATCAATTTTGAAATAAAATTGATAAGAATGCTGCAATTACATATTTTTTTCATATTAATTATCTCTAAACTGATAATTATATTGGATTCATAGTTATTTATATATGTGGACAGTGTTGCCAAATATGCAGGACAATACTTTTAATTTCTGAATGTATAAAACAATTAGTGGCAATATTGTTATTAATCAAGATCCTCTTTAAACAACATATGATGTAAATGTTTGGACAGAAGTTGAGTGTGGTTCAGATCATCTACTACTAACAGTTTCTTCTCCTTCTTCACTACCAGGATTGTGCTTTGCATGTTCCATCTTCACAATGGTATTATGGACATCTTTTTCTTGGTTCTCTCACATCTCTCTTGATATTTAGATCATAACAGTATATTTTTTTTAGCTGTCTTTTGATTTCCATGCTGTGAATATGTTGTCTCTATTTCATATTGTTTGTCTGTTAATACAAAATGTTTTACTGCCTTTACAATATGTGAAAGATATCATTTGGCATTCAGTATTTCCCAAACCTTATTTTCATCAACTCAGTCAAAAATTTTTTCAATGAAAAGTCAATGAAAGCTATCTGTAGCAGTATCGCAATAGTTGATATGTCAATTTAGTCTAATTTTTCAGTACAGCATTTTGAAAGTTTGAACTGCCCCCTAATTCATAAAATTGCTTGAACCAAATTGCTTGTTCTAATGAAAATTCGTTCTTAGAGGAAAAACATTTGTTAACATCTGTTTTATTAAAAAATGATTATTCTTAATTGTTTATAAATAGGGAATTTTCAACAATCAACCGAATAGAACAAAACAACTTAGAATGAGATCCTACAGAATACACAGAATAATATGAGGAAAATAATAATACCATACATAAAAAGAATATCAGAAATCTTAAAATGATAGGAAATAAATTCAACATTTCAACAACAAACACATTGTGGTCTATTTTATCTAAAAACAAACCTAACAATGAACAAGAAAGAACAAATAATTGTATTTATAAAATACCTTGTGAATGCAATCAGTTTTATTTAGGTGAAATATCAAGGCCATTAAATGTTAGAATACGTGAACATCAATCTTATAATAAAAATAGAGAATTGTATAGATCTCAAATATGTAAAAACGCATGGGATAATGAACATAGGGTTTAATGGAATGATTCAAATATAGTCCTAAAAGAAACGGATGGTAAAAAGAGAAAAATCAAAGATGAAGCTCTAATTATGCTAAATGAGACCAATTGTGTAGCAAGTTTCTTGGCAGAATACAGTAGGTACAGGTTACCCATAGAATGTGGGGATAGTATTATGAGGTTTTTTACTATGGAATTACTAACAGGAAAATTTTACTATCCTCATGGCATGTAGTCATCTTTTTAAAGACCAATTACATAGTATGATTCTTTTTCTGATGGATATTCTCAAGTTAAAGTTGATTTCATGAAATGGGACGAACTTTCTTACAATAGGAACAAAATTCAGCAAATAAGTATATGTCTGGATTCTCAATATAAATAAGTCAGATCAAATTAAATTATAAGAAGTATTTTCCACCAAGTAAAAAAAAAATTTGTTTAATTTATTGTTTGTATTTTGATAACAATTTCTGAAGTGGAAATTGAAATGTCAATAAATCTATTTTAACCTTAAATTGTGGCTCTTTCAGATTAAAATGGTAATTACCAATTTGATTGATTAATTTTGACAATTACAATATGTCAATTTTTATTCAACAAAATAAATAGTTGATTTAGACCATCGAAAAACATCAACGCAAAGCACTTGTTGCAATATTACCAAAATCAAGTGCAGAAAAAAATAAAGATTAAGATAGGATGTAATAGATAACGATATCAAAGTTTTGGAGATCACTATACACAGAATATTAAATGCAAACATCTAAAAAATGAAAAAGGAGCTGACTAACAGGAGCTACTATTGTTTTGAAAAATTGAACAGCCTACATATAATAATATATATCATCTTTACTTACTTTAATAAACTTATTATCTTCTTTGTCTTGAAGATATGTATTTATAACAGCATTTTCACAATTGTGTTTCACATACTCTGAAACTTTTGTTCCTCTTCCAACAACTTTGGGGTTTCCACCAAGACCTAGAATTATAGCCGCTACCATGGTAGATTTTCCAGTACCATTGGGTCCTATTATCATATTTAAGTTTGGTCCTGGATAAAATTCTACATGGGAGTAAGTTACAAAGTTCGTTACTTCTATTTTTCTAATTGATCCGGGCTGATACATCTTAAATTTTGTTTAATGAACTTACGTATTAGTAAATAAATAACTTATGCAAATATTGTCGATACCTACAATAAAAAATCACAGCATTGAAATAAAGCGCTAAAAAATGCATCGACATTTAAATTAAAACCAAAACTAATATAACCTCTCAAACGTGAAAGTGTTTTGACATAATACAACAATACAACCGCCAAAATCACAGAAAATATAGTTCGTAAAACCACAACTTGTGAAAAAACTATAATTATTTCTATGGAAGCGAATGAATCATACAAGATAAACAATTAATGTATCCACGGAAATAGAGATTAACATGCAATTTCTAAACCACAGTTATCAATTATGATGTTGATAACATATCGATACTTATTATTTAACTTGTACTAGGTTTGAATCAAACTATTATATTTTTTTATGGTAAAATAGTAAAAATAAAAATTACGCTAAAGTTTGGCTGATTTATTGGATAATAGTCACGAAAGTTACTGTATGACCGTTTTTTCTTGTTTGGAATAACTAAATATTAAGCTAAAAACACTAAAACAAATTCAAAAATAAACAATTGTCAATAATAGTTTACTTTGTTACATTTATTGTCAATATAATATTGTTTGTATAGACTTCCGTTCGAAATTAAAATAAGTCCAACGTACTTCACAAGAAATTTAAATTTTACTATTATAGACAGGGAATTGGTTCAGTAAACTGAGTATACAACTAATTACGTTGTTATATTACTTTTGTTTCAGTTAAATCAATCCTACTACATTCTATGGTGCGTATCAAAATACCTAATATTTGTAAATTCGGCGATCAATCCCCTTATCTACGGAGTAACCAATGAGAAGTTTTTTAGAGAGTTCAAATCAACCAAAATAGCGCAGATTATTTGTGGACCATGTATGAGGACAACAAAATCTACGAAAAGGAATAAATCTATCCAGGAAGCCAATAAAAAATATAAAATCTTCATTATTTTTAAACGAAAATATAAACCCCAAATTAAGGAAGAACTAGAGGAACCACCGGCCTCTGTTAAAAAAACCATCAACACTCAGTTATAAATTGTATCTATATATTGTAAAATGATTTCATTTTAATACATTTTTATTCTACAAAATGCCTATTTTTTTATAAAAACAAACTTTTTGCAGCTGCTGTCCAAAGAAATATGTTATTTGACAGAACACCAATGACAGTTTGGGTTTGTTCTGTGTCAAAATTTCATTTTTAAAACCAGTTTAAATTTATCAACATGTGCTATTTTATTTTATAAAATTAAAAATGGTGCGTTGTCTAATTTGCTTCTTTCGGTTTAGTAAAGTAAAAAAATTATATGGACATTATTTTAAATGTCACAGGAAAATTGAGATTATTAGGAAATTTATAGAAGCAAATATTTTGCTACCATCGGTAGTAAAAACACACCGCAAAAACAATGTTCAAAGCATACAAAAGAAGCGTACTAAAAAGCCTTGCCAAAAGTTTACGAAATTGAATATTGAAGATTTGCCGACAGAACCTGTGGTACTTGGTGAAAATATACGCATATTTTGTGGGGATGATGAGATTATACGCATTGGTGATAACAAACATAGCATCAAATTGTCATTTGAAGATGATGGTAACCAAAATAAGGATATATGCTGTCTCACATTGAAAGAGATAGGAAGGTAAATTGTTTTTATTTTATATTTCACCATTATTAAATATTGTCATTAACAGACATTCTATTTGAAAATTTTAACTTCGATGTAGTTTGATGAATTGATCAATTAGTCTTCCTTAAAATTACTTTCTTGTATCTTTTTGCCGATATCCTTTCGCCAACTTCGTCTGGGTTTTCTCTTTGTTTTCGCGTCTCATTTTAAAATTTGTTTCCATAGGCATTTTCAGCCATTCTCAGTAGGGGAAACCGGGGTTAGTTGTTACAATTTTTAAATTTTATTTTTTTGTGCATTCAATATTATTATGTAAAATATGCACCTCACAAAAATTGATGTAAGTAGTATTTTATGATGAATTTTAAATATTAGATTTACAAGACTTGCCACTTTTAGGAAAAATATATATATATTTGAATCGGTCATTTCGAGAATAACATGAGTCACATATTTCTAATTTTACAGGAGAGCAAAAAAACTAAATAATTGAAAGATGGATGAAATGGATCACCTCAAAATTCAAAGTCGTATCGTAATTGTGTTTCTAATCTAATGATCTATAAATCGTCCCGAAAAAAAAATAAAGGTTTTTTGAAAAATATAACCATTTACATTTTTATTTTGAAAGTATAGTAACTACAAAAACTGGTAAATATTAATTAAAATTATGGAACAAAATCAAATTCATACTCTTAGCGGAAGTGTGCCTATGTTGGACCTCTGTCTATGACGGACCCACGGCTGGAATTTTAAATAGCGCGCGGTTACATACACATCGCCGGTTGCCGCTTGCGTACGAAGTTTGTAGTTTAGTATTTGCAAAGTTTCAGACACGTGGCTGTTATAACAGTAAATTTGTGAAATAAAATTAAAATTTGGCGTTGCTGATCTAATAAATTTTTTTGGTAAGTAGCATGTTACTGGTAACACGTTAAGCTAAGTGTTGCTTTTGTTTTGTATAAAATGACTACACTTTCTTTGTCAAATACTATACTTTGTTTTAGGTTAAAATGGTTAAAACAAAAGTAACAGAATTAAATTTGCTGCCTTGTCTATTTGCCTATGATGGACTCCTTTGTCGTTACCTATGACGGACTAGGCGTCCATCATAGGAAAAAGAAAATAAAATTGGACACACCTTCAGTTTTTGTTACTTAGTGTTTAACATAATATGTTTTACAGGGATGGCTCTACAAAAAAGGTAACAGTGGAACGAGAGTAATATGCAACAAGCTTTAAAAAGCATACAAGAAAAAACTATGGGGTTTAAGCTGGCAGCAAAAACATTTAACGTTCCAAAAAGACTTTGAAAAAGCGCTTTATTAAGCATCAAGGAAGTATCAAAGGTGATTTGGGAGGACGAAGACCAATATTCTCCACTACTATTGAACAGGAAGTTGCTGACCATATTATTACTATGGAAACTCGTTTTTTTGGCCTGACTAGTAAAGATTTGCGAAAACTTGTATACGAAGTAGCTGAAAGAAGCCACAATTTTAATAAGGAAACCAGGATGGCAGGCTGGAAATGGGTCAGAGGCTTTTTAAAGCGAAATCCTCGAATATCATTACGCACTCCAGAAAATACTTCGTTGGCAAGGGCTCAAGCTTTTAATAAACCAAATATATGTGCCTATTTTACTGCATTAGCAAATATATTAGACGAGTTTCACTTTCCACCGGAAAACATTTATAATATGGACGAGTCTGGTTTGACAACTGTGCAAAAGAAATCGCAGAAAATTTATGCTAGTAAAGGTCGCAAACAAGTTGCTTTAAGTAGTGCAGAGCGCGGTCTACATGTTACGGTCGTATGTGCAATGAATGCAATTGGAACATATGTTCCTCCTGCTTTGATTTTTCCTCGACAGAGAAAGAAAGATGAACTTATGATCGATGCACCTACTGGAAGTATAGCCTTCGCTCAAGAAAAAGGATGGATGACTTCCGATATTTTCTATTTGTGGCTGCAACATTTTTTAAGGTATACAAAGGCTTCTAAAACCAACAAAGTTTTGTTGTTACTCGATGGCCATGGTAGTCACAAAAGTTTTGAAGCTCTCCAGTTTGCAAAGGAAAACGGTATTATTATGTTTTGTTTTCCTGCTCACTGTTCTCATCACGTTCAACCCTTGGACGTAGGATTTTTTAGACCACTTCAAATTTACTACGCCCAAGAAATTCAATTATGGCTGCGACAGAATCCAGGTAAAACGGTGACCCAATTTAAAGTAGCCAGTCTCTTTAATAGAGCGTATTTAAAAAGTGCTTTACCATCAAATGCAATAAATGCATTTAAAAAGACAGGAATACAACCATTCAATCCAGATGTCTTCGAGGATTGTCAATTTTTGCCGTCTATAACAACATATAGAAAAAATTCTGAACAAAACCCACTGCCAGAATGTTCTGACCAGAAGTCACCACCGGAACATTGGAGCCAAAATGTTTCTTCGATTGGAAGTTTATCAAAAAGCCCCACTGATCAGAAATCAACATCATCGTCAGTTCTAACCATCTCGGTAGAAGATATTTGTCCTCCACCTTTAGCTGGAGTATCTCAAGTAATGCAGAAAAGGGGTAGAAAACGGGGTAAAACAGGATATTTAAATTCAACGCCAGAAATTGAAGATATAAAACAAAAAATTGCAGACAAAGAAGCAAAAAAAGGAAACAAGACGCCAGAAATGTGAAAAGGCAAGTTCGTGTTCCAACTACAAGTGGTTCTGAAGACCATTGTGAATGCTCTTTTGTAGAAGGCGACTCAGACGATGCAGCTTGCATCTATTGTAACGAACTATTTTCGCATTCACGATCCAATGAAAAATGGATTCGTTGTCAAGTGTGTAAGAATTGGTGTGACACTTAATGTGCAGATGTAAATCCTCGACATAAACAATTTGTGTGTGAATTGTGCGCGTAATTTTTTTATTCTTAAAAATACCATGTGTAATATTTTTTATCGTTTGTAATGTCTTTTGATCTAATAAAATAATTTGGTATTTAATTATTTTACACAAAATGCAACGAGTCCATCATGGGCGTACCAAAGGGTCCATCATGAGCGCATATAAGTATGCCCATGATGGACCCTTAACAGGATTTTATTAAATTATGAATAAATTTTTAACGTCACTTTTTCTGCAAAATTTGAAACATTTACCGTATTGTACAAATAACGAGACGTTATGTGGTCATATTTAAAGTCTGCTAAGTAAATAATTAAAATTATTATGAAGCTATTTTCTTAAGGGGACCATCATAGGCACATTTCCCCTACTAAAATTATTAGCGTTTGTACTAGATGGCGCGTCTGTATCTATCAAACAATAACAAAATATTTAAAAGTGGCCACTGTACCTGACTGGCCACTGTTCCAGCCTCCTGTTCCAGTCTTTTATCATACTTCGCGATTATTTCGGAAATTAATGTTAGTTTTTACTTGAATTTTTAGTCAGAACAAAGCAAATCTTCCAGGAATATTGAAAAGAAATAATAAAAAAGAAAATACTTGCAAGAAGAAAGTCAAAAGAAAAAAAGTAGCCAAAAAGAAGAAACAAAACATCGAAATCAACATACCAAAAATTAAAGAACCTTCATTGCCCAGTAAACCAACTGCTGCCTTTGAAGCGAGTTGTTTCGACCCCAGACAGTATCCAAAAAACGAATTACGACTTCTTACGTCAGATACGGAATCCTGTTCAGACACAAGCAAGAACTCCTCCGTGCCACTCGAAGACACCAAACTCTTTTGCATGAAATGCGGAAGCGGCTATAAAACCCAACATGAGTTATCCGAGCACATGTACATACACGAACCATTTTGCAGGTTATGCAATACTTGGTTTCCAGACGAGTTCACGTTCAAGCAGCACATGCAGCTGCACAAAATAAAAATTTTCGCTTGTCACGTGTGTAACGCGGAATTTCCGTTTAAAGAGTTGCTGTTTAAACATTTCGAATGTCACATGGAAGACAGGCTTTTTGAGGATGTTATAGATATGGAAGAAGATTATAAAACGTTTCAGTACAGTTTTGTAAATACCAACTATAACACTAGTATAAATAGTATTTTATGCTATCTTAAAGATAGACCTGATTTTAATTATTGCAACTATAATATTATGAAAACGATCTGTGATTTTTGTTACAAAGAAGTTTCTGTCAATGAGTACGAACGACACTTACAGATTTTTCATAGCTATTAGAATTTTAAGGGTTGTTTAAGGCTGACTGGGGAGGTTTGATATACGTAATTTAATTTTTCATATTATTACATTTATGAAAATTCATACAGAAACCGTTTTATGATTTTGACATTTAAATACCTATATGGAAAATTCCTCTGTGGTATAGAGTAAAACGAACATGTAAAACTATTGAGATAATGTATAAAATATTGATTTTTGATTTACTTCTGTTTTTTCTACTGACACTTTTTGGCGCTAATAATTTTAAAATACATAATATAATATCTCTTTAGCGATGTTACTGGTTGCATACCGCTGGCGGTCTGTTACCGAACTACTCAAGAAATCTGTTTTAATAGAACATTGTTATTTAAATAATTTACACAGTTTAAAGAACAGGTGAGTAGGGAATTCTCACGACGTAATTTAGTCCAGTTAGAAAATTTCAATATACATTTTGTATTAGGTTTCAAATTGGAACGTTTTGGACTTGGGATCAAAAACACTCCGTAGTGGTAGCCCATACTTTCGTATTTTCCAGCTACTTCTGTTTTATTGGATCTGCGATTTCGAAAAATATGTTTATTAAAGTCTTTGGTCATGCCATGGTCTTTAGGTTTCAGTCAGCTGTAAGATCTATAAGAACTGTCCCTTTTGCGATTTTAGGAACTATCTTTTATGTCTTGAGTTAATTCAAGTATATGCTAGGTGCTGCTTTTACTCCAACTAAATCAAGTATGTTGGATGATGGGATGAGATTCAATACCAGCTGTCAGCATGTTAGGGATCATTCGTTCAAGGTCCTTATATAGGTGGCACAGCAGCGATATTGCTCTATTATTACAGCTCTTGGGATCATTTCTGTCTTTTCTAGGTTTCAAGATTCAGATTTAGACCAATTGTGCCCATTTTTTTTATTTGTTCCGTTCTCATATCATCAAGGCCAGTTTCTTTGTCATTTTTACAGGGGTTAATAGCTTTGTTGATCCCCATCAAGATAAATGGTCTTGAAACTCCTCAGTATTCTTCTTTGGTTATCGTTGGATTTTTTCCTTTGCTAAGCCCATAAGTTTCCCAGTTTTAAGCAATTGGTGAGCGATGTGATCAGCTTTAATGTTGGCGTGTCTAGTGGTCTTTGTGGGATCGTCGAAAAAACGCCTCAATAGTGACCAAGTCTTTTACTTTCGGTGTTATCCATCTCACTTTTAGTTTCTGTGATCTTATGTGAGTATATCACTGTGTTTTTATAATATCTCCGGTAATATTGGAGAAACTTGGATATTTTTTTTCTAATCTGGTGTAGCGCTTGAAAATAATAATAACTACACAGTCCTTCTTCCAATGCAAAATGAATACATGAATTTGTTATAAAACTTTTGTTTCTAATTTTCTTAGAAGAATTTTCTTTTTTCTCTTCTTCTGGGCTAGGAAAAAGATTTTGCTGACACGCGTTTTTATTTGGCTTCCACTATTGCTATATAGGTACAGTACTGTACGAATTAATGGAATCATAGGCTGTTTTAATGAAAAATAGTTTATTTAGAAAAAAAATATATTTTCACAGATCTATAAAGGTAAGCTTACATCATTTAGTGGGAAATATGTCTCCCTTTGGCTGCAATTACTGCTTTTACCTGTTTTGGCATAGATTCTACCAGCTTCTATCAGTTTCCAGATATCCTTTCCCCTCGAAAGCAAACCTGAATGACCACTTCTATCATTTTTATTTTTCTAGTACAGCTTTTCAATGTGGTTGACGTCTGGTCGTCTTTGAATAGGAGCTATTTTTTGTGTGGACGCATTTCCCTTTTACCATTCTCCAAAAGTCTTTCCCGAACAGTTGAGTCATGAATCACTACACCTGATGCTGTTGGAGCTCTTGGCTTGTTTTTCTTAGGTGCAATTGCTATTTTGAAATAAAAATCTTTATGCTATGTAAGAGTCATACGGGTGTCTATAGACGTTCTCATCTTTCTTGGCGTGTGCGTGTAAAAACACTTGCAATAAGTTGTTTCATCTGTCTTTCCTTGTCTAAACTCGATTCGTTTAACTCCTCCAGTGGCAGCTATCTGCATTCGTAAGGAGGCCGAACTTATCACCGACACCGTATCGGCCAAACGCATCGGTGTTATTGCTACAATACTGGGAGACGTGAGTGGTCTCTTCATTCCCTTCTCATCGCACTTTACCATGACAAACGTGACTCGCACAATTGAATTACGCATCTGTGTATCAGAGTGAGACGAATATTAAAAATTCCGTAGTAGCTTATTTCAGGCATATGCCAAGAACGATGAAACCGAGTTTACAACTTTCCGCTGAGCTAGTGGCGTAGGTTTTAGAATATTGTATATCAAAAAAGAAATGAGAATTTAGGTACAGAAAAAGTATGTGTTTTTTAGAGAAACAAAGTACTTAACATGTAACGTAAGACTACCCCTTGTCTTAAGACTTACTTACTTAGCATATTAATTTGTATTTTTCAATCTAGGAGCATTATTATGGAAAGCTATTCGGGAAATCCTATGATCGCTGAACAGCTGTTCTAATCTAAATTTGGCTACTACCACAAACTAAAACGAAGGAAAATCGTAAATTTAAATATGAATTACGACTCAAATGGAAGAGTAATATGGATATAGATATACTTCCATCTTTTAATCACGTTATTCAGGTTCTAAGCTCATATCAAACCTTTCCAGTCTGTCTTAGTTGATAATTTAGAGAAAGACTTTATTTATTATTAACGAGAGTTCCTATTTTATTTTATATTTTTATGATCTTTAATAATGAGACCTATTTGACAAATTAATATGCTCTATTAACACTAAAATCAAAAAACCTTTATACAATGTTTGATTGATACGTTTGAAAGAAATTTTTTCAGGAAGGTAAATACAAAAATTAAAGTTTTTATTTGATTGACAAAACGTTTTGGCTTTTGTAGAACAAAAATAAATTATTTTTGTTGATATTGTTAAGTTTTCTATTTTTGTTACTATTTCTTTAATATTTTCTATTATTTATGTATTCTAAGAATTACCAAGAATAAACATTTTTTTACGTTGTTGTTTTTTAAATGAAACCCCTAAACACTGAATTTTTTATTTTATTATAAAAATATTTATTTAAAATTACAAAAAAAATTAAGCTTAGAAACAGAGATATTGCAATTTTAATCAGCGCGTTCAGATTTGAAGTTTCATTCTCGGACAAGCGATATTTTACAAGTACTATCACTTTAACGGGTTATACATTTTTACTCCTTCTCGATATATGACATCTATAATATCATCATCATTCTGGCTTTACAAACCTGCGTGGTTCCTAGCCTCCTCAGGGATTTCTCTCCATCGCCTTTCTCCGCCAAGCACGTATTCCCATATTTCTCATGTTTTCATGAAACCTTGTTCTGGATCTTCCTCTTCTTTTCTGACCAATGAGTATCAAGCAGCGTTTTTCTAGCTGGGTCATTTTGTTTCTTCCGCATTACATGTGCTATCCACCTCAGACGTCTTAATATTTTTTACGATCTGGTTCCTGGTATATTTGTAAGTTCCAAGTTCTATCCTCTTCTCCACACTTCATTTTCATTCACTGTTCCATAGATCTGCCTTAATACTTTTCTTTCGAAACATCCTAACATGTTTTCATTACTTTTTGTTCTCCAGGTCTCTGAACCATATGTTAGAACTGGGCGTATTATTTTTTTGTAGAATTTTATTTTTGTATTTCTCGATATAATTGTGGATTTAAGGAGGATATTGATCCCAAAATAGCACCTATTGCCTATTTACAAGCGCATGACATAAAAAATATCGAGAAATATCGAATAGTGAACAGTTTTATACAAGATTAGCTTTCAAATATCTACCCTTCCATGCATACACAAAGGTACCCTATTGCCGGACTACAAGTTGTGACTGAGAGGACAACGAATTCATTAATTTGAAGTTTAAACAGATAAATATCGCCTGAAAGATCCAAAATAATCTCAAAACATCCAGTAAATGAATACACAAATAAAACTAAACAGCTTCTGCTATAATATATAGTTTTTATTTAACAAAAATAATACATCCTCACATTTTACTACTCAAATTCCTGAAATCCAAAATGAATTTTTTTCCAATCATACCACCTGGGGTTAGAGTATTTCTTAAAGCTTCCTTATAACTCAAAAAATCAACTAACACGTGCGGTGGTGCTTTTAACTTTCCCTCTAACACCATATCGACGATCTCATTCATTATTTTAGGAAGTTTGGCGAAATTCTCTTCTTTATTATACCATCGGGTGGTGTTGAAACCGTCTAGTCGGATATTTTTGAATACCAGAGCCGTCGTTGAGGCTATAACGGGTTCTAACGACATACCACCGTAAGTTACTAACACTCCTTCATCACTTAAATGCCTCATAATGCTAGTGGCTGAACTTCCACCGATGCAGTTGAGTCCTAATATAGGATTGTTTAACTCTCCACTTTTATATATGTCGGTCTTTCTGATTTCTTCTTCGGTAAAAACATAGGTAGCACCTAAACCTATAAAAAAACACAAACTGTTATATATATTTTAGGAATTTAGAATAAAATAGAAGTGAATATTCAACATAATACTTTTTACACCATCACAGGTTTTATTTATATCTTTACATACAAGTAATTGCCTTGGCACGAATGATTACCTACAAGTAATAAAGTCCTTGATAGAGAAAGAATACAAGAAGTCATTGATATTATTAGTTGTAGAATTTGAGAAAGCATTTGACTCAGTCCAACATACCTCCATGCTATGATTTTTTCTAGTATGTTAACTAATTTCCTTTTCGAGTTCTTCATCAACTCTTCCTTGCTTTAACCTTCGGAGTACGAAGACTGGGTCAAGCGTGACCCTAAATTCACTTCTTAATATTTCATGAAATATTTTTTTTACAAATCTGATTGTTCGTAAGTTCTCCTTATTTGTTTCAATCTATTTTTTCGTGTATCATTCGTGAACATGCAAATTGCAGTTTTTCCTCTACGTAAAATCTATGATTCGGATTTTGAAGAATTTTTCAATGTGTTTGTATTTTTTTTTTCTTCTTTGGCTTGGACAATTGTCATTCAGCCAGTCTCCATCAACATAAGTTTTGTTAAAGAAAATGTGTTTGTAGGTACACGTAAAACGCAGCCGTCTCTGTTTTCCAGTAAACGTATTCAAGGCAAAATGATTATGTTTGTAGAAATATTAATAGATAGAAGTTAACCTTGGGAGTAATGTAGTGTTTGTAGGTACACGTAAAACGCAGCCGTCTCTGTTTTCCAGTGAACGTATTCAAGACAAAATGATTATGTTTGTAGAAATATTAGTAGATAGAAGTTAACCTTGGGATTAATGTAGTGTCTAATAGGCATATTCTATGGGAACGTCCGAGACGAGAGGTCTAACTTTGGTGTAAAGCGGTATTTTACGTTTGTTGATCAATTTAATTCAAGCATCGATCTTGAAGTGTGCAGTATTATATCAAAATGTGGAAAAAGAATAAACCTTTGAGTGAAGCTGAGTTGTATGCCTTACTCCTATCAGATAGTGAAGAAGATGATGTTGCAGAGCTGGATGAAAGTAATAGTGAAGCGAGTGATAATGACGGTTGTGAGCCAGAAGCACATGAAGGGAATTTATCAATTACCGAACTCGAGAATGAGGAAGTTTTAGCGACAAGTTTTGAAAGTATAGCGTATCTGATGTTTTGTGCGAAGGACGAACATGGCGTTATTTAGCTCCAAAAAAGGTTAAGACATTGGCATGTAATTTATTACAGAAAAACGTAGGTCTAACTAAGAAAAGTCAAAATATTGAGACATGCATGGATGCCTTCAATTTATTTTTTTCTGATAGTATAATGTCAATGATTCTTGAGTATACCAATAAGAGAGCTATTGAGTTCATAGCTGCGTATAACAGTAAGAACGAGAAAAAAATGAAGGATTGGATTGAAGTTGATCTAGTCGAACTGCGTGCTTTTTTTGGTATACTTATATTATGTGGAAGGTTCAGAGAGTCCCATAAGAAGGTGCATAATTTATGGTCCAATACAAATAATGCATTTACTCGTCCTATATATAAAGCATCTCTAAGCCGGGATAGATCTATAAGTATTTTGAAGCATATTCGCTTTGATAATTTGGAAACGAGAGCAGAAAGAAGAGAATGAGATAAATTAGCTCCTATTCGAGAAATTGCTGATCTATTTGCCCAAAATTGTAGGGAATCATACGAACCATCTGCTTTTGGTACTATTGACGAGCAGCTTATAGATTTTAGGGGACGTTGTCCATTTCTGATTTATATACCAAGTAATCCAAAGAAATACGGTATAAAGGCTTGGACCCTATGTGACGCTAAAAATTTTTATTGCTGTATATCTTGTATATCTCTTTGAGATATATACTGGAAAGATTGGTGATCAATCTGAACGTAACCAAGGCCCAAGAGTTGTCAAAACACTTGCAGAACGTTGGTATAGGTCTGGTCGAAATATTACAACTGATAACTTTTTTACCGATATTGCTTTATCTGAAGAACTGTTAACCAAAAATTTAACTCTTTTGGGTACTATCAGAAAAAATAGGAAGAGTTTACCCAAATCATTACTTGAAATGACAGATCGCTCACTGTATTCTTCAAAATTTTTGTTCACTAAAAACATTACCTTAGTTTCATATGTAACCAAGCCTAATAAGTTTGTTGTATTATTATCGACCTTACACAATGAACATGAAATTTCTGACGAAAACCAAAAATTTAAACCAAAGATTATTTTGGATTACAACAAAACCAAAAGTGGAGTCGAAATTTTAGATAAATTGATCAGAGACTACACATGTAAAAGAGCAACAAGAAGATGACCCTTACGTATATTTTTCAACTTTTGGATATTGCGTGCTACAATGCTTTCGTTCTCTGGAATACGAAAAATGGAATGAATGGAATAGCCAAGTAAATATAAAACATCACAGAAAACTATTTCTGGAGGAGCTTGGAAAACAATTAACCTCCAATATAAAACGAAGAGCGGAAGCAATACAAGAAGAACCCACCGGATACCCTAAATCCGTAATCGCTGCAATAGAGACCACCGGTGTTAGTGTAAAAAAGCAAATCGAAGTGCCGAAATCTGCAACAAAATGAGGTCGTTGTTATTCTTGTACGGGTAGTGACAATAAATATTCAAAAAGGTGTGACATGTGTAAAAGACTTGTTTGTAATACTCATTCAAAACGCAAAAAAGTCCATATTGTCAAAATTAAATGCAACTACTGCCAAAAAGACCACGATGGTAAACCATCTTAAAAAATTTAAATACAAAAATTTGGGATCATAATTTTTGTTTCTTTGTTTTTTTTGTTGAAATAAGATACTGTTTAATAATACTGACTATTCAAATCATCCTTATAAATAGAATGAGAATGGGTCACGCTTGACCCATCTTCGTAATCTAAGTCAAATAATCTCCGTACTCCGAAGGTTAATAAGTGAGTCGTATACATTTTCAGATTATCTATATTATCATTGGATCTTTCGTTATCCTTACTTTTATTCCATAATAAAAATCCTATTCTAAATTGGTTCTTTTTTTTTCAAATAAGACACAATAAAGAACAAATATATTGCCAGTGCCCACGGGGTAAATTGCCCAATCGCAGCGAACCAGTTTTGTTCGCCCACAATTTAGAACTTTTTAAATTATGATTTGTTATGCATCAATGCATAACAAACTTAAATTGTACACACCAAATTAAAGAAAACTATAATATTTTGGATACGTTATAAGAAATGCCAATAATAACTTGCTGCAGTTGATAATCGAAGGTAAGATTGAGGACATCAATGGTAAGAAATTACCATCAGATCACTATTCTGAGCAGCAGTACACAAAAAATCATGCAATTTGTTGTCAATGTTGTAAAATAGTTTAATCAACAAAAAACTTACTTTTTAAAAATGATTTTAGGTCATCAATCAGTGGTCTATCCCTCACCACATTCACATTTTTTATTCCCCATGCCTTGCACATCTGAATGGCAACAACTCCACAAGCAGAATTCGCTCCATTTTGAATAACGGTATCTTCAGGGCCTAATTTTACGAATTCTTTAAGCATTGTATACATTGTTATTGGGTTTATATGCAATGTAGCCCCTTCGGGAACATTCAAACTTTCGGGAATGCGAAATAAACTTTCTTCAGGCAACGTGAGATGGGTCCTCCATGTTCCTATAATAGATAACGTGCTTAGTGGAGTCATTTATCAAGATATGTAATATTATACCTGCATAAACAACTGGTATAACGTGATCTCCAACTTTAAGATTCTTCACTTCAGGACCAACTTTTAAAACTTTTCCCATACCTTCATACCCAGGGCTTTCAACTTTTAATGGGTATTTTCCTTGTACAATATTTATGTCTACGGGATTGACAGCAGCTGCTATCATTTGGATCAATGCTTCGTTTTTGTCTGGTTCTGGCATATCATAATTTTCCAAATATAGGACATCCAGTGGATCTCCTGTGCTGGCATATGTTATTTTGGTTGGCATTATGTACGTATTACACTAAAAGATAAAAACGGTTCTAACTATTGAACAGAACATAAATGACAATAGCAAATACTTTACAAACTACCACTTAGAAAGTTATATTCCTAGAAGTCGTCTATGGATACTGAATACAAATTATGAGAAAACATAAATATGGATTATATACTATTTTTAATTAAGGTCTTTCTATCTTTAAATAAAAAAAACAAAGTGTATTTTTGTGTTTAGGCAAAACAAGGCTTTGTGTTTAGAATATAACATCATTAAAACTTTCACGGATGCGGATAACGGAAAAGGATGCGGATAGTGAGGTGCTAAGTTTTTCCAGTGTTACTATACGGAGTTGAAGCCTGGACACTGACGCAAGCCACTGAAAAACGAATCGAAGCCTTCGAGATGTGGATATACAGAAGGATACTAAAAATATCTTATGTGGACCATGTCACCAACGTTGAGGTCCTACAGCGCATGACAAAAGTAAAAGAAGTGCTTAATTTAATTAAACAACGTAAGCTTGATTACCTCAGCCACGTGATGCGGAACGAAGAAAAATATCGAATTCTTCAACTCGTTATGCAGGGTAAAGTATTTGGCAGAAGAGGACCGGGATGCCGTCGTATCTCGTGGTTGAAAAATCTCCGACAATGGTTTGGGATGACCTCAGCGGAGCTGTTTCGCAGAGCAGTCAACAAAACCATGATAGCCTTGATGATCGCCAACATCCGGACCGGATAAAGCACTGAAGAAGAAGAAAACTTTCACAGCATTAAATATAGGTTGCTAATTAGGTCTAGGTTGGCTATTATGTAATAAAGAATATATTTCATCATTTCTAAACTAAAAATTCAAAAGGTTATGGGCCCAGCAGACTCTGATAAATACTTACGAGTAAAAATCAAGTAATAGTGATTATGTTCAAGGATGTTTGCAGGTCAATAATTTCCAGATTTCACAGGGGAGAATTTCAACAGTTGGAAATTTGGAGGTAAGACTTTATTAAATGAAAAGGAAGTATTATCAGTGATTGAAAGTTTAGACCCAACAGAGAGAGAAAAATTTACACACTATGCTGCAAAATCAAAGTCGATTATAGTTCAGTGTGTTACAGATAAGCATCTAGATAATATAAATAGATGTCAATACTGTTAAAGAAATGCTGAAAGCACTCGCTGAAATACCAAGCTTAGATTAAAAAGAAAAGCTGTTGATTTTAAAATGTAAAAGAGATCACAAACTGGAGGACCATTTTATAAAGTTTGGCAGAATTATAGGGGAACTGAAAGGAGTAGATATTAAGATATATGAATCAGACAAAGTATGTCATCTTTTCTTAACCTTAATGAAGTATATGAATAAGTAATTACTGCAATAGCAACATTAAACACTGGGGTAACTATGGATTTTGTTAAATCTAGATATTTGGATGCAGAGATGATAAAAACAACTTTTCCAACAAAAACTAACTTGAATAAGCATTTATGGTGTGAAGCAATGATATGTTTAGCTTATGAATTGAACAGGTGTCAGACAACAGCTAATGGCGGTAAAACACCATCTCAAATATGGTAAGGTGAGAATAATATCAATACTCTTAGAGTTTTTGGTTTTAAAGCATGAGGTGTAATACTTCTTAAGCCGAATAAATTTGATAATATAAAGAACAACCATTCAAATTTAAGGATATAGATAGTGAGATTGTAAAAATGACAAAATAATTACATCTACAAATGTTATTTTTGATTAAAAAAAAAATTAAATAAAAGGTACTGCAGTTGATAATGTCAACGATAATAGTAAAAATCAAATCAAAATGAAGAAAGATCTGAAGGAACTGAACATGGAAACAAGAAAAATGAAAGCATAGATGAAGATTAAAGAAATAATTGGAATTAAAATAGAAAGTAATGAAAACGATCCCAAGTATACTAGAAGAAGAGAAATAAAATTACCAGAATATGAATTGTACTCAACTTATTGCTATTTTTAAATGGCAAACCACACACATTTGAAGAAGCACTGAAAAATAAAGAGTGGAATAATGCAATTAATCAATAATTGATATATTTGAAAGGTATTTTATTTGATTTTAATTTACAGAGTAAATCAAAAGTTTTTATTGATAATTTGAGTATAATAGCAATGTGTCAATCTTTTTGAAAATTCTAAATGTGCCAAGCACATTGACATATTAATGAGCATCATATGACATATTTAGTTGCAAAACAATAATTAATATGTATTGTTTGTATTTGCTCTGAAAATAATTTTGCAGATTTATTGAAAGAAAAAATTGTCATCTACCTGTATCAACTGTCAAGTATCTCTTGTAACTGCTGTAAAATTATAAAAAATATATTTTTTTGTAAGATTGTTTAGATTTAAAGGATTTTTCCTTTTATGTCTTGCAGCAAAGTTAAAATCCAGCAGGAGTGTTAATTATAGGTTGGCTATTGTGAAACCATTAGTTATGTCAACATCATATTTGTTTTGTGAGATAATGATAATGGCAATGCAGAATGCAGATAAAAAACATAGCATGTTGATTCTACTAAATAGAAATTATCTATATAATCTTATCAATATTCTAAAAATACCAAAGAAATGCTGATAACAATATCCCCACACACTAAATGGTTGGCCCAATATTTTTTTCTTTCATTTATAGGTATATCAGACTCTGTTTAATTTAAGCATTCAAAAATGATGTAAATTATGTAAACAATCAGAAATTTGGAAATAATGAACAAACAAGTCAATTCAATTAGATTATTCCACCCTTTATCCTCATATCTTATATTATTTGCACATAGGTATCAGTACTGTAGGTACCTACACATTATATGTGAATATTAAGGTTTTTATAATTTCCAAAAGGCAAACAATATAAAAATGGAGCAAGTTTGAATTGTTGGTATTAAAACTGCCATTTCATTAATTTAAACATTAAGTACTTACATTTTTATTTCCTAAAAGTGTTCTGGAACTTATTCAAGGCACTCCAAAGTCCAACTGATTAATTGTTACTTAAAATAACATTTAAGAAGGTGCACTCATTCAAACTAGAGTGTTTACATTTATGATAATGAGTTAATTAATCATGACTTGGTATATGATAATTTCTTTCCATAAAAACTAGTTTTTCACATGTTAGCTATATAATATAGAAGTTTTAGTACATTCTTTTATGTTTTTTTCTTTAATTATACCTTTACCAAATTCAATTCCTAACAGGTTTTCATATGGGCAACTTACATTTTTATTTCATTAATCCAGTTTCTATAAAATTAGTACTTAAAATCATTAATTTATAGAGGCGAATAAACAAAATATAAATACTGCGAGTATAACAACAACATTATAACAACAGGTAGTTTTGTCACTTTTGTTTACATATTGAAAACAGGGTTGCCGTTATTTCTTTATTAAATTACGCCACAGCCACCTAAAGCTTACAAGCCGTGAACTAAAAATGGCAACGCCGCATCAGCTGTTAGAAGTAGTCCGACTATAAAGAGCCCATCAAAATAATAAATAAAAGAGGAACATCATAATATTCGCTATAAAGTTAAAATTAAGTAAAAAAATCGAACAAAATAGTTTGATAAGGTACATATATATATATATATATATATATATATATATATATATATATATATATATATATATATATATATATCACATCTATTAAAACTGCAAAACATTGAATACAATGAGGTGTAATATTAATAGAATTTAAAAGTAATACAAGTGCATTCAGCTTACATTATTTACATAATTTACGTTAAAAAAAAGAAAATATTCTTTTAATATTTTTGTAAACAACTTGCAGTTTATTGAATTCTAGTATCCCTTGAGCGAATATTATATTTATTAAGAGTGGCTTAAAAAAATGTTATTGAAATTCCAGGTATTTATTTTTTTAAAGTTGAAAGCTTGCGCTTTTTAGATAAACTTTTAGTTAGTTTCTTTGTCATAATTTCATTATTCTTGTTTTTTGTGAAGTTATTTAACAAAGTATTGGAGAAAATCACAGAAATTTTAAAATATAATTCTCTAACAGCTGTTCCACAAACACAAATTTTAGAAAAATCAATATAAAAATTGTCACTTTCCAAACTCGTGAGGGCTAAAGAAGCCAATAAATATTTTTGATTTTTATGAGACAAAAACAGTGACATAGTTTCTGGATGTTTAATTATGTATTCAAAAAGAGCACACGAGTGATAATAAATATAATGAACTTCATTTGTTGCAACAGATAAACCACCTCGTTGCAGATAATCAAAATATTCATCATTTACCTTATCACCTATACTTTGTACAATCAGATCTCTACAGGTAAGGCATTTAAGAGTTTTTTGTACAGTATGAACTGCATATCCGCTAATATATATTTGACTTGATTCCTCACAATTGTATGTACGCAGATAATCACTATTAAAAATAGAAGTAAAATCTGAACATTCTATGAACTGATTAAGTGTTGCACAATTTAGATCATCAGGTGGCTGAAATTTTAATTGTGTTAAATCACTAGTAACAGACGATTTCAGAATATTCTGTATTCGAATTTTTTTTTCTGAATCAATCACTTGAGTAACTGAAATGTTATAATTACAGCCAGATAGGTACCTATAACGACCAAACCTTTCTTCTAAATTATCCGTTTGGAATTTGCCAGGTAATATAAATTCTATATTTAAATGATTAAATGAATACTCTATTACTTTGATCAAAATTGATGTGCTGTTTTTAAGAGCAAGGTATGTATCATTTGTAAGTGAAGAGCCTTCAGGAATTTGATGCCAAGAATCTAGCCACATCACAAATTTTTTTAAAAAAACTACTTTGAAATCATTATCTGAAAAAATTGGGGTAGCCAAATCATTCCTTTTTGCCTGTCCTTTAAATTTAGTTTTTACATTAATTATGTTCCACCAACTTCTAATAATTTCTAAAAATGAGGCTGTGTCTGTATAAATACTACATGACTGTAAAGCAGCTATTGTACTTTCATGAAAAATATTTTCTACCAAAGACACTTTTTGTCTTTCAAAATTATTTGGATAAATAGATTTATGATTTAGTTTATATGCTCTTTTGGTTAAAAAGTTTATCTCAATTTGGTACAATGTTTGTAAGTCCTTAAAAAATGCCTTTCGAAGAACTGAATGATTATTAAAATCTGGAAAAATAAAGGTTTTTTCTGGGTCTTTCTTATTAAGCCAATTATTCCTAATATTTTTAAAAATATGTACAAAATCATATAATAAATAAATATTCTCATTATTAAACTTAGGATTAGATATGGAAAAATTTGGAGATAACTGACCAAACATGTTTTGATTTAAACGATTGTTGTCGGTAATTACACACAATACTTTAAATCCACAGTCCTGAATATACTGAATTGATTCAAGAACTATGTCTTTGAGTTCATTACCAGCAATATTACATACAGGTACTAAACGCACCACTTCTTTAAAATGTGCAAATGCTGATGAAATCATTAACGTTAGAATAGTTTTCGCTAATTGTTTATCATTGTTGGCAGCAAAACCAGTAATTTGTTTTGAGTGATAATGAACTCCAGGATTTACATATATTTCATCTACAAGTAAATTGACTATTTTTTCTCGATCATTCAGATTTGAAGCAAGATATGATAAATAATTATTTTCTAATTGATCATCAGGAGATACATGAAAGGATGATGTTATCATTTGTAAATATCTTTTAGTGGGCAAATTTAAGTACTGCTGAATAATATTATAACATGATGTTGACTGATTATATATGGTAAGAGCAAAAATAATTGTTGGTAGAGAATATTTTGCCCTACTTGCTGTTAGTAACAGTAACTGATTTTTCACAAAAGCCAGAACTCCCTTCATTTTATCTACATCTGTATTTTCTATGACTCTGTCAATTTCACTACATATTTTGGTTATTTTAAAATTATTGTCAATAGGACTTTCAAAAAAAAAAGAATACCTGGACAGCAGATTTTCTAGTTGTGACCAACGCGATAACTTACAGTCAAATGGTAAAATACATTTTAAATCATGAGGTGACAGTTGGATGTCCTTCACATAAACAGATACAAGTAATTCCTTCGTAATGTTAATGTTTGAAATAACTTTTATACACTCATCACTAAACTGATTGTCAATATTTAATAAATAAAAACAAATCCTTTCTTCTACAACTTTTATTTGCCAGTTTTTTAACTCAACCCTCTCACTAACACTTTGTAAAAGTTCCTTGAAATCCACGATAAGGTCTTTGTTTTCGAGTTCTTTTATATTATTTTCTTCCCGGAGACTTATTTCTGCTCGCCTAGTTTCAGGATTTTTTCTTGTTGGTGGTTTTGGGTTAGATAAATATGACGGTTGGTTTTCAAAAATTCTTGGTATCGCATTCTCTTTCAACTTGGGATAAACCAAATTTCGTTGAAGAACCGTACCATTTTTATCAATGAATGACTCACTTTCAATAATATCCGTTGCATCAAAATGTTTTTTACATACTACCGAACTAGAAGTTACTCTGAAATCTTCACGGTTAATAGATCTAACCCACTGAGTACGAAGGTGATCGTTTTTGGGAAAAGAGAATGTACTTTGGGCCTTTTCATACTTTAAAGTAGTTGCGTAATTTGATTTGCAATTTGGTACACTGCAGTGTCTCGGCATCTGTAATTAAAAAAATATGTTAGAATATCATATTACTACTCCCTGTGCCAATAAATTAACATCGACTTGGGGTTTGTAATTACTAAAGCGAATTTGTGAATTTAACAGTTTGTACGTATTATTTGTCTGAATAATATATATATCTAATTCTTTAATGCTTCATACAATTATTACAATATACGTAAAAAATACATACCTTTTTTTTTAATCGAATAATTCACCAATTATACAAGAAATACAAACAAAATTAGCATAATCTCATAAGTAAACACAGGGCTATAGGACCACTATCGGACTACCTCCAACGTTGCCAATTTTCTCACTTCACGGCTTGTAAGCTTTAGGTGGCTGTGATTACGCCATAATTTAATTTTTTTAATATTTACTTCTTTATCAGTAGCATTTTTGGTAAGAATTAAAACATTAAGTAATACTTGACCCGATGTCAAGAATACTATCAAAGAATATAGACGCTAAGCGTCTATATTCTTAAGCGTCTATATTCTTAAGCGTCTATATTCTTTGATACTATTATGTTTTCATTTAAATTATACAAATAAAAATCATATTTTTCATAAAAAGTTACGAAAGGGCAACACTGTACCTGTCATTTAATTAAGGTCATTTCATTTGACTTTGAAATTTAAGATGCATTGAATAATAAAAGTACAAACAGGTTACAGCATTACAGTTATTAATTATTATACTTCAAAACAATCCTTAAGAGGGTGACTGCATAAACTCAAAACCTGGCCGTCGCGTCGGCTTAAAACCATCATGAAAGATATATAGTTAGGGGGAAGTGGGAAAGGAGTACGAACGGAGCTACCCAATGACGTATAATCATCGAGCAAAAAGACAATAGAGGGAATGTAAAGGTAGTGGGGGCAAACATATTGTTAGACAGGAAGTGCGATCTTTAGAGGCCACTTTAAACAAGGAAAGAGAGTCTCTCTCCTTGTTTGACATCAAATTTAGTTGGGTTATGTTATTGTTTATCCCAAATGTCACATGAAATCTTATTTATATTGAAGTTTTTTAACAATTGTGTCGCATTTTAGACTCTTATCATTAATAATTAATTAAAACTTTCTCGTCTAAGACACATTCTGAAAAATATTATATAGCTACTGTTGATAAGTGTCGGAAAATTTAAATTTCGCGCATTCGCATTTCCGGATATGTCCGACATCAGAGGCCACTTTTTTGGTCTCCTTTTCATAAGGATTAGATTCCCTCTTTTGTCTTATTGCTCGATGCGTATAATATATAGACTACGCAGTCCCCTATTCTCGCTATAAAATCGAGTGTCCAAAAGATCTCGGCTCAAGGTTGAAGGTATGTTTATCAGAACAGCGGCGTGCTCATTTATATGTTATTAACAATAATTATTTTTTTAATTAAAATTAAATATTTATGATTTCTTTTTGTTCCCGTCTATAAGAGAAATAATTAATTTGATAAAATAGTATGGCATTTTACTAAAATAGTAAGTAAATAACTCTCAACAATTTAAAATAAAATTTGCTTGTCACACAAAATGGAGAAAATGCTTTCATACGTCCATGATGTTTTCAAACACAAGATCAACTTCGTGATGCTTCGTAAGAAATCATGAACTTCGTGTATCTTCGTATCAAAACAATAAACAATAACAAAGGTAATCATGTTTTGGACACTTTTTAAAGCGTTCACCGAGTCTATATATTATACGTCATTGGGGCTACCTATATATTTAACTTATAGCTTATAGACCAGACTGTGGGGGAAAAGTACTCTCTAATCCAGCAATTTATGTTATAGGGCCTAGGTTATAAAGGGTAACCTCAGGAGCAATCCTTCAGTTCATTCAATAAAAAATTGTTGGTTATTGTTTATTTACGAGTGTTTATAGGTGCAAAATACGTAGTTTTTCATTTTTTGCCTAACGTAAGTGTTAAGGCAAAAACAGTGGTGGTTAAGGTTTTAGCCGGAACACGGTTAATCCGGCGCTACCCTGGGGTCTTCTGGCCTAGTATTCTTCTTCTTCTTCTTCTTCTTCTTGCGTCGTCTTCTAACGAAGGTTGGCGATCACTTCTTTAAACGCTTCTCGATCTTTTGCAACGTGAAATATCTGTTCAACACTGAGGTTAGTCCAATCTCTGATATTCCTCAGCCAAGATTTCTTCTTTCTTCCCAATCCTTTTCATCCCTCTACTCTATCTTGCATGATGACTTGTAGCAGAGAGTATTTATCGTTTCGGAGTATGTGGCCCAGATACGATGTTTTTCTTATTTTAATTGTGTTCATAAGCTTCCTGCCATATCCAACTCGTCTTAACACTTCCTCATTTGAGACTTTTGCAGTCCAAGGAATCTTCAAAATACGCCTATATAGCCACATTTCGAATGCCTCCAATTTTTTTATAGATTGGGCTTTCAGAGTCCAAGCTTCTACCCCATATAGTAGTTGCGACCAAACATAACATTCGACGAACCTCAATCTGATGGCCATACTCAATTTCTTATTTGTAAACATTGACTTGTATTTTATAAAGCCTTTTCGAGCTATTCCTATTCTGACCTTTATCTCCTGCTCTTGATCTAACTGTGAGTTTATAATTGCTTCGAGGTATTTATATTTGTCGACTCTCTCTAGTGGTTTACCCTCCAATCTCAGTTGTATGTTGTCAACAGGGTTTTTTGAGATCACCATGTATTTGGTTTTATTTATATTCATTGTTAGTCCCATCTTTTTGCTTTCTCTGTTAATGATTTCCAGGAGAGTTTGTAAATCGTCTATATTCTCTGCCATGATTGCAGTATCGTCTGCAAATCTTATGTTATTAATGATGCTCCCTCCAGTCCTTACACCTTCAGTTCTTTCCCATAGTGCCTCCTGAAATATTAGTTGGGAGTACACATTAAATAATTGTGGCGATAGCACACATCCCTGTCTGACTCCTCTTTGAATTTCCACCTGGTTTGTCCCACTATCTTCCACCCGTACGACCGCTGTTTGATTGTAGTACAGATTTTTGATTAAAATAATATCCTTAGGATCTAGGTGTATGTGTTTCAATGCATGTATGAGTTTACCATGTTGGACTCTATCAAAAGCTTTTTGGAAATCTATATAACATATAAATACGTTTTTATTATATTCCCTGTATTTTTGTAATAGCACCGTCATTGCGCACAGTGCCTCTCTTGTTCCCATTCCACATCTAAATCCAAACTGTGTATTGTCTAATTGTTCTTCACATTTTTTATATATACCTACGCTGCTGAATAACTTTGAATAGTATTTTTAAAGTGTGGCTCATAAGGCTAATTAATCGGTACTCATCGCAAGATTTAGGATTATTTTCCTTGGATAAGGGTAAAAAGATAGATTTTAACCATTCATCCGGGATTTGACCATCGTGGTATATTTTATTAAATAATTGAGTTAGACGCTCTATATTTTCATCATTCAGGATTTTTAATATCTCTACAGGAATTTCATCGGGACCTGGCGCTTTACCACTTTTTGAGATTTTAATTGCCTGTTTAACGTCTGATATCAGAATTTTTAGATTTTCATTAGTTGGTAATGTATAATTTATTTCTTCCTTATTATCTGCGAATAAGTCCTTGATGTATTTCTCCCAAGTTTGTTGTTTTTCTACTGCTGATAATTGGAGATCCCCCTTGGAGTTTCGTATTACTTGTGGTATTCTCTTCCGATTATTTCCTGTAATTTCTTTCAGTTTGTTATGTAGCCCGTGCGTGTCGTGTTTCATATTAAGTTCTTCTATTTCTCTACAATTTTCTACTATCCAGTGTTCTTTAGCTTCCTTGATCTGCGTTTCTACTAGTTTCTTCATTTGCTTGTACTTCTCTTTATTTGTATTTTTGTATTTTCGTTTTTCTTCTATGAGGTTTATAATATCTGGTGTCATCCAGTCTTTTTCGGCAATTGGTTCTTTTTTACCCACAAACGTTTTACCAGCGTTAAGTACTGCCGATTTCATTTTGTTCCAGGCACTATTAATATATTTTTTTGACGCCTCTGCGAATGCTGGTGCAACTGCTTCATTTATTTGTTGTTGACATTTTTCACCCTCAAGCTTTGACAAATCTAGTCTCTGAATTTTACTTTTTTTTCTGTTGTTTTCTCAGTTTAATATTAACGCTGGCAAGAAGTAGATTGTGGTCGGAGTCTGCATCAGCACTAGGATATGTTTGAACGCTTTTAATTCCATTGACAATGTTCATGACAATTCATAGTTCTTTCTCTTAACAATACTGTACTAATTGGTCTCCCCTTTCATTTCTAATTCCTAGACCATAATTCCCTACGATATCTTCTACTTTCCCTTTACCGACTTTGGCGTTAAAGTCGCCCATTATTATGACTTCATGTTTTTTTGATTTTCCATACCTTTGCCTGTCAGAATTCAATGGATACCTTCTTACCTTTTTAGGCTCTTACTGTAATCGGCAATACAGCAATTAAAAAAAAGTGAGTAACTGATTATTTTTAAAAAGAACACAAAAACAATATAACTTTTATATTTATTGGTGCCTTATATCATACAACATATCATACATACAATATCATTATACAACCTACATATTTTCATAACAAAATAATTGGCATTTTGAGAAATGAAGAGATCAAAGGGCTGTCGGTGGTAAATACGTGTCTCTGAATACTCCCTTCGTTCTCCTTTTCCTCGTACATTTACGGAATCATACAACTCTAATATTCAAAAACGAAAATAAAAAATTAATAAAAGTAAAATCGCATAGAGTTGGTTTTAATGCGACATAAACAGTTCGTTTGTTTATTAAGATTCTAACACAGCGCGCATGTTCACTCAAACTCAGCTAAGTCGAACCTTGGGGGGAATGGACCACCTAGAGCGTCTCCCATTCCCAAGGTGGGGCGCTGTCTTTGGGGCTGTAACATTAAAAATATACATTAGATATCAGACATAAACAACATTCCAAAACTCAAATAATATAAATACAAAGCACATTTTTCTATATTATTGTAAATTCTATTTAAATTTTACTTCTAATTAATACATTTCATTATCTTCAACACATTTCTTTGTCTTTTCTTAGTCTCTGAAAAATAGTTATGTTATTTGTGTGGTGTATATATGAAAACCTTAACATAAGACGGTACCACCACATTTCAAATGCCTCTAATCGTTTTATTGCATCTTCTGTAAGGGTCCAGCTTTGTATTTCATAGAAGAGGACAATAAAGACGTAAAATCTAAGAATTCTTATGCGAATATTCCTAAGGCTGTTGAAAGAGCTTCTGGTTTTTTCAATACGAGTTTTTATTTCGTACAAGTATCCTTAACATTGCAGCCCAAATAGCATATTTTTTCCACTTTTTCTAACGGTGTATCGTTAATTCCCTACAGAATTTCCTACAAAACAGCAGAATAGACTACCGATATACCGACTTAATTACAAATATATACAACAAGGCAACAACAACTATTAAGCTAATGAAACAAACGGAGCCTATTAAAATAAACCGAGGAGTAAGACAAGGAGATACCATCTCGCCCAAGCTATTCAACCAAGCGCTAGAAGATGTTTTCAAACGACTACACTGGGATGGCTTGGGAATTAATATAAACGGGCAAAATCTGAATCATTTACGATATGCTGATGATATTGTATTATTAACAGAAAAAAGTAAAGAATTACAAAGAATGATGGAAGAACTAGATAGAGAATCGACAAAAATTGGACTCAAGATGAATTCCAGTAAAACAAAAACCATGACTAATCAACCAAAAGAACTAATAATTACAGTGGCACAAACAAGAATAGAACAAGTAAGAGAGTATATATATCTAGGCCAAATCACTAAATTAAATAAAGAAAATCAGACTGAAGAAATAAAGAGAAGAATAAGATTGGCCTGGGCATCATTATGAAAACTGTCTTATATTCTAAATAATTCAAAATACCCCCAATACCTAAAAACGAGAGTCTTCAATCAATGTTCCCACATATGGCTCTCAGACATGGACGTTTACAAAGGAAAATATGGAAAAAATAGCAAAGACAGAAATATCCATGGAAAGACAAATGCTGAACATTAAACTATCAGACAGAAAAAGAAACGAATGGATCCGTAATAAAACAAAAGTGACAGATGTCTCAACCCAAGTAGCAAAGCTTAAATGGAAGTTCGCCAGACACACCCTAAGGCAGAAAGATGAAAGATGGACTAAGACAATTATACATTGGAGACCATGGAATCACAAACGAAAAAGGGGAAGGCCACAAATGCGATGGTCAGATGACCTGAAGAAACACGCCGGGTCAAAATGGATGCAAATTGCCCAAGATAGAGAGGCATGGAAGAAGGAGGAGGAGGCCTATATCCAAGGATGGATGTTTAGGGCTGTATAGATAAAGTATCGTTAATTGTAATCTGGGCGTTTATGCCAGTGCTCTTATCAATGATCATTATTTTTGTCTTTTTTTAGGCAATTTAGTTTTAGGCCGTATTTGTTACATGCTACTATAACGTTATCCATCATCCTTTGGAGTCCCTGCGCACTATCTGTCAGCAACACTGTATCGTCCTTTTATCTAATATTGTTTATAAATTGGCCATTTACAGCAATCCCCTCTTCAGATTCGTACAAGGCCTATCTAAAGTTCGACTGTGAAGATCTCGGACAGTTCGTTTTCTAATTGCACTGTTGCTTTTTGTTGGAGATATCAGTTGGAGATCTCTGTAATCTTTGTAAACCTTTGTAAACAACAACAACGGCTGAAGAAATATTTAATATGATTGATAGCTACATTAATCACAATGGAATTGAATGAAATAAATGTGTGAGACTAAGTAGCGATAGACCATGGGCAATGGTAGGCGCTCGTACTGGGCTTTTTCCTAGTATCAAAGCCATAGCACCAGAATGTGTTTGGGTGCATTGTAGCATCCATAGAGAGGCATTAGCTGTAGCAAATGCCACTGCATTTATCCGAATATATGCAAAAGTGTCAGGTCGGTCAGATAGCCAAGTGGGCTGGGCGGCCGGTTCCTCACTCGCTTCACTGCGAGTGGTTCAGAGTAAGTAAGTTCGATCCCCAGATCGGTGTACAGAAAACAACAAGGCTAACACAGCAGTTTACAATTCTAAAATGAATCTGCGACTTAGACTAAAATATGCTGGTGTCTGATCGGCCTATGGTGGAGCCGTACGACAAGAGATAAGACCTTGCGGCTCGGTGATACTCCTCCATAGATCCCTACCGGAAAGGCGTGTGCCGCCTAAATACCGGGTATATATATTGCTATAAAGAATTCTTTACCTATTTGAAATGGACTCACACAAGCAACAAATTCATGATTTGAATTCTTTTAATATTAAATTGTGGTATTAGTGTATATTGGAGAATTGCTTGTAATGAAGTCTATGTTCAACAGTTTTGTTTGGTGCTTGCTTTCATTTTTATTTAAAATAGTAGTATTTCATGCAAAAACTCTTATTTCAAACTTAATAGGTACTACATTGCTCGGGTGTAGTTCTAGTAAACAAATATAAAACTTGAACTGACAGTTACAAGAACCAGAGACTGCCAACAAGTTTACAGTTTTGTATATCACACCGATAATTGGAGTTTGTTAGGTACAACCCAAACTATTAGGTTGCAACTAACAAAAGCTTATATTATTATTATTCTTTTGTAAAATCACAGTTATGTAATGGTAAATAAAAAATGTTCTGTAAACTTTGTTCAATCTACCAAATGAATCAAACTAACAACAATATACGGACATACGAGAAACCACTCGACTTACTATTGAACTATGACGTTTATTCCAAAGAAATCGGTATACGTTGTGCCACACCTTGTTTTGGCGGCTTTAAAAATAAATTTACATTATTTAGCATAAAAAATCCATATTTATCTCCCTTAGTATTAAAAATCTAGTACTATTTAAACGGTTTCAAACTAATTTGGAAAATTTCGGGAGTAAAACTATTTCGTTAAGTAAAGAAATAAAAAAGTGTTTAGGCACTTACCGCTGGACTGGCTCCTCTAGCTGCAGATCCTGAACGTCCCTTGGCACGGAATTTGGCGATGGCCTGTTCTGCGAGGTCGGCTCTTTCTTCGGCTTCTTCGAGCTCTTGTTGGGCTTTACGGAATTTAGCCAAGTTCAAAGCGGCGATTTCTTCGGCTTCTTCTATCTGTCTCTTGTATGTCTTGATCTTCTGTTGGAGTTTGTCAACAAGGTCTTGCATCCTTTCGTGGTTCTTGCGGTCTTCTTCAGCTTGGAAGCTAAGTTCCTTGATGCGACGTTCAGACTTTCTCAAGTTCTTTTGGGCATCCGCGTGCCGCCTTTGTTCACCGTCTAATTCATTTTCTAATTCCCTAACACGTTGTTCCAATTTGGCAATAGCCTTCTTTCCTCCTTTAAGGGCATTGGCTTCAGCTTCGTCCAAGCGTACTTGGAGGTCCTTGATTTGAGCTTCAAGAGCTTTGCGGAGTTTTTCTTGTGTTTGGGCATGGTCTTGTTCAGCGCGGAGTTCGTCAGCGAGACGAGCGGCATCTACCATAGCTTCTTGGCCTTCTCTTCTGAGTTCTTGGCTTCGTTAAGAAGTTCGTCAAGGTCTGAGTGGAGGGTCTGCAATTCGGTTTCCAATTTCCTCTTGGCGGCAGACAAGGAAGCGTTTTGGGCTCCAAGATCGTTCAATTGCTCGTGAGCATCTCCCAATTCTTGTTCAGCTTGGCGACGAGCACGGTCGGCTTGTTCGAGAAGAGTGCGAGATTCTTCAAGTTCATTTTGAAGAGCGTTAGCACGACGTTCTGAGATTCCAAGTTGTTCACGGGCTTCATCGCGTGCTCTTTGTTCTTCTTCAAGGGCGGTTTGGGTGTCCTTAAGTTGTTGTTGGTAGCGTTTGATGGTCTTTTGGGCTTCAGCATTGGCCTAAAAAAAAAAAATAACAATATTATATAAACGTTTTAATATTCGTCATAGTTAAAACTTACCTTATTAGCATGGTCCAAAGCGATTTCCAATTCATTAATATCAGCTTCCAACTTCTTCTTCATGCGAAGGGCCTCAGCCTTACCTTTGGCTTCAGCTTCAAGGGAGGCTTGCATGGAGTCGAGGGCACGTTGGTGATTCTTGCGGGTGTTTTCGAATTCCTCTTCTTTCTCTTGGATACGTCTGTCGATTTCTTGACGGACTTGAGAAAGTTCAAGTTGGCTACGAAGTACTTTGTTTTCTTCTTGTTCAAGAGCAGCTTCAGCTTCTTCAAGAGCAGCTTGGAGTTCATCTTTTTCGGCTTCCAAGCGTTTTCTGGCCTTTTCGATTTCGTGGATGTTGCGGCCACCTTCTCCAATTTGGTCAAGGAGATCCTTAACTTCATCAGCGAGGTTCTTGTTTTCACGGCGAACAGCTTCAAGTTGTTCTTGTCCTTCTTCGTAGGCGCCCTTAAGTCTGAACAATTCAGTGGAGTAGTTTCTGCATTCTTTCTGACTGGCATCGAGTTCAGCAGCCAAGTCATCGACCTTAAGTTTCCATTCTCCAATGATCTTGTCGAAGGCCTTTTGTTTCTTCTCAGCAGCATTGGCAATGGCGTTAGCACGGTCGACTTCGAGTTGCAAATCTTCGACTTCAGTGGCCAAACGTTGTTTGGTCTTCTCAAGAGCTACAACCTTCTGGTTGAGAGATTCGATGGTTTCTTCAGCTTCAGCAAGACGAGCTTGAAGTTTCCTCTTGGCTTCTTCGAGTTCTTCAGAACGAGCAACTCCTTCAGATTCGTATTTCTGGCGCCAGAGTTGAGATTCAGCGTTGGCTTTGCTGAGTTGTCTTTGGATGTCAGCCTTGGCTTCGGCTTCTTCTTCAACTTGTTCACGGATGTTGTCCAAGTCGTGTTCCAAGTTTCTGAATTTGCCGAGAAGGGTAGCACGTTCTCTGCTCTCTTCATCGGCCAATCTCTTGGTATCTTCCAATTGAGTGGTAAGGGATACCTTGATCTTGCTGAGTTGAGATACTTGAGATTCGGCTTCCTCGAGTTGTCTGAGGAGGTCAGAGTTTTCAATAGACAACTTCTTCTTGGCGGCATCGAAGTCGTTAAGAGTGCGGTTGGTTTCGTCAAGTTTGCCTTGGACGTCGTTGAGTTGTTGTCCCAATTGTTTGGATACCTTTTCAATAGCGGCCTATAGAACAAGCATGTATTAGATACTATTTTGTAATGTATATGTAACATAAAAAGCAACAAAAATCACACGGGTTAAGGTGGTAAGATATTAGCAGTTTTTCGAAAAGATGTGATGAAGCTGTAATAAACGTAGTTAACATGTTGTCAAAATTAGCTGCTTTAATAAAATATGTGATGAAATAAAATGGTAAAGCTGCTAGTGAGTGGTAGTTAAGGTGTTTAAATAGCCAACATCCTCTAAGTGGTAGTAAAGCAGCAGTACACAGAGTCCTTTGTACCTTTTCGTTGGCTAAGTGGTCGACTGAAGCACGGAGGTCATTGAGTTCACCGAAGTATTGAGACTTTTCTTTCTCAGCCCTTAATTAAACAATAAAATATAAACTTTACACACAGTAGACGATTACAAAAGGGGTAAAATGCGGGTTGTAAGGGGTCAAATCAACATATAAGAGTCTTGGTCTTTTTCTAATAAAACAGTTTCTTGAAACATTGGAATGAAAGCTATTTCGTTTACTAATTATGTAAAGAATGTTTCAAAATACGTTTTATATCTGACGTCAACATTCAACGGCACTTTTGTACCTTTTCCCGACCAACTTGTTCTACTGCACCACGGGTTTGTTGAAGTTCAGAATAAATGTTAGCACGATCTCTTTCAGCCCTAAAGTAGATTGGATAGTAATCAATAATTTGTATTTTAAGTGATATAAATGAAACTTATATGAGCAGTTTATTTAGTAGTGATTTTATTAGTTTTAGGAAAAACGACACCGAATTGATAAACCGTTAAGAAGAAATATGCAGTGGCAATTAAGACAAATTAAAGAACTTCTTTCTGAGCTTTATTTCAAAAGCAGGTATTATATAAAATAACTTAAAATGTTTGAATCACTAATTAAATATTTGTTTAATAGGAGAAATGGCCCAAGGTTCTATAGATTTCAATGTAAATGGACTGCCGGAGTGATGACGTAGATTTTATTAACATCCATGTAAAAAAATTTATTTTTGGTTATTTTTTCATTTTATTTTCAGAATGACTGCTTTTTGCAATATCTAAGTATTCTTATAGTTACTACAAAATTTTTACTAGGTTATGTAAATAATAAAGCATGTTGTTTTATAAAAATAGCAATAAAATGTATGTATTAATAAAGTAAGGTTAGAATTTCTTTAATTTAAACTTTTAAACCATATTTTATAGAAATAAAACACTGAATTATGATGGCACTATCGTAAAAAACCCTTTACTTAAAAGAAAACGCAGCAGAGGAAGCAAAATATTAACTTTATAGAAATTAATAACAAACTTTTATCGACCAATGACGATGTCTACCACAGATATAAGGCTCAAAGACCAAAAGCCCAAAGTATACAGACCAAAAATAGTCACACGTGTTGATTATATTTTAGTAATTGAAATTTCAGCATAGATACGTAAACTGGAAATGTGTTAATATAGTAGTAAAGGAATTTTCACCACGTAATCTTTCTTTTGCTAATCATAGCTAGTGGTCATGTAGACGAATCTCAAAAAACAAAATAACGACCATCGTTCCATAAAAAAATTCTGAAAATACGTTGTGCAGACTGAAAAATTCAGACATGTGCTATTAAACTAGAAATCGGAAGATAAACATCGGTATTTAATATCGATTCTAAATATCAATACTAAACATCGATATTAAAAAGCGAAATAACAGACTTTATGTTAAATACTGAGAATAAGTAGGTGAAACGAGGTACATAATTTTAAACAACGTTTATGCTTCAAAGTTTGTAGCATTGTAAATATTAATTTTAGGTTTTGGAGTTTTGAGTCAAGTTTTTGCGTAAAGAAAAACATAACTTTAAATGATACAGATCTTTAGATAGATGTGAAGTGTATTTTATCGATGCTATTTATGAATAGTGAAAAGGTTAAGGTAAGGTGTTTCTGGGTCTACCCGTCATCAGATAGAGTTTGTAAGAAGACTCAAACCAAATCAAAACGCACCGACTACTATGGTAATTATAGGAAAAATAATTACCAGAGTATGCTACTAGAGACCTTTAGTGAGGAAAGATGAAGTTAAATGTGTCGATAGCAATTTTTTTTTATTTCCAACTAAAATAGATTGACTCGATATTTATTGTTGAAAAATAAAGTACTTATGCTAAATTCTGCATCTTCTGATGAACTTTTTTACGTAGAAATATGATTTTATGACATTAAAAAATGAATTTGGACCCCAGACAAATAATAATATTAAAAATCAGTTTGTATTGGGAGTATATAATATAAAACTGATACTTACTTGGCTTTGAGTTTGTTGAGTTGGTCAATTTGTTCGCCCATTTCAGAAACAGCGTCATTGTGCTTCTTGCGGAGGTTAGCAAGAGTTCCTTCATGTTGGATGTTGGATTCTTCGAGGTCACGGCGGAGTTTGGCGAGTTCGGCTTCACGTTTCTTGTTGAGTTCGATTTGGGCTGAAGTAGCACCACCGGCTTCTTCAAGACGTTCGCCAAGTTCTTCCAATTCGCGGGCCAAATCAGCGCGTTGTTTCTCAGCTTTAGCACGGGCTTGACGTTCAGCTTCGACTTCTTCTTCGAGTTCCTCAATGCGAGCCTGGAGTTCCTTAATTTGTTTTTGTTGTTTACCAACAACGGATTGTTCGTCTTCGAGTTTGGCAGTGAGCGATGAGATTTCCTTGTCTTTGCGTTGGATGGTTTGTTCGAGTTCCTTCTTGTTGCGTTCCAAGTCAGCTACAGCCTCTTGTGTAAGTTTCAAGTCGCCTTCAACCTTACGTTTCGATTTTTCTACATCACCACGGAGTTTCTTTTCGCGTTCCAAAGAGTCTTCGAGTTCGTCCAAGGTTTGTTCCAACTTAGCCTTAACTTTGTTGAGGTGGTTGACCTTGTCTTCGGCGGCCTGGAGTTCTTCAGAAACCTTCTGGTTGTTTTCACCAGACATTTTCTTTTCCTTGTTGAGCTTGTTGATGAGTTCGTCTTGGTGGGCGATCTCGTCGTTCAAGTTTCTGATTTGGTGATCTTTGGTGGCCTTGTCCTGTTCAGACTTTTGGAGGTTGAGTTCCAAATCTTCGATGTCTTTCTTGAAACCGGACATTTCTTGTTCGAGTTTCTTCTTTTGTTGCATCAATTGGTTGCGAGCATCTTCCTCTTGGCTCAAACGATCTTGGGTTTCCTACAAATTTCATAAATAAATTATCTTGAAAATCGTATTAATGAGCATAAAATATCGAGCAAATGCAATTATAGCTTGGTGGAATATTCTATTTTCTAACTTAACTATAGCACAATCATATGAAACGAAATAGTTGCTAATACTAATAAAAATATAAAGTTTTTTATACGAAGTTGATATTATTTTCGACAGTAAAATTTAAATAAAGATGTGGTGTAATATAAAAAATTAAACCATAAATTCTATGTATAAGTTGCTTATTTATAATAAAAAAGAAGAAATGACGTCCCTATTTTTATATAAAGTATACAAAGCATGTGTTTATTAAGAATAGCTACCGTTTATGTTTATCTAACAAATTTAAAATAGAAGCAACTACACCAATTTTTTTAATGATACAAAGCATAAGCATTTATAAGACAAAAAAGCTTTACTTTGATTAAGAAAGATATCGCGTTCTGGTTTGATTCATCGCCATCGAGATATTTATCAACCTCTGAAAACTGCACGAGTTGGACAGATGCCAACAAAATATTTGCTACATTAGTTAGATTTTTCGATGGTTTAAGTTGCTAGCTGGCTTATTTTCACGCGATTAAATTTTTTGGTAATTTTATATTTAACCACCGATGAACTAAAATTACCAACTGCAATAAGCAATAATTTTCACGGTTTATATTAATAAGTCTTAGTGAACTTAGAAACATTCTAATTTTGTGAAAATTTGGTGATTATTTGTAAAATTCTAATAACAAAATAATTATTTTTAAACAAAAAGAAATGTAGACTATTTCGTAAGCAATACCAAATATTCCATGCAGTTTTCATGAAAAGCTTTTAGAATTATCTGTAATAGCTTTGCTACACTACGCTCATACAATGTTTTACAGTATTTTTAAAGCAAATTAAGAGTTCTTTCTACACTATTAAACTAACAATTGCCAATTGCTCATAATTCATAAGATTTCCGTAGTATTTAAGCTTAAATATGCAAAAGAAAGAAGTACTTACGGAAAGTTGAGACTCGAGGTCGTTCTTTTGGGCTTGGAGCTTGTTAGCCCTTTCTTGAGTTTCGGAAAGGGATCCCTTTTCTCCTTCCAAGTTGGCCAACAGCTCGGTCTTCTCAGCTAAGAGCTTAGCATAGAGAGCTTCTAATTCCTTCTTGGCTTTTTCTTCACGTTCGAAGGCTTCTTGGGCCTTTTGGGCTTTCTCTTCAAGTTTCTGTAAAGTATTGTCATCGTTAATTAATTGGACTGACGGTTCGGTATCTGCCATTGCAAGTTAAATTCGATTGAGAGTGAAAGGCAGTCGATAAATTCGAATAAGTCGTGTCGTAAGTCTAAGACGCTAAAGGAGGCTGAGTATTGCGGAGATTCGCGAAAGACTGGCGTGGAAGCACGCAGCGGGGGCTATCGTAAAATCTTGGCGTGGGTAGAATGGGAGGATTTGATGAAAGATTGGAAAAATATGCGGTGCTTCATAAATCCGATGACAGATTTAATGGAAGTTGGTTATATTTAGATTAATATAGGACAGGTAATTTTTAGTGCAAGCTATAAAAATCGGTGTTTGCGAGCAATTTAAATACATGAATGCTGATGTTTATTTCGTGACGCATTACTGCGATTTATTTTCACGCTCTGTTTATTAATTTTTGGATAATTTAGAGCGAACAACCTCATTTGGATTGCCGAAGTTTATGGAAAAGACTATAATTATTCTATCGTTTACCATTAAACATTTTTGTTTGGCGAAATATAAATAATCAACGCCTTTGCTGGAAAATTTGATATTTATCGACAAATCGTTAGAAATACAGCACTGGAAATAAACTTTAGATAAACGATTGCACTTTGGCGTTTAAAAAATCTATCATTTGTTGATTTAGGCTTTATTACTACAAATCATCAGATCAAACGGTACACAGAATGTAAACAAATAATTTTTCAGGGAAAATACATTCAACACGTTCATTTTTTCTTAAAGTCAACATACCTATCACGTTTCACAAGGAATAATTTTGAACATCTGTAAAATATACGTGGAAAAAATGATTTCCAATGGTAAAATGTTCTATTGGTAAAATTTTTTTAGGTCTTCCTCAATATCTTCTCAATTTTTTAGGTAGTAAAATTGGAAAAAAATTAGAAGGATTCATAATTAGGGGCAAAATATTAAATATCCACAAGGTAGCTAGTAGCAAATGTTAGTCAAGTAAAATTTTATATTAACTAAAAATGAAGACTAAGAAAATCGAATATATATTGACTAAGAGGAATACCTCAAAGGGATTAAGACACATTTAGCAGAAAATAACGTGCTGAAAGTGAACTTATAGATAAACTTTCGAAATATAACAGATCCATAATATAAAATTAGTTATCCCTGAAGATAAATGGTAATTAAAAAAGCCTAACAGTGCTAAAGTCTTAACAACACATGAGGAATAAAGAAAAATGTTCAAATAGGTATATGGTATACAATGTAGGGACAACAATTTGTGAGAGTAAGAAGTACACCAAAAGGATTTACAGTTTTTTCCAAAGTCTACGCAAAATTTTTAGATTTCGACCCAAAATCATTTAAATTTTATTTAAGACTATCATTTTTTTCATCCAATTTCGAAATAAATTATTCCTGTCAAGTCAAAGATCATATTATTTTTGAAGCGAATGCCCAATCACCTGTTTCTAATCTGTCAGTATCAGTTATAAGTTGTCATTTAAAAATAAATCCTTGGTAAAACATTGCAAATTGCGGGGGAACTAATGGAAAAATAATCTGGATTAAATTTATGACGTCAATATGTATTAATAAAGTGTTAAACTGGAGATTTTTAGCACATATTTATGTCAGATGCAATCAAATTGCTGCAACACTGTTGCAAGAGGAATATTTATTTACGAATTAAAAAAACAGGTCAGTATAAAACAATCTCTTAGCTGTGTTAGAGTAGACATTAAATGTAAGGAGTTTTAAGGGAATAATGTAGAAAAAATAATCTTTTTTATGCAATTTATACGACAAATCTTAAAGATTAAGTAAATAGGTTTAAAAATTTACAACGAATAAATGGGAACGCTCTAGAAGCAAGGGATTTATTACCAACAGATACAAGACCACGAAGAAGACCCTTTAAAAGATGTCGATACAGCTGACATTTGACATGACAAGTAACTACGACTACAGCCTCAAGATCGGACAAGAAAAATAATATTTAAAGAAGGATAATAAAGAATTACAAATTTAGATTTGCTGAGATGTCTGCAAAAGGATGATGAGGTCATAAATAACATACTTTGGATAAAAAATACATGGATAAAAAATTTACTGGGAGAGCAACATCAGGAAATGGTGTAATTGCACTTTTACTAAATCCTTTCAGAGCGACTTTCTACAATAAGAATAGCTATGGTAATAGTCAACTTCCGAAACAAAAACCATAAGAAAAAAGAAAAGGGAAAAATTACTTTATTTTGTGCTAGTTATACTAGAATTTAAAACTTCTTTTATTCTATCAGTACAAAAACTTTTCTCAGAGAAGATGGTTGCACCGGATTCAAGTCAGGTTCATATTAAAAGGACTCAACAGTTTGGTCTAAAGTAGATATCGATAATTTACTTGACCAGAATCTAGAATGAAATACAAAATACTGGTACATAAAAAAAGTTTTTTGACTTATAAAAAATCGTACACATAACCACGAAAACAACATGGCGAATTTCATAATCCGAACGCCATCTATGAGGCAGAAGTATAACTTTCACTCTCAATTTTTCCTATATTTATTTTAATTAAAAACAAAGTTCTCGTGTTCTGAAAAATCTTCAAATTGTTTTTGAAGGAAAAATAAATAGTTCACAACAAAAACTAACCAAAAGGGTTAGATAACAACTGATTATTAGAAAACTTTTTTAACTATTAAATAATAAATTTAAAGTTGTATTGAAATAATAATTATCCTAAAATTTACTGTAATTTAAAGTTTTTCTAAATTTCTATTGTATAATATAGAGTGAAGACACAAAGTAAGTTGTGGAGTGGATAAAGTTAAAATTTATCATCTACTTATAACAAACTATGAAGTTAAAGATGAATTTAAGTAAAAGTCTAATAATTAGATCCTTTAAGACCACGAGATTTGGTTTAAGCTTTTGTTTATACTTACGGCAATCTCATCCTCGATACGGGTGACGTTGAGGAGAGGTCTGACCTTCTGCCACAATTTGTACCATGGCCATGTGCGCAATTTGAGGTATTTGCGCAAGTTGCGTTGGCACACTTGGAGGGCCAAACGTTGTTCTTGCAATTTCTTGAATTCCTTTCTTGAGAGATAACCACGGACCCAAGATTGCATCCAGGTGACGATTTTGCCAAGACGGTCGTCACGAAGTTCTTCCATCTGACCCAAGACACCAGCACGGAAGAAGACCTGTTTCGCGATAGCAATTAGTTTAAGGTCCACGGTGTTAAGAAAAGCTTTGTTGGTCGGTATATTCCTCTTTGTTAAAACGGAGGAATTATACCAAACTGGTGATAATATGAGAAAGATGCAGGTACTTCAAAATTATGTTTTACTACATCTTACAGGTAGATTATTGTGTATAATAAGGGTTCTCATGCTAAAAATGGTTATGGTTTGAAAAACTAAGCACTAATGACTTGTAATAAGTATTAGTAAACTAATGGGAACTGGAAAATGTTGAAATCAGCAAATATTTTATATGTGGATGTCAAATGTCTTTTTTATACGAAAAATGACAGCATGTCAATGAAGGTTTTGAGTTGTTTTTATTTGTTAGACAATAACAGACAAAAAGTGAACGCATTATTAAAATTTTGGGAGGGTATCAAGATTATGCAGTTAAGAATGCTTTGCATGATCTTTATATATTCAAGAATTTTTAAACGAAAATTATAAAATTTATCAAGAAAAATGGTAGTATGTAATATTTTTTGTGTCTTTTAATTAGTGAGTATTTAAAGAGAAAATTACTGTTTTAAATGTGGAAATTGTTTCTTGTTTTTATAAAAAGAAGTTGAATTATTATTTGGTGTTAAATTAGAAACGATATCAATAAATGGAGTACATTTGTTAGTAAAACTGTTGATTTAAAGTATTGGTAGGTAACAAATATGACATAAAAATAAAATAAATCATACTAAAAGTCCCTCTTTCTCATATTTACAACAAAGCTTTTGATATATGCAACGTTGTATTTTTTTATTATTTGACTGAAAGCGCCACAGGTTATTTGCAAAGCTTTGACAAACAAGGTGTAGTTCACACATATGTAGGTAGATCTTTGATGGAACCACAGACTAAGTTTTTTACTCTGTGATGGAACTTTAAATTTCGTGACAGTTGACAGTGATCGATTATATTTCAATCGTTTGGTATGTCATAAATGTCGCACAGTTGAATATCTTTGACAATAAAAAAAGTTTTGACGTTTTTTTAGCGAAAATAATTTGTTGTTTTCTTATTCGTATTATTCTCTATTCGTATATATTTAACTTGGAAATTTTAAATCGAATATTCTTTTCCTACTTGCAACTTTTGTTTAATTTACTTTGTAAGTTGAGTATATAATTTGAATTTTAGTAAAGTACATTCTTTTTGTATATGAGAACGATTAGATTTCTGCTATACTTTGGTTATTTTCCAAATAAGTATGTTCAATAAATAAATTGAACATCCTACAAAATAGTGCAACGGGAACATAGTCTCGAACGAACCTCCACGGAACACAATATTGGTGTTTGACAGTGTTGTCAAGTCCTTATAATGTATATGTTGTATGCTTCAGATATATTTAAAGTGGGGAAATGAGCATGTGATATATATTAATTAATTATGTAAACAAACAAAAATCAAACTGCAAGTAACTAACAATACAATTGCAGGTAAATTCCAAAATGATAAAGAAATGGTAATACAAGTTTTATCTGTTATGAACATTTGTTTAAAATCTGACAACTAGGGGTTTAAGGGTTTTGATTTTATTACCAAATCCATCAAAGAGGAATTGCCAAAAAATTTTTCTAATAATATAATAAAAATGTACTTTTTAAAAGTTTCTTTCTTTATATGTGAAGCACAAAACTTATACCATATAAGAACATGGCAATACTGCCAAACAGCAACGGTTTTATGTGAAAGTTCATTAGAGGCTATACTCATGATACTATAATTAACAAGATAGGATCTTCCCGTAGCACACAATAGGTCGTGTTCGCGCATGCCATCATTGGAGAGTAGAATTTGAATTCGTGTTAAAGTTAAATGGGATTTGTATGCATTCTGTGATGAAATTACTAGACGAAAATAAGTTAAGAGGTTTAGTAATTACAATAATCGTACACATAAGAATATCTCCAAACTATTTATTAAAGATTATTTATTGATACATACAAAAAGCTGACATTTCGAACGTCAAACTCTCCAATGACGTCACGACTTGTGCGTAATATCTTCTTAGTCTTAGTATCATGGCTATACTCACGTTGTACTATTTTGTAGGAAGTCCAGTAATTTTAATGGTAACTTTATTCTGATTCTTATTGACCTTACAATTTTAGGTTTATTTCATTCAAATTAATTTGTTGTTCTTGTTATTCGTCTTTATTATCTCCCCAATCATTTCTTCTCTGTTTGTTCTCTGCTGTCAACTTTCCACTTGGTTTTATAGTCTTTTGTATATCATGTTTTGTTACTTTTTCAATTGTATGTATTTAGTTTTACTCTGTATATGAGGTTTCCTTACAGATTTTATCCGTGGGTATACTCGTTCCATTTCCATCAAAATTTTGTGTTTTTCTAACCTGAGTTAACCTAACCTACTTTATTTTTAATTATATTTGTGAGTGCAAAAAAGTCAGCCAAAGCTTAGCTTGTTGTTTTAAAGCGCCTTTGAGCAGAGTAAGGTGTTATATACCTTCGTCTTACCCAACCGGAATTGCTCAGGGTCAAGTTGAATATGCTCCAATATAATTTGTGCAGCTTTTTCAGCTGTCATAGTATCTTTGATTTGACTTGCGGCCAGAATTTTGTATCTGATTGCGCAAGAAGTGAAAAAAAAAAAACATAAAAAATCAGTACATAAACACACAAAAAGTAAACAGGTACTAGTGTATTCGGTTATATTACCATCAAGACCAATTGTTTCTATTATATCTTGCGTCTTAATGATAATACAATCGAAAATAAACGCTTTGTCAGTCTATGGACAAAACTATTATAAACAAACACAAAAACAGTATGGGCCAATTGCCTGTCTGGGGGCACTGACAACATGAAACACAAAAGTCGAATCGCTTGTCCAAATGCGTTGACTGGAAAACACACAAATACTTTGCTGGTAGAAATGCGTCGCCTAAAACTGCACTCCAGAATAAATAAAAACATGCCTTAGTGTGACCTAGACGGTATAATTCAGCATCCAAACCGGAAGCATCAAGAATAAGGGCTGCGCATTTCTTTGGATCACTTTCTTTGGAAACTGCGGCTGGGTTGAGGATTTTGTAACTATAGGGAAACAATCACCACAAACAATCTAATTATTACAAGTAGGTATCTCTGGAAATAATCTATTTTAACAAGGGTGTACTTGATTCAACCAGTAATTGAAAGACCTATTATTCTTATGCAAAAAGAAGACAACTAATACAGGTCATTGACTCAATTAGTGGTTGAGTTATTTTGTACCAAATACTATCACAATATACGGGTACTGGACCACAATTACGGATACTGGACATGAGTAAAACGATCTAGACCTAAAAATCTACGAAGGGTCATGCATAACTGAACTTTTCTGACAAGATACTGGGGTACACTTTAAAACCCTTCTTGCCTTTGTGTGTCCAACACGGTAACTGTCTGGATCTAAACCAACTTCTTCAAGACACTTTCTTGCAGCTTCTTTTGGTTCCTTTTCTTTGGCCATAGTTGCAGGTGCCAAGATCATATAACTATAGAGTAAAGATGATGTAATACATATTTGCTAATATATTGGATACTTTTTATACATTGAATATAAGACAGTGTACAAAAGTGATCAACATATAGCTGGATTGTATTGTATATTTTTTATTTATTTATTTATTTATTCCACAACAAACACATTTTACAGAATAAAATGTAATTACAAGTAGGGATTTTGACATTAGATATACCTACATGCTAAGATAAAATGGTTAAAGCGGATAAAAAGCTAGATTTAATTGCTTTGATGTTGGTGTTGAAGATATCTATGTCGCTATTTTTTTTTAGTATCATATTGCACTGCCTCATCATGTTGTTAATGGGCGAGCAGTCTGTCTCACAAATAGAAAAAAACAGCCCTCTATGACTTAACCTTAAGTTAATCTTAGGTACCAAGAATTTTATATGGTTAATCAAGAATAAGCCTTTATATTTTAAATTATTCACAATATAATATACAAATAGCATTGCTTGCATTTTTCGTCTCTGTTCCAATGTTACAAGTTTAAAAGTTTCAAGCATACTCCGGTAAGACACCAAGTATGGATACGAATTATATTTTCTAACATACAGATATCTTAAAAACCTTTTTTGTACCTTTTCAATTAAATCTATATTTACTTCTGCACGGGGTGCCCAAACTACAGAAGCATACTCAAGATGTGGTCTTACCAAGGAATTATATAGTTTAATTATGCTATCTATCATCTTAAAATGTTTTGTGTTTCTAATTATAAATCCTAACATCCTAAAAGCCTTATTAGTAACAATGTGATAGTGATCATTAAAGTGCAAGCTTTGCTGAAAATTCACACCAAGATCTTTACACACAGATTTTCTGGGCAATTCTCTATTATTGATACAATAAACCATTTTAATAAAGTTCCTGTTACGTGTGAAGGTCATAACTGAACACTTGTCAATATTTAGATCCATTCTATTTATCTGAAACCAATTAGATACTGTATTCAAATCTAGTTGTAATAGTTGGCAATCACATTGATCTTCTACAACTCTAAACATCTTAAAGTCATCTGCAAACATTAAACAAGTGGAAAATTTGAGACAACTAGAAAGATCATTTATAAAGCAAGCAAATAAGAGTGGTCCCAGGTTGCTGCCCTGAGGAACTCCAGAAGTTACGGAATATTCCTCTGAGAAAGAATTACCAACTCTAACTTGCTGACTTCTATCTGCTAGGTACGAATTCAAAAATGTTAATGCGTTAATAGAAAGGCCAAAGGTGCCCAGTTTTTCTAGTAATAAACCATGATCAACCCTATCAAATGCTTTTGCACAATCAGTGAAGATTACATCCATTTGCCTCTTAGTATTTATGGCATCTGCAGTAGATTGCGTGAAAATACACAAATTTGTAAGTGTTGATCTATCTGGTAGAAATCCATGTTGATATTGATTAAAAGATTTGATAAAATGTTGTAATAAGTTGTTATATAAAATAGATTCAAATATTTTTGCCAAAGAATTTAAAATACTAATTGGTCTGTAATTTTTTACATCATTAATATTACCAGATTTAAAAATAGGAACTGTAATGGTATCTTTTAATTTTTTAGGAAAGGTTTTAGTTTTTAAAGCTAGATTAAATATTACCTGTAATGGTTCAACAAGTTGGTCAATACACCCCTTATAGATATAAGCAGGTAGATTATCTTTACCTGTACATTTCTTGGGTTTTAACTTTTTTACACTAGCTCTAATGTCTTCTTCAGTTATCTCATCAAACTCTAGAATACCATAAAACTTAGGTATCTTCATATCAGATGAGATGCTATAGACTGACTTAAAGTATATTGCAAAAGCATTAGAAACTTCATCAGAACCAGTGTAAATATTGTTGTCTAAATTAATTTCTGATGGTAAACCCCTGGAACTACTTCTGGATTTCACAAATGACCAAAAACTAGTTGGGTCCATGTTAACATTTGTTTCTACAGTGTCATGATATTTTATATACTCAGATTTTGTTTGTATTTTAATGGACTTCCTAAGACAGTTGTACTCATTCTGGATTTTGATATTAACATGTTCACCCTGCACTTGCCTATGTAGCTTGTTTTTCTTTTTGATTTTACAAATTAAATCTTTAGAAAAATATTTAGGAAAACTGTATTTACTATAACTATTGTTAGATTTTTGTCTTTTAGGTACTGCTTGTTCAATACATTCAAACATTTTATCATAGAAGGTTTGTATAGCAATATTTACATCATTGGAATGTTTTAATCCATCCCAGTTTATTGATCTAATTAGATTATACAACAGCAGAAAATCGCCCCTAGAGTAATCATATTCAAAAGATGAGTGAATTTTATGTTTATCGCTGTTGAGACCTTTGAGCTGCACTTTTAAGTTAAGAGAAGGATGGTAGTTATCCTCCTGAACAAATGGATCACTACTTCTAGCACAAACTACATGAACATTGGATAGCACTAAATCTAACTTTCTACCCATATAATTTACTACTGAATTTATTTGACATAGACCACATATACTTAAAAACTGATTCAGTCTCAAGCTTTTCTCACATGTGCCTAATACATAATTAGGTATATTAAAATCTCCAACAATAAAGACATCTACATTATCACAAACAATATTTTCAATATTTACTAAAAAGTTATTAAAAACTAACATAGAAACAGAAGGTGGAATATACACACATATTAATAATAAATTACATTTGTGGTATTTTATTTTTACTACTAAACATTCAATTTCACTGTTAGTGTTAAAATTAATGTGTTCAAATACTATATTTTTCTTAACTGCAATAATCAACCCACCTCCACGAGTTTTATTGTTATCTCTATCTCTTCTTGCTACATTATACCGATTGTCAAACAGCTCACCATCCAGGATACTAGTATTTAACCATGATTCAGTAATTAAAATAATATCATGGTCACAAGACAACACACTAGTATAAAAGTCATGTACTTTAGTTCTTAAACCACGAACATTCTGATAATATAAATCTAGGTTAAGGGATTTAAAAGAGGTTTGCAGCTTGCTACTTACAGGACTGTTTGTGCTAATAACCTTTACATTTGTATCTGGTTTTTCTAGTTTGTCTGGGTTTACTTGATTGTTTAGTTTGAAGGATCCATTGTTACATTCATCGGTGCTGGCATCCTTTTTCTGGCAAAAAATTTAGAAACTAGTGATCCACTTGGCCAAACATCTCTCTGCCAAGCTCTCCTGAAATTTGACTGGTTAATAGTTACCTTAAAGGATGCATAAGCCTCTGGGTATTTTGATTGATGGTTTTCACATTTGGCTTCTGGAAAGTGTTGCTTTACCATCAATTCAAAATCTTCTAATTTAGTATCAGGTGTTAATCTTGTTACGTGCAAGGATACAGACTTGGGAATACTTGTTATATTAGGGTTATTGTTGTTTGTCCCAACAACGAATGCTTTATTTCTGCGCCTTCTCTGCTTTTGCCATCCTGTTTCTTCATCTTCAGAGACAAGGTTTTGAAAGGAAAACATTTTCTGGGCAGTTTCTGCTTCGTGAACTGCAGTCCTAACTTGCTGTATATTAACAATATTAGCATTAGCACTTTCATTTCCATCTTCTTTACCTTTGTTTTTGGTTATATTTACTTTTGCTATAGGTGGAGCCTGCCCAGTCGTTGTCTGAATTTTGACACGTGATTTTGGATCATTTAACCTACTATCGCTTGAACTACTTGCCACGTCTCGCCAGGTCGAATGAGATTTTACATTGACTTGCGGTGTTGCCATCTCCTTTAAATTTTCTTTGGATGTGGTTTCTCGCCAATATAACCTATATTTTGTTGGGTAAACATTATTTTTTCTTCTAAAAATTTAATTTTTTCTTTTAAAAGATATGAATTCTCTTCAAGAATTATATTTTTGCTTTTCATTTCATCAATCAACATCCTCAATAATTTAATTTCGTTGTCTCTAGGATCAACAACTATGGAATCAGAGTACTCACATGTTTCTTCATTGCTTTCTTGTTTTTCACTTTTTAGGCTTTGATTGTCGCAACACTTTTTTGCTGGTTTATTTGCACAACCATCATGGTAAAATTTTTCACAATTTAGACACTTAACTCTGGCGTTTACCGCCGTTTTCTTACAATATTCACACACTACTTTTCCGGTTTGTTTACTACCGGCCATCTTGGATGGCTTGTGTTTGATATATACGTTTGAAATATACGTATTGTATATTTTGAGTCCGAAGATAAATGTCTATACAACACTTATTCACAAAACACTGCTAGAATAACAACAATATTTATAAAGTGAAATGAAGATGTCATTTTAGACTATATAATTAAATAAAGTACTTAATGTTCATATAACAAATATGTAAGTATCCAACTCTATATTGCTAACGTTGCTTTCAGGCAACACCGAATTAAATTCAGTTAGAAAACAAATCTTTTGCCATTTAGTGATTTTAAAGTGCATATTCTGCAGTAAAAGACACATTTTATCATGTAAGTACAGTAAACCAAATTTTCGCGACAAAAGTTTTCAGATGTTGTCAGTCTAAATCAATTTGAGAGTATAAATTACATATGAGCAATTTTAAACAAACATCTAAAGAGTCTCCAGACTATGATAAATTATACAAGATCAGACAGTTGTTTTGAATGAAGTATGTTCTATAATTCTCACTGAAGACTTTTTATCAATCGATGAGCAAATCGTTCTTTTCAAAGAAAGAAGCAGTCTCAAGCAGTACAACCAAAAAAACCTAACAAATGAGGGTACAAATTTTTGTTCTATCTAATAGGTACCTCTGGATTGATGTATCAATTTGACATTTATACAAGAAAAGAATATCATCATTTAATAGATATTGGTCTAGCTGGTAATGTCGTCCTCAGGTTATTACAGAATATTCCAAAGCACCAAAATTATAAATTGTACCTTTGATATAATTGGTTCAACAGCATCAACTTGCAGTTAGGATTAGCAAAGACTAGTATGCAGTGTGTAGGGAATTTAAGGCAAAATAGACTCGTTGGGTAAGAACTGATATCAAACAAATAATTGAAAAAAACAAGCGAGAGGTTCATTTCAGGAACAGAAAACTATTATCGATGGTGTTCCCCTGACTATGGTGAAGTGGTATGATAAGAAAGGTGTTACTATTCTAAGCCCATATGCAGGAGCGTATCTATGTGACAAAAAGAAGAGATGGAACTTTATATCTAAACAATATATTGATGTTGATTGTTCACTATTCATTGTTTTATGATAATTTTACAATAAGAGTCTGGGACGTTGATTTGCTAGATTCTCTTATTGCCTTAGATAGAATAACGATTAGGTCCAAGAAGTGGTATCACAAATTATTTTTTAACTTTGTTGACATTATGGTTATTCAAACATGGCTTTTATATAGAAAAGATTGCAATTATTTAAAAATAACAAATAAGAACAATTACCTCAGTATAATTCAAAGCAGAAATTGCGTAAACCCTTTGTTTGAAAAAGAAGGTAAATTGTTCTTGTGAAAAAGTTAGAAAAGATCAAATAGGTGGTCATTGGTCCATATATTTTCAAAGAAAAGGAAAATGTAAAGTAACTCCCAAAGTTCATTGCCAAAAATGTGAAATATTTCTTTGTCTCATTACAACTTTAAGAATTTTTATCCATAATAAAGTTTCACATGTTGGATTTTTATTGTATTACATGTAGTTTTATTGCATATTGTTGCCTAAAACACACATTCCATATTTTCTAAAAAGGGGGAGAGAACTCAAAAATTATTGTAGATGAATTCTTAAATTTATCATTAAAGCTATGTCAAAACAACAAATGATTTTTAGTGTAGTTTTAAAATTCTTGCAATATAGGGTTAAATTGAATATTTGTTATATTTGAATAATAAGTTCATTTTTATATTATTTCTTTTATGTAATTATTATCGATGTAGTACTACTTTGCTATAAAAACTAAAGTGTATCATCAAGTTTATATCCTCAAATTTGGTATCTGTCTTAGTTTTCTTTAATAATTTTTGTCAGTGGTGAGTCATTTATAAACATTTTTAGGGTATTTATAAAAACATCAAATGATTCCGTTAAAGTATTATTTGTTAATATTTTTGTTATATTAAGTTTATAAATATAACGAAGCAACCAGCTATGTCTACGTATGTCTACCTGTTCGATTAACATTAACCCATCAGATGGACTAGCTAACCGAGAAATCCAGTAATCTGCTTATTTGCATTATTATTTTCATGTAGTCCACCTATTCTCTTCAGAAGACTTTTCATTCAAAATACTCCCTTCCCAGAATATTGCTCACACTTTATTTAAATGTTTTCTACATTGTTTAATTTTTTTTAAGTTTCAGTAATGGAAATTATTCTTAATTTTCAAATGTTATTTGATTTTCCTTTTCTTAAAGGTTGCAGGTAGGTAAACCTAGCTATAGATGTCAGAGTCTAAGTCGAGAATAAACTCATTTTCAATTCTTCCAAAGTAATTAACATTATCAAAATATGAAATTAATCTTTTGTAACATCTATTAAAAATATGAAACTAAGAAGAAAATCTGTAAATATCGTATGACAATATGTAATTGACCCTAGAACTACAACGTGACTACCGAGCCAATTTTTTTAACGTTGTTATTCTGGGGTTAAAAGTTTTTTTCTGAAAGTTTTTGTACTTACCGAAGTTTGAAGTCAGGGTAGACCATCCTGTTGGGAAAACCTTTACGACAAATACGGATACCTTCAAGTACACCGTTACATGTCAGCTGGTGCATTACCAAGTGAGAGTCAATAACACCGGGCTGTTTCAATTCGTTGGGGATGATACAACGTACAAAGTGAGGTTGAGTAGATCTCAAGGTGGTCATCAAGTTGTTCAATTGTTCCTAAAGAAAGGAGGTAATGATAATTTCTACAGTTAATCTGGATAGGGTAATTATTATGTTAATACTTTTAATTGGGAGAAGGATTGAAGGCGATTTAGTCAGTTAAGCAAAATTGCCACAAACATATTAAAAGATATGGAATTATAATTTTAAGGTGGGAATATATTTGCATCTTTGTCTTTTAAGATGTTTGCTGATTGGTTAACACAACATGTGGGCAAAAGGTAGTGTCTATTTATGCCTTAACATGAATTTTAAAACAAGAATTATTGTAAATACTCCATACTGTGTGCTGGTATGGTTTCTACACTAAGGTGGGAAAACTCGCTAGTTTCGGGCTAAACTAGTAAAAATCAAAAACGTCTAATCAGTTTTATGAAGATCGATAGCAACCTTCTCAATCGGTGTTATTACCACACGGTGTTCTGAGGTGGTTCGAAAAATACGTATCAGTCACAAGTGACATCTAAATTAGCACTACATACTTGGAAAAAACTCGCCTAACCAAAAAACGTACCTTGTATGCAGAAGATACTGTGGCAAAACCACCACCCTTCTTACCACGACCTAGTTTGAAGCAAATAAAGCAGTTTAGAAAAAATTACCAAAAATTAAATAAAAATTATATCGTGCTAATATATAAAAATTTAGCAAGGAAACGGTAAGGAAAAGAAGTGAAGGTGTAGTGTTTTTTTGAGCTGCGTCTAGTAGCAGTTGATTTACCCTGTATAAACTGGAAACGGTTTGGAAAGCGGAACCCTTGGTTCTCTTACCACCTAATATGGGAAGAAATAAATTTAGAACTTGTACATTTCGACTTCTGAAATTGTTTTAAAAGGACGACCATTTTTTTATATTTATCAAGAATTCAATTTACCTCTTTCGTAATTATTTTTGACTCAAAAATCGTCAATTTAAAACAACACAAAATTCTAAAGTTTTAAAATTATCAAAACTTAATACCAAAATAAAATTAAGGATCGTATAAATGATTATTTTACCTTTTTCCGCTGCGCCACCAGATTGACCTGGATGATCCGCAAAGATTTCACATACGAGAGCGTTGGAACCCTTCTTGTACAAGTCGACTACGGTGTCGTTCAAGGGATCCTTGTTCTTTTCTAACCAACCGGTGATATTGTATGGTACCTATTCAACATGATACAAACCTAATGAAGCAGTTTGTATATTTTTGGTTGTTAAAATTATGCTACGAATTGTAAAATATATAGAAAATATAAGCCATAATGTTTGAAATCAGACAAGAAATTAGAATAATTAGATGAAGATTTTAGAAGTCAACTGAACTCTAACAAATTCTTGGGAAAGATTCTAATATTGTAAAAATTCTGATTAATTTTTAAGTCATTTATATCTGGGAATTATACGGAACACATTTTAGTACTCATTATATCATACCATCAGTTTTATAAGACGAAACAGTTATTATGGTGTACCAGCAACAAGCTAACCAGAGTGAAAAATAAGGGAGATAGGTTACAGAAATTTAAACACTAGTTTTATTAAAAAACTGGCAAAATAAGTGAAGATGACGAGTAAAATGGCGAAAACAGCAAAGTTTCTAAAGGGAAACCATGGCTTAAAAACTTAAAAAACAATTACATGCCATCGACTACATCATTATTTACAACTACTGTCTATATAACCATAATAGCGAATCTGGTAGTCAGCCATGATGTTCAAACATCGAAAAATCATAGAACAACAAACAAAAATAAGGAATTTTTTTTAATTAGAAGAGATATAATATGTATATCTTCACGTTTAGAAAGAAGGAAGTAGCTGAATACATACAATATTATATTTTATCTATTTTTACAATTTCTTTGATACTTACGTTACCGGCATAATGTCCCAAGGTGAAGTGAGCAGCTTGCTGACCTGGTTTTGGTGGTTTTGGTTTTTGGAAGTTGGGTGATTTGCCCAAGTGGTTGGTGTTCAATTTTTCCTCAAAGGTCTTGTCGGTGGCTTTGGGGAACATAGATTCTTCTTCAAGGATGGACAAGATACCCATAGGCTATATTAGGTAAATATTCGATTAATATAACAGACGAAAATGACGAAGTGGATAATGCAAAAGCAAAGCTGTTGAGTATTATATAGCACCTGGACAAGTGGTAAAGAATTTATGACTATTCTGCTACTTTATGATCTAGAACATACCATTTTTTTGGTCGCAAAACTGAGAGAATAAATAATATGTTGTAGCTGTAAATTAGTCAATTTTTCTTACAGAAAAATAAATGCCTATATTGGTTCTGATATTATAGACAGACTAACTTTTTGTTTTTGTTTTGGGGTAAAAAATGGTTAACAATTCATAGGTCTGAGATAAGGAATACAAGGAGGTTGACGTAATTGACTCTATTGATGTACTCAGGACAATATAGTAAAGCACATTCGCATTTAGAGGGATCCTTCTTTATATGCCAAGCTTATTGAGACTATTGCATCAAATAATATGTTCAAAATACTTAAGCGTCTTAGTTTCTTGCTCTCAGACCTGAAAAAGCCTGGATGCAAACATAACATGATTTTCACTGGGAAATATAACCGACCAAGCACATGGAAAAATCTATATTGGACTGAATATGCACCAGTCAAGCGACTTATTGAAACTTACAGATAATAATCCTAGGTCTAGGCCTAGGTCTAAGATAGGGGCTAGAAGGAGATTGATGCAACTGACTCTGTTGATGTACTCGGCGGTTTGGGAACAATTTAATAAAGTTCTTACGTATTTCGACGTATTTTCTTGCTTCCAGACCAGAAAAAGCCTGGATACGAACACAATATGATTTCCACTGGGAAATATCCCTGATCAAACACATGGAAAATCTTTGTTGGACTAAAAATCTTCTTACATTCAGAGCTCATATGCAGAAGGTTGCGCAGCCAAGAGATTCTTCTACGTCTCACAATTTTCATCCAACAATATTTCCTTGCATTAAAAGCTGTACTCTACAGATTTGTGGACACCTGCATGCAATCTCTGTAGTAGAGAAACTAAAATTGTTAAATAGTGATAAATGAACGAGAGGCAATAGATGATAGATGCATTAGATCCAAATTATTTCCTGAAAACTACCAAGTGACTCTTCAAAACATATCCACCAGACCTCTACAAGACTGCGAGGCACTACTAAATACTTTGTGGGAACTACCAAGTTACCAAAACATGTGGTTTCCATATACTAGACCTGTACAAACTGGTACGGAGTTAAAGAATTATGGAATGGTACACAAAAAGGAAAAACGTACGATTGGTTTATATTCGACAGCGTCAGAAGAAAAGGTTTGTAAGACGTAACATTAGTAGTATCGTAATTTGTGCAATAGGATTTTGTCCAACTGTGACCAGGTGCTAATAATGTGCAATTACCTTATTTGAACATTGTATTTTAGTTAAAACTCTTTTCTTTAGCAGTTAAATATCTGCCTTAGTTTTAGATATATTTTAGAGTGACCAAATTACAAGTTCTATGAGTGTGTCGTATACATTACCTGGTGCAGTGCCAATAAAAGTGCTGTTAAGATATACATAAGGGGTTCTGTGCATATACTACAAAGTGAAGAAACTACCTACTGGAAACTATGTGTACCTTCTCAATTAAATCAATACATGGTTGCAAATCCATACCAAAATCAATGAAATTCCAGTTGAGACCTTCTCTTTCGTATTCCTCTTGTTCCAGAATGAACATGTGATGGTTATAAAATTGCTGCATTTTTTCATTTGAATAGTTTATGCACAGTTGTTCAAACCCGTTGTACTGTAAGTAATAGTGTTAGCTGAACACAAAAAGCATTTTAGATTTTATGTACGGAATATCTACTATCTAAAATCACCTTAAATATGTATTTTTTTAGAAGATCAGGTTCGAGTGCAGGATTTTGCAGATATAGTGACTTTTCTGCAAATAAAGAAGCTTTGGCTATCTAGGAAAATATTATACATTATACAGAATAATAAAGAATATATTCTGGAAGTAGTTGTGGTGCAAACTAAACGCAGGATAGAAGTTGTATACAATATAAAAGAAAGAACAGCTCTACTACTTTAATATTTAAGGAATTATTGTAGTCATTGAGAACGTTAAACATTTTGGATTGTTGGCAATAGATAATGAGAAGACAAAAAGTTTTTTAAATGCGTTAAAATACTTGGCATCTTATCTAACAATTGAAATGCTGTGAATGGTGTGGAAATATGATTTTGCTGGTTTTGTTTTTGCTTGCAAAGATTGTTGTAGGTATTTAATTGATGATTATGACCTGAAACTGCAAATGGTATGACCGTTTTAAACATAAAATCTTGTATTACATTTTCACATACAATACACATACATATGTTAAAAGAAGCATTGTTTAGTACAATTGGTTATTGTCCAAAAAGTTTTCAATCTATACAAATATTCTTAACTGGTTTATGCGATTGCTTTATAGCCATGTATAGAAGCAAATGCATAATTTGGTAAAATATAATTGATGAAATTTTTTGGACAATCCCCAAAGGGGCTAGTAGTCTACACCCTTGTTCTGTACCTTTTCGATAAGTTCGATACAGGCAGCTAAGTCCATACCGAAATCAATAAAAGCCCATTCAATACCCTCTCTTTGGTATTCTTCTTGTTCAAGTACAAACATGTGGTGGTTAAAGAACTGTTGCAACTTTTCATTGGTAAAGTTGATACAAAGCTGCTCAAAGCCGTTGAACTATTTAAAACATACACAAATAACTACTAAAGACACTTTGATTCCTTTCCTGAACAACTGGTGGAATCAACACAGGACAATACAACATTTAACAATAAATACAAAATACACATGGATAGACTGTTACGACGATTAACGTTTTTTGCTTTAACATAAAACAAACCAAAATACCAAATTCTTCTATCGCGAGTCCAATTACCTTTTCAATAAGTTCGATACAAGCTGCCAAGTCCATTCCAAAATCAATGAAGGTCCATTGAATACCTTCCGTTTTGTATTCTTCTTGTTCGAGCACGAACATGTGATGGTTAAAGAATTGTTGCAATTTTTCGTTGGTAAAGTTAATACACAGTTGTTCAAAACCGTTGTACTAGATAAAGATGAGTAAAGTTAGTTAATGGTATATCTTATATAACAATTTCACCAAATGATCTTTGTTAGTATGCAAGCAAGCTTACCTTCGCTTATTGGGTGCTACCATTGACAGTTAAACGGAACAAATCTATTATTAGTATTATATAATATATTTGCACCGTTTTAACCAAAGATTCCCAATAATATAAGTTAGCGGAAGCAAACCTTTTCAATAAGTTCAATACAAGCAGCCAAGTCCATTCCGAAGTCAATGAAGACCCATGTAATACCCTCTCTGGTGTACTCCTCTTGCTCCAAGACGAACATGTGATGGTTGAAGAATTGCTGTAGCTTTTCATTGGTAAAGTTAATGCAAAGCTGTTCAAAGCCGTTGTACTATAAAGCATAGAGGAAAATAAATAAAGCATATATTATAGAGAGCAAAGGAAGATGCAGCTAGAAGCATGATTAATGTGACTACAAGTTGAAATACTTTGGTTGTCTGTCCAAAAGTTTTTTCCACCACGAACAGGATTGTATGAATAATGTAAGTACTATACAAATATCTACAAAATAACTGTACAATGTATATTTTCTGTTTGGAAATGTAATAGATAGAAAAAAATTTTGATTTTATACTGCAGTTTTGTTCCAATTAACTAATGTCTTTATTTTTTTTTATTTAATTCGAACAAACTAATTGCGCTGAAAGTAATTTTGAATTTTTTTTATTACGTTTTTCATTGCACAATTATTTTTTTGAACTCGAAAACTTACGTCGAAGATTTCAAAACCAGCAATATCCAGTACACCAATGAAGTGCTGTCTCTTTTGCTTTGTGTCCAAAGTTTCGTTACACTTCTTGACCAAGAACTTGAAGAGCCTGTCAAACATGGCCTTTGACATGGCACCGACGGAGTAGGATACTTGGTTGACATTACGACCTTGGGTGACGAATTCGTTACCGACCTTAATTCTTGGTTTGACAAGAGCTTGGTAGAGACCTGGTGCTTCAACACCCAAGAGTTTACCAACGCGTTCACCTTCCTACGGAAAAATAATCAATATTAGTAATTTTTTGAAAGCCTGTCTTGCCGTATTAAAAACAACATGAAAGGCAGAAAGAAAACTTACTTCGGTACCGTCTGGTTCAGCTTGTTCTTCACGACCTCTTTGTTTAAACTTCATGCAACCCATGTGCATTACAGCGGCGGTGATCTTGTATACGTTGTCCTTTTCTTCTTGTGTGAAACCAAGGATATCGAAGGCTTCCTACATACATTAACAAATATTAGTGTGATGAAATAATATTTTTGGCACAAGCAGTATATGTACAACAGCACTTACCACAGTCAATTAGTGAGACAAAGCAAGCTGGATATGTATTAGTTTGTACAGTTGGAGCAAGATTTTGTAGACAGATTTTTGGAGAATATTTCTATGACACATATTTTAACAAATCAGTTGATAGAATAGGTCATTCCGACAGTCACATGGTGATAAAGGGGTTTTGCTTAACTTACATCAGTCAGTGAGAATTCTTCAGCGTCATCTACACTTGGAATTGTAGTTTTTCCTTGTGAAACACTGTGATAATCGTAGATATCATTTGATAGAAGACATTTTTCTGCATAAGGAATACAATATTATTTTTTATCTAGTTTGTCAGTAGACAAAACAAAAATCTTCATATTAAAAGAATAAATTTGAATTTTCTTCCAAAAATCTCTATTTTCTTGAATAATACGATTGTCCAACAAGAAGCTTGTGATATACAGCAGTTCGATGTATTATGTACATAATGTGTAAAATGATTTATAAGTCCACATCAGCAAATCACATGTTTTTTACATATTTGATATAATTTGCGCGGCAAGTTTGCTGCCGAATTAGAGTATAACAATATAAAAAATAATAAAAACTTTTGAACGACCCTCACACACAGAAAAAGAAAGAAAAAGAGAGAAATAACAATTTACAAACCAATGGAAAAAACAAATAGAAGAACTAAAAATGGAAATGAACGTGGAAATACTAAGAAAATAGTCATCGGAAGAAAAGAAACTGATCGAAAAGAAAGAAACATAAAGAATAATTATAGTAGAGATACAGACATTCCTGTAGGAATTGTAAGCTTAAAAAACCATAACAGCAGGATAAATGCAACGGAGAAGAGAGGTTAGATATAATAAGAAAAACAAAGTGGGACCGAAAAAAATGAGACAAAGGCAAATTAGAGAAGCAGGAAAATTTAAGTAGAACACACTTCAAAAAATCAAAATAATGACTTAAAAAGGAAAGCGAATGACAATTATAAGACTCAAATTCAATACCAAAATTGGTAAATGATTGGAGTAGAATAAAGACAGAATGAACACTTGGACGTAAAGTGAATTAGTTTGGAATTTATCTTCAGCGGAAAATATGCAATTTGTTGAGTGGACTTACAGATAGCGTATTTGTTTGTGTTGCGTAAGTAATCGATAAAAATGTTTCACAACAGCAACTCAGGGAGCGAGCCATGCCTAGATGTATCCAATTGTGTCAAAAAAAATTTGGTTGTGCATACTGCGCGCTCCCTGACGCCAGGACATCAGCTTGCTTACGTCAGTTACCAGAGCTTCTTCACTATCGTTGACACCAAGTATTCTGGTTTTTCCTTGGCTTATAAAAGCGTAATCGGAAATTCTATTTGTTAATAGACATTTTTCTAGAATAAAAAATGTGTCAGTATGAAGTAAAATCTAGGCATCGCTCCTACCTGGTATATTAGTAGGAACTACACAGGAAATAGTTAGAACATAAAAAAGATAAGAATGTATTTTCGAAACATGTACTTTAAAAAACGAATCAATGCTATTAACAGCATAATTCATCTTTAAACAGTAGTTAGGAGAATACGTTAACAGTACATAGATAAACAAACACCCAACACACAAAGAGGACAGTGGCCTGTCAGAAGGCACTTACATCTGTAAGTCTACATTCCTCAGCATCATCTACATTAGGAATTGTAGTTTTTCCTTGGGCGACGAAATTGTATTCGTTGATATTGTTAGACAACAAACACTTTTCTAATGGATTAAAAGAAAGGAATTATAAGTCTTGTCTCATAGCGACTTATAGGAAAATTTTACATAAATCAACAAAAAGAAAGGGTACATTGTCACATATTGATCCAACATCTACAGAACATATAATTGGTTTATCTGAGCCATTGTCGGAAAGATAAGTTTATTTTAAAAGGAAATACCTCATATCTAGTTGCATTAAATTTTTAGTTTTATTTTATTTTATAATTGTTCAAAAATTATTCCATTTTAAAATAACTTAAGATTGACCAAGTTCTACTAAAGCTCTCTTTGTATCTATTAACAAGTACAGCAGTGTTCCAAATTGTGTACTTGACGATATTCGAGATCTACGAATAATAATTTTGACGGATGTGACACTTGTGTTCATATGGGTGTCTTTACATCGCCACTTCTCAACGTTTGTACTGTATATCAGCAACGTAGAGTATTTGCGGTGATCATTTCCGTCCACTTACATCTGTTAATCCAAATTCTTCGCCGTCATCCATATTTGGAACAGTAATTTTTCCCTGGGACACGTAGTAATATTGGTAGATATCATTAGACAAGAGACACATATCTGAGTACACAGGAAATAAAACATGTTTACATCTGGATATGGTACGTGCATACTAAGGTTTGTTTGGAGAAATATGTAGAATGTACATAGATATTAAAAGAAATAGTAACTTTAATCTGCTCTGAAGCTATTTTGTTTTCATTAGTGTTTTGTATTTTGAGATTGATTTTTAAAGTTTAAATTAAGTTGTATTCATTTTAACGATTGCATGTAATTATTTTTTCAGAGTTTAATACACAGTTTTATTTCTTTTAAAATCCATTTTAAATTTTTGTTGTATACCTAATTCTCTGTATATGTATGTATTTCAACTGTTATCTGAATTCTAAATGCTGGAAGTACCAAAAAAACAGTAATGTTTCTAGTTAGATTGTATATCGAGATAAAATATGGTATATGAAAGGTATAAAGTAACCAAAAATCGCACCTTTAACTCCAGGTACAGATCCAGACATGATCTGGTAGAAGATGTGGTAAGATCTTTCCAATGGCTGTTGGGAAATGACACGGGCCTTTTCTAGCAGATCTGCAAAGACAATAGATTAGCACAAATGAGACAACTTCATCAATTTAAAAACTTACAAGTTTCAATATCAGCACCAGCAAGTTTACCAGTTGGGCCGAAGTGGATACGGATGAATTTACCCTAAAGTATTTAGGAAACCGTTAGTAAAGAACCAACCACTTCAAAGTTTATACTTACGAAACGGGACGAGTTGTCGTTACGCACGGTCTTGGCGTTACCAAAGGCTTCAAGTACAGGGTTAGTTTGTACGACTTGATCTTCCAAGTTACTTTTCTTTGCGTTGGGATCAGCATCTTTCTTTGTTGAGGCACCGACGGTGGCGAAGTAGGCAATTACCTTCTTCGTGTTTTCAGTTTTACCGGCACCAGATTCACCACTGGGGATAGAAGGTTAATATTACTAAGTTTTGCAAAAACACTTAAAAAAACGGAGACGGACATACGGATTGGAGACTGGTGTGGAGATTGTAATGAGCAGCATTTATACGGAGCTCTTATGAGACGACACCGAATATGATGATTGGACACTTGCAATTGCAAAAAACATGCAAAATAGAGAAAGAAACCGCGAACGTTCGTGATACAACGTGATTACATTCTGGTACAACTAGAAAATGGGGAAAATATCAACAGATTGATTTAACGTTCTATTTGTGATACTTAAAAACATGCTAAAAAGTGCTCTGACTATCAGTCTGTTAAGTCACGTTTTAAAAATTTTTCTTGGAATGATTCACTACAGAATTTATGCTCAAATTGAAGGAGAAATTAGTGATACCTAGTTTAACTAATTTCTCCTTCAATTTGAGCATAAATTCTGTGATACCTAGTTTAACTTTTCTAGGAAAAATGAAGAAGGAACCAGAGATTGTGTTTACGATCAAACGCATAAAATTGCAATATCTGGGACACATTATGAGAAATCAGCACCGTTACTCCCTGCTACAGTCTATATTGCAAGGTAAAGTCAAAGGTAAGCGAGGACCGGTAGAAGGAGAATATTATGGCTGCGGAATTTAAAAACATGGTTTAAGAAACCTCAACGGAGCTGTTTCGAGCCGCAGCGAGCAAGGTTATGATTGCCAATATGATTTCCAACATCCGAAACGGATAGGAACCAGAAGAAGAAGTTTAACTTTATGCTTTATAGACTTTGAGAAAGCATTGGACAAAGTTAGATATAGAAAATTAAAAATTAATAAAAGTTCTGGAACGAGTAGTAATAGACGACGAATACTTCAGAATTATACAAAATCTATACTATCATCAGCAAGCAAATATCAGAATTCGCCTGGATACTTGTGAATTAATTGAAACTCTGCGTGAGGTTATACAGGGGTGCCTCTTGTCACCCCTGTTTTTTAATCTATACTTTGAGCATATTCTTAAAGGAGCACTTGTCAGAAATGATTTCAGTATCACGATCAACGGAATTAAGATCAGTGATCTGAGATATGTGAACGGAGTATTAATAATAACCTGAAAATAAGACCCGCCAAATGTTACACTTTCTAGACATTATTTTATGGAGTTCAAAGCTGGATGCTGACTAACTCTATATTAAATAAAGTTCGTGGGTGTATCTAAGGCTGCTCCGCATAAGCTAGATTGATCAAGAAACAAATGAAGAGATACAATGTTTAAGAAAATAAACGGAAGTGGTGAGAATCGTAAAAGGGTATTTTGATCTTCTCATTCGACACCCAAAGCGATTTAAGGTAAAATAAACAGAAGAAGGGGTCCCGGTCGAAGAAGAACATCATCATCATGGTTTCCTAACCAACGTGAGTGGTTTAATCAGTATTTATCATCCCCCTTCACAGCTACGGTGAATAAAATTATGATACCCAACGTTAAGTAATGGACTTAGTATTTATATAAGCAGTTTAGACTGGAAAATATGTTCACAAGAACAATAAAATAAAATTTGAGATGAAAAAGCTCAAAGCATTGAAACATTAAATTTTATTACACAAATTAAACCTAGAATAAATCTGTGTCAAAGAGGAAAACATACTTAGTAACGAAAATATCGTTAAAAGATGGATGGAGCCCATCGAAGATATGTTATGCACTAGTGGCGACAATACTGACTGTTTTATACAACTAAACATTGAGCTAAATCATAACGAATTCAATCCACCAGACAAACAGGAAACACTCCATCAAATCCACAAGATTATCTGTTTGATACTATTTAACAAAATTTATATAAGTCTGAACCCATAATCTGCATAAATTTGAAAGCAAATTAAGATCTTTTTGGTTAACAATAGACCAAATCTTCGTATTAATTTAGATCTTTTAAAAAAGCTGGGAAAGTCATATTGACACCTTGTGTTAATTAGTCCCTGAACGAACAGGAACTGAGATAATGGGATGCACTGGAATAACTACGATTTTACTTCAAAGTTTTAATATCAGATGAACAACGAAATAATAAAGACTACCTGTCCAAATGTTATCATATGCTGGTTGGAAAACAGCAAGAAAATTGACAAAAGATAGATCAATATTGAGATATTATAGATGTCATGAAGACCAGTGTTGCATCTAGCTGTTAAGAATGAGACAGACTGTAGGAGTAAGCTTAGCAAGGTCAAACGATGGTGCTGATTAGTATTTAAAGCGAAGAAAAAATCTTAAAATCACTAAGAAAGTTAATGGATTTTGTCAAGAGAACAGGAATCTTTGATTGGTGAAGTTTGATGAGAGGAAAATATTAACAGAGACAGGTATTGTTTCATTGCAACTGAGCAAAATAGGAAGACTAATATGGAAAAATATAAATTGCTTCATATTTATAGGAAGGAATGGATTCGATAATTAAAATATGCTGGTGTTAAATATTTAGATACTTACGTAATCAACATAGATTGATTTTCGTGATCTGTAAAGAAAAAAAAAATATCAGTATCGTCAGAATAATATTATACATATGTTAAAAGATTGTGCTATTTCTTGTTTCGAAAAAGAAAAGATTCATGCAATAAATATTATAAATATTGCAAATAAAAAGACAAATGAATCTATTGTTTATTGAATACTTCTGCTGATTTAATATCTTTGTTAATTAATGATTTTAAAATTTTTTGTATACCTAGTTAATTAAATAATAGAACTTTACAATAAAACCGCTATAACTACTAAAAAATATACTTACTGGTCAACATGTTGACGTAGGCACCGTCAGAAATAGCGAAAATGTGGGGTGGTACTTCATTACGCCTCTTACCACGGTACAACTTGGCACAACGGTTGGTATATACAGGGAAACGTTTGTAGGGGTTAATGGCGACACAGAACAAACCTGAGTATGTCTGAAATATACAATGTATTATTAATATCAGGTATATTAACACGGACAATTTTGCAATAGTTTTTAAAATGAGTTTTTGCTGTAAAATATGTTGGTAAGTTTGTTTTATATTTTGTCGCTTTTATCTTTTTGCCCTTTTGCGCTTGTCAAACGAAACAAAATACACAAAAACACAATTACATGTGTTAATCACTGTTATTTTATGGGTCCATACTGAGCAATGGCTCACAAAGTGTTACTGGGACTATGTTTCATCGATTGCCACCTTTAAACGATGGTTTTTTGAATTTAAACGCGGTCGTACCAACACCACTAATGCTGAGCACTCTGGAACACCAAATAATACAGTTATACTCGAAAACATAAAAAAAATTGTGAAAATTATTATGGAAACACGCGAAATGAAGTTGTAAGAGTACTTTGGACTCTAAAGTTATCAAAGGGTAGCATTTTGACTATTATGCATTATTATTTTGGTATGAGACAGCTGTTTTCCAAATAGGTGCCGCATTTTCACACACCAAAGCAACAGCAACCACGAATTGATAAATCTCGACGCTGTTTGGACATGCTTAATGGAATAAGTCAAAGTTTTTTTGTCAGCACTTCATAATGGATTAATCACTTCATTCAGAAATCAGATCGGCAGTTATCTGAATGGACAGCATCCGAAAAAAGCTGTCCAAAACGATAAAAGACAACAAGCCACTGGAAAGTTTATGGCCTCTATATTTCGGGACCCGTAAGAAGTCATTTTCATTGACAATTTCAAAAATGGAGAAACTATCAATGGCGACGACTATAATTTTTTTATTGGAGCATTTAAAGGCCGAAATTGCAAAGTAAAGGTCTTATATATTCTAGAAAAAATTGTTGTTTCACCAGGACCGTGTCACAAGATGATGAAAACGATGGCAAAAATGAACAAATTGGTCTTTGAATTGCTTCTGCATCCACTGTTTAGGTCAGATGCTCCATGCATGTTCCATTTGATGTTCTTCAAAATGGTAATCAACAACTCAAAAGTTGGATGTACGACAGGAACATAAACTAAGGACAATAACAAAAGAAACATCAATAGAAAGGTCAAACACTAATATATCCTACAAACATTATCAGTGATATTAAAAAAAAAACGAAAAATCTACCTTAAATCTGTAACATTTAGTATCTGAAAGAAGATAAAGATAGAGCGACAAAAACGTTTTTCTTTAGAGCGATCATCTTTTATCTCAAAAAACAAAAACTCAGTTTTAAAACTAAATAAATTCAAAAACAAAAATCAACAAAAATAAATCTGGGCTTCTACGTGGTTTCACTAACTACAAGTAGTACTTGGTGTTTACTGTTCAAAATAATTTTTACCACGAAGTGCTAATTTGTAGCAATAAAAAACGGCGTAGAATGCCCCAAAAATAAAAAAGAATCTGAACAAGTTTGAGTTCAGATAAAAATATTATTCACAATAGAAAAAATCCAAAAAAATAGGTGTCCAGATTCTAGTTCAAACCGAAAATTAAAGGTATTATCTCTAAAGAGTTTAAAAGACCTATTTAGAAATTTAGTTTTGTAGAAAACTTGATTTTTTTCTAGAGAGGTTGAAGTAAAATCTGAACAAATAAAAAATATGTTAACAAGAGAAGGATATCACAGTTGGTTCTGAAGCTGTGATATATTAAAAACAACACAGAGATGAACAATGAAATAAACTGCCATCAAATTGTTAGGTTGATGGTAGTTTTGATGATCTCAAACATTTCAATACATTATACTAGAGTTGTTTTCTTAAACGTCATCAAAATGATTGAAATGTTTGAAGATTGAACATACACAATGAGTAATGAAGTAAGAAACCCAAATTCTTTGTTCCATATAGAACTGGGCAAGGTTGAAAGAATCAAACTGCGGGAGTGTATTTCCTCTTTTTCCCAAGTTGAAGAAGGAATCCAAATGAATTGCCTTGGCGGTGTATTTCCGTTTTTCCAAATGCAAATTCACATTGTCCATGCATTGAAGGGTGGCCATTATCAAAAAATATCGATAAACATCGTTACATAGTATTTTTATGACTTATAAAGGTTTCTAACTGGTATCGCGTAAAGTAGATGTTTATCCATACTTTATAGCATCCCTTTGATCATTTTTGTCCACTTACGTAGATAAGCTTATGGTAATAACGTTGTTTTAAATTGTGCAATACTGAAGCATCGTTGAGGTATGTCAAATTTGACATATCCTCGGCTTTTTCGTACTTTGGAGGATTGACCTGAGTTACTTGGTCCTTCTTGAAGTTCTTTTCCTGTTTTAACATAAAAATAGATTAGTACAGAGTTTGGAATACTTACGTAGATTAGCTTAGCGTAGTAACGTTGTTTCAAATTATGTAAGACAGAAGCGTCGTTTAGGTAGGTTAAATCTGCCATATCTTCGACTTTTTCGTATTTGGGGGGATTCACTTGGTGAACGTTTTCTTTTTTGAATTGTTTTTCCTGTTTTCAGCAAAGTATACATTAGTATTTATACTAATAAGGATTATCGATATTATAAATGTTATAAATTTCACTAAATAAACCATAATAATTGGGACAGAATACATGGACAGAATTTTGCAACAACTGCATGATTCTTGTGGCGAAGAAGAAAAAGAAGAATTGATATATCGTGAAACATTATAGAACTGAACATTTTTCTTTTAGTAGAATAGATTATAAAACAGTTAAGATCCACCAGGACAAAACCATTGCCGAAAAATGGACAAAGCTATGAAAAAAATGATATTATATTTACATTGAATAGGGCGAGATTTTTTAAGCAAATAACTGGATTTTATTCTTATTACATTGTAAATTTTGTAATTTTTGTTCTTTTTTTTACGAAATAATGTAAGACAAAGGGACCGAAAAATATGAAATAGGAATTTCAGTACTGTTATTTTTGCTGTTAACAATTTAGAAGCGAAGTTATTGATCGTTAAGCTTGATATTTAATAATCTTGAAACAACAATTTCATATTTTTTTAACGATGTTTTTGCAAATACTGAAGATAGCTGGTTACTGTCTTATACATTACATATATACTCTTTTATTTTAGTTTACTAATGAATAAAGTACCAGTTATTAGCATACAGACAATTTATGGACAAGTTTCGGACTTCTTGAACTACGTAGTGAATTTTATTATGGTCAACGTGAACGGTGACGTCACTGAATACGTTTGAGGTTAGATCCAGGTCTTGACTCTAAATTGCCTATGAAATTTACATGGAATAGCAAATAGAATTTTCTTGGACGAATTTATTAAATTATTTATTATAATAAATTGCTTATGACGATCTTTATACCGAAAAACTTAGTTTTTAAAGGGAAATAAGAGATTTTTTGACGAAATATTGTTTTGAAGCAGTTTTATTTATTATTCGAAAACAGAAGATATCTGACATGTTTCTCAAAAGTTTAAAAGGAACTGCTGTGAAAAAATAAAGTTATTTCGTTTTTTTTTAAATTAAGACCAGTTCATAACCTTCAAAATGACGATGTTGTGCCTTACTAATGTGGCGTATATAGAAATTTATGCAATATTTGTATAAAGTTTCAACAGGAACTTTACACGAGGCTACCAGAAATTGGGAAAATCTGTTTTTTTTGTAAATTCACAGTGAAAAAGGTAGAAAAATTGTTTAAGAAGAAGATAGGTACCTAATAAAGAGGATACACAATAATATCTTTCATAAAATCTACATTAGGGATCAGACAAGTACCATATAGTAACAATTATGCTAGGAAAATCTTCACTTTTCATCGTCGACTTTATTGCTGTAAAAAGTGTTCATTTTGTATAAACATTTTATTAGGAAACATATTTTACCTCTCCTCCGGGAATACCAACGGTGACAAGATCACCCTTCGTTCCTCTGATTTCACCAAGCACGAAACCCTCCTTGTCGTCCGGTACCCAGCAAGATTTTTTGGCATCATAGGGCTTAGTCTGGTCAATACGTTTTTGTTCGAGAGATACGAACAAGTAGGGGGTGGGATCTGGGTCGTCCCCTTCTTGTTTTTGTGGTTTAGGCATGGTGTACGGACTTAGTTGGGGCTATCGAGACACGTAATGCAGCCCTAGAGCCTTCCTGTAAATCAAAAAACACACATTATAATTTTTGTTTCTTAAGTATGTTTTAAATTACAAAGATTCGTGAAAATACATTATTTTTGCTTCGATTCGTTCTATTTAATAAGTTAAAAGGGTAATATGTATTTTTATGTTGTTGCAGACAAAATCAACACTTTTATAAATGTATTATGTATTCAATAGTCTACAAGACGTTCATACACAAAAGGTAGCTGATTGGAATACATTGCTTGAGAAAGTGACTTTAGAAAAACGAAAAAATAAAAAATGTATTAACCATGAAAGATGGAAACTAACATACCTTGGATATAACAAAACATGAACACATAACATTGTTTTTTAATTTCTATAGACTATCGTCAACTTTTCATACTTGGCTGAAATACCAACTTCCTGAGAAGAGAAAATTAAAACTTTTTGTTCTGACGAGGCAGACGTTTCTGACGTTTCAGCAAGTAGACGACATTTTGTGGAGATTAAAAAATAAAATTGGGTTTGTATTTTGTTTTTTTAGTGAACTTACATTTTTCCTCAAGTAACTACCAATTTTATTAATTACTTCAATATGTAATGAGGTGAGTTATTTGTACAAATTGTATAAAATATCATCCAAGGAAAGATTGTGAGAAAAATACCTATATGGACAACTAATAAGAACATTTGCAAGGTTTTGATACTACTTTTAGTTAAATATTATGTTTTTTATGGGATTAAACCACACTTCTTGGTTGTCATTGTGATGAAAATCACATTTTTAAACAACTAATATTTGACATTTCGATTGACACTTCGGAAATCGTTCTTAAAAAGGGTTTTTGGACAAATTATGTAAAAATGTGTATAACCAAAGATTTTGTTGACATACTTAATCTAGATCTTGTAGGCTAACAGCCCCTAGTGGCTACAACAAATTTTGAGGGTGATGGTGCTCCTAGCGTAAAAACACAATCCTCAAAATGTATTGTAGCCATTATGGCTGTATGCCTACAAGATCTAGGTCAAGTATGTCGACTACGAAATGACATAACCAAATAATTGTGGCTTAATTCCATAAAAACATATTATTTAATAAGAACATTGTCATGGTTGTAAAACTTAAGAGAACAGTTTAATACAACTACGAATATAGCTCCAATCAAGTATTTTGTACAGATATACCTAGGCTATATCTCGGACAGATTAGACGAGAAGACAGATGCATCTTGCTCCAACGCATTCCACAGGAACCTATCGAATTAACCAAGGAAGAGAATAGTAGGAAGACATACACTGTGCAACTGTGCACTGTGAGAGAGTGATACGAATATAAATCAAATGAAATTTTTAGAGCAACATCACAATTGTTAATCTTCTTCGTGGAGATGGCACTTGCAGAAGATACTTTGAGTCAAGAAAAACTAATTGGTTTATACTTTGGCGATGTGATTGCTGATATAATAAAAAATATAGATAGAACAAAATGACCATACATATTTTAAAGCTTGATTAAGAGCATCAAAGCATAATAAAGTTTATTTTGGTGACAAAATCGATCTAAAACCAGAGAAGAAAGACCCAGAAGGTAAGAGACATGTGTTAAAGTGTGTTATAGGGAAAAAATATTAAAAAAACTCGATCATTGAAGTAAAACACCAAATAAATTAAAAGATCAGAACGTTTTCTGACTAGTCAGTCCAACTTCAGTCATCTTTTGTAGCACTTGCGCAAATAACAGGAAACCAAACAGTAGATGGTTTACATTGATGAAACCATACTTGAAAGTATACTTATACGGCAGTATGCCGATGAAATTGGATTAATAACTGGGAACTGTCGGAATAGAAAATGTTAACTGTCGTTAGTTGTAGTCAGTTGAATACCAAATGAAAATATTTGAGAGAAAGGCGAAATAAAGAAAGATCTAGTTTGGAGAAACGATGAACGTTTAGAAGATGTGGGAGAAGGCACATGAGAAATATTGACCAATTTCTTCTGTTTTATATTGCAATAATATTTAGTTTCATACAACGATCAGTACGAAAACTGAACACTATAAAGAGTAGTAGATAAAAACAGTATGACAATGTTAAAAAAAGTTCCTAACTGCAAGATGATTTTTACTATACCAAAAACTGATTAAATAGTTTTTTCATCGAGTTGACACCTGTACTTTACAATGTTTACAGTGTTGTTTTATCTTATATATTTTCACAAATCTTTGTAAATTTAAAGAATGTAAAGCAGCCTAGAACTAAAAACATTCATACACTTTCTTGTTAGTTTGCAGGTTATTTTAGAATCAGTTTAAAAATAAACCCGGGAATATGTTTTCACATCTGTGTCTATTTTTGTAAATAAGTGCTGGATTAAGTCACATTAATTTTAGAAAAGTTCCTGTTTATATACAAAACAAATTGCCTGATATATTTGCTTCCGACAAATAGAATGTTTTATTAAATGTTTAGCAATATCGTTATTTTAAACAAATAGGTGTAAGATTAAAGCAAACTAAATGTATTCAAATATGTTAATGATTTAGATCATTCTATGATTCTTTAATTAATATTTAAGTCATTCGTCTAAGAAGGAGAAGACAATTAGAAAAGAAGCTGAATTGCCTTCTACTGTTTGTTACTCAGAACTTATTACAAAAACACTTGGCATAAGTCCTTTCTTAAGACATCTACCTTCTAGTGAACATGAACCTCTATCATTGATTACAGTTGCAAGAAAGTGGGTAGCGCACGTATAAACGGAATGGTGGAGTAATTTACCAGGACAAATACAAAAAGACTAATAAGCAAAGACAAAAGAACAGTCACAGCCATAGTGGATCTGCTATCAGGGCTGAATAGGCAGTTGAAGCTGGTGGGATTGGCAGATGGTTAACTATGCAGATTCTGTGACCTAGAAGAAAAAACAGCAAAGCACATTTTATGTCAATGTGACAGCCTGGTAAACGTGCTGCTCTTTGCTTTACATGGAAGGTTCAGTCTTGAACTAAATGGTAGAGCATCATAATAGATTTGGACACATCGCAGAGATATAGGCGAAAAGCTAACTTATTAAATCTATCAATATGTCATTGATATCTGTGTCCTTGTTCTAAACTTTTCCCATCCATGGTAACTTTGAAGTAATCAATTATTGTGTTACTGGTTGTCCATTTCTTGTCCTTTTTATGTTCTTGCAACAAGTATTTTGTACAATGATTGCTCCATGTATCCATTTTTGATTTACTATGAATTGCATAGTATTTGTAACAAAAATTTTAACACGATAATCATCAAGAGGTTAGACAATTAAATTTTTTACATTAAAAGCTTTTAAGAACAAGATTAATGTTTTAACCTAATATTATAACAAAATGGAATAAACAACGAAGAAAAAAAAAACAATAATTTGACTGGTTCCTTTTAGATTATAGGAAGCTAGATCTGCTAGACCGAATATGGATGTAGGATATATAAAAAAGAAAAAGATCTTACAGGTCACAGTGTGGAAAGATCTTCGTGAAAAATTGGCTCTTTTGACAACTACCATCTACTGATAGTTCATATAATGCTTTGATAAAGTAAAGAACTGCAAACGAGTTATTAAACAGGTCATGCTTGAGCTTCAGATAAAAAACTAATCATCTTAAAACCTCAACAGAAGAGGAATAAATTTAAAACTCGTAAAAGTGATGTTTACCAAGTTTTTTTGCACCCCTTTAATTCATTTCAAGGTTGGACTATTGAGGTGTTACATTAGCTACTATTTTTTTGGAAATACACCACAATTAAAACGCGAAATATATTTTTTTAACATTTTGTAATGCCAAAAATAATTTTTTAAATGTAATTGTGGTATATTTCTTAAAAATATAGCATCCACAACAGAATAGCTTGAGTTGAGACCCACATTAAGATGATAGGATACAATTTTCTTATAAAAATGTCAATGAAAATAAAAAATTCTGAAAGAACAACTAAAAAATTTGATTATCACAGAAAATATCTTAATTTTAAATTTAATCAGAGATATCAATTAAGTAAATAAACAAAGTTGGATAAATGCAAATGTAATTGAAGTTAAAAAATTGAAAACACCCACTTACTCAGTAAGACCGAAGATGTAAGACCGAAGAAGTCACAAAAAAGAAAGTAACTGGGTTAGATGTAACCGACATCAACACCACATTGTAGAAGGACTTGTGTTTCTATATTTAGCAAGCTGTGAAAATAGATTAAGAATGTGGCACACAAAACGATACGCCGAGTTGAATCCCTGCCTAAATATAACCCGACATAAAAGTCCAACTATTTGGCAACATTGCCATAACAGCGTAAGTATTACGTAAGCCGAGAATTGGCGCTCTTTGGAAAAAACAAGAATTCGTTTTGGAAAGAATAGGATGTTTAACTGGTGTAGATTACATGAAACAATTAATACAACTATGGTTTTAAAAGAATTTTGAAAATGATTTCCGATCTAGAAGTCGAAACGTTGATACATAATGCATTATTCAAATTATTCGTGATGTTAAGTTATTTTTTAAATTACATTTTTACCTTAATTAGTTTGTTTATTGTTAAAGTTTTAGATTGGAGAAAAAAATTGGTAGAACGGAAACTATACAATGTTTCCAACTTTTTTCTTGTCGCAGAATGAAAACATTTTAAAAAGTTTATTTTACAGCTCAAATTTCGGCTAATGGATTAAGTTCACAGTCACAAAACCGATAGTGCACTCACAACTTATTTTTTTTTGTAGAAAACACAACAAATATATATAAGCAATCAATTCAAGCTGTTACAAGAATACAATAATAGACATAGGAAAGTTGAAGGGTATTTGAAACAAAAGATAACATAATTAATAATGGCTTAGGTGTAAAATGCTATGGGTAAACAATTATGACGAAAAAGAAACAGAATGAAAATAAAAAAAAATAGCTTGAATTAGTTCTAATAATAAACAAAAATATGTATAAAAATTCAAAATGGCTGATAATGACGTACTAATAAGCTTGGGGTGGGAATATTTAATGACGATATTGTACAAGGTTATCCTTTTTGGTCAGTCCTTGCTGTTAAAACGAAATAAAAGTTTTGATTGACGTGTTAACTCAAATATTGTTAAAAGGAGTACAACTTGATGATAAATTTTTAAAATGTTTTTGATCTTTGAACTTTTTTTGATTTTGTAAAAAAATTAGATACTTTAAGCAATTTCGTCACGTGTTAGCAACTTTTGTTAAGTATGATCTACTATCTACGTATCTATTTTGACATTCTATGTCATACTAGCACTTGTTAATGGCTAAACTACGGTTGAGGAATGTTACACAAACCACTTCTTTTATAAATCCAAAACGTCTATAGCGAATAAAATTCACATCACACAATTGCTAGTATGACACTGGAATGACAGTGTAATCACAAATCACTTGATTCACAAAAAGTAGCACAGTCTTTGGTATTAAAATCCTTTTTATAAATTGGGGCACACATAAGCAGCTAAGAGACACACACATCCAACGCACTGGTCACTTACGTTCGAAAGGCGATCTGGACGAGATTTTCTAAGTCACCACAAATATAAATGTGTGACACTGTATCCTGTAATGTAAAACCTCCGCGTATTGGTCGAATCCAGGCGCCAATCGGGAACGGCGTTACAAGCCGGGACAGGACCCTTTTTAGGCGCAAGTTGTGTTAGAGCGGGCATCGAGTAGGCTAGAAATACATTCAACAAGTCTTATTTTAGGTTATGGATGGCTGGGGGGCAAGGAGCCGATTTCAGGATAGAGAAGTGGGGAGACACAGGTACATTCACCTAGTACTACACATTTGACGATCGGCTTTTGAATAGAGAAATTCCTGCTTGTCACTTATTTCAAACACCGCTCCACAAATTTGTACAGTTGGAAAAATGGTATTTTAATATTTACAGTGTTCTTTGAAAACCGGTAAAATGTTACTTTAAAAAGTAGCTAAACTTTGTCGACAAAAAAGTTTTGAGTAGAATCGAAACATATCTAAGGAATCTTTTTGTTTTTGACATTTTCACACACGTTAGTCATTATACTCACTTATTATATTTTATTTTCTTACTACACTTTCTCTGATACTTCTTTTTAAGCAATTTTGATGCTTTTATATATATCGTAGTCTATAATTTAATTAAATAAAGTTTTAAAACGATCGCAAAGAAATAATATGCATATTATAACTTTATTTAAATGTAATACTTGTTAATTAAACTATTTTTGTATATAACATGTACAGAAATCTTGCTTTTTGTTCTTTTTTATTAAATTTTTGTTCTTGACCCCATTTTCAAAATCCAATCTTTCTGTATATATAGTTTGTGTATGCCTTTTTTATCATTTGCAAGACGTATATTTAATTTTTTTCTATCATAAATTTTTTGAATGATAACTCTAATATATTGGTATGAGGATTTATTGTAATCTATCTGTCTGTTTTTATTTTATTATCTTTTTTCTTCCTCTAGCAATTGTAATCGCTAAATTTATTGGTGGCAAATTGTGTAACTGACGAGGTGCTTTTGGCTTTTGTTGGTCTGTAATTCCCATAATCGCACCATTCTTATATCCTTGAACAATTTAGCTTATTCATATTATTTAAGATACATTAAACTATATTTAACAAGATGCATTTAATAATACGTTTATACTTTTCTTCTACTTTTTTATTATTCAATGATTTATTCTCCAAATAATAAAATAAAAACCCATCCAGGGTTGTTTGTTTGTCCCATTGTTTTCAGTATTATTTTTGATCTGCATCTATCTTGTTAAAATTTTTGAGACGTGTGATACGTTTAAAGAAGGCTTTAACTGGTAATTTTGACTACCCATAATCTTTAAATATATTGAGACAGTTTAGTTTATTTTCAAATTAAAAGATTATAAATGATTAACGGCATAAATTTCTTTTGTCAAAAAATAACTAAACGAAATTTCTATTATAATTATTATAATGTCAAAAATTTCTTTTTAAGAATAACATAATAATGTTTAGGGTTACCTATACAGAGTGTTCAATTCCGAATTTTTAATAAAATTTGTGTTTGCATTTCTAAGGTGATTTCAGTTTATTTTTGGCAAATATATTCCCAACAGATTCAAGAGTTTTAAAAACAATAAATTGTAGTTTATATTTGGGCCGTTGTATTAGTTATGATCTATTTTTTATTATCTGGTTCTAAATCATTAGATTGACAAATGTCAAATCGCTGTGTCAGTCTGATCGTGACTCAATGTCTTGTTCTATTCTTGTGCTGTATTCTTTAGGTTAAGCTAAAATGATATTTCTAGTTTTCGTAGAAGAAGATCTCATCTGTTTGTTGTTTTATAAATAGTAAAATTTTTCTTCTTTTTCTCTTTTAATTCTATTTAGGCACACTGCTTGTTCTCTTCAGGTTTTTTTTATTCTGTTCGAATAAATTCTGTTGTTTATATTTTTATTTCAATGGAGTTTGCGTCTGTACCTGTACTTGACTTTTGTTTTGGCTTCTTTGTATACAGAAAACATGAAAACAACATTATATCAGTAAAAAGTTTCTCTTAAAGTAGCTGACTTAAACTTTACCCTCTTTTATATGGATTTATTTTATTTTTGACAAGATAAAATTATATTCATCATCATCAATCAGCCAATCGCGTCCACTGCTGGACAAAGGCCTCCCTCAGTTCTTTCCAGTGTCTCTACACTGGGCCGCTTGTAGCCAGTTTCCCGCTATACGTTTAATGTCATCGGTCCATCTAGTCGGTGGTCGTCCTCGGCTTCTTTTATAATTTCTGGGCCTCCATTCCATAATACGTCTTGTCCACCGTCCATCTTGTGTTCTGGCTAAGTGCCCTGCTCAGTTCCACTTAAGCGTCGTGGTTCTTTCGATGACGTCTTGAACTCCTGATCTTCGCCTGATTTGTTGGTTTGTTATGTGGTCTCGAAGGCTCACGTTCAGCATTGCACGTTCCATGGCTCGTTGTGTAACTCTAAGTTTATTCGCAGATTTTTGCGTGAGTGTTAAAGTCTCTGCTCCATAAGTTTGTACAGGTAAAACACATTGGTTATAAACCTTTCGCTTGAGACACATGGGAATTGAACTTTTTAGAATATGGCTTAATTTGCCAAATGCTGCCCATGTTAGACCTATTCGCCTCTGTATTTCATGTGTTTGATTGTCTCTGCTTATTTTGATTTCGTGTCCCAGATATTTGTAAGTGTCTGTTTGTTGTATGGTATTATTGTCAATAGTTATATTTCCACTCATTACGAGATTTGTTATAAGTTTAGTTTTCTCAAAGTTTATCTTTAATCCTGCTCTTTCAGACAGACTTTTAAGCGAATGCATCATAGAAACTGTATCATGTAAGTTATCTGCGATTAATACAACATCATCTGCAAACCTTAGGTGATTTAATCTTTCTCCATCTATATTGATGCCCATATCTTGCCATTGAGTACCCATTGAGTATTGACTCTAAAGCTGCCGTGAACAATTTTGGTGAAATATTGTCTCCTTGTCTAACTCCTCGACCTAAGCTGAATTTTTCTGTGTCTTCGTGCAGTCGTATACTTGATGTAGCGTTCTGATAGATGTTTTTGATTAGTGTCGTGTACCTGTAATCTATTCGGCTTTAATTTAGGGCTTCCAGTATTGTTTCAAACTCTACAGAATCAAAAGCCTTCTCGTAATCGACAAATGCAAGAACCAGTGGTATGTTGTACTCGATGCACTTTTCTATTAAGATCTTTATGGTATGCAAATGGTCATTTGTGCCATATCCTGCCCTAAAGCCTGCCTGTTCTTTGGGCTGATAGAAATCAAGTTTAGGTGTTAGCCTCTTTGTTAAGATTTGTGAAATGAATGTGAAAACTGATCTATTTGTACATATATATTGGGTCTTTTGTCTCTATTCTCCGTTCTCGAAGTTGTCCCTTGAAACGATCATTCCTAAAATATGTTGCATTGGCTAGAAGAATCCTTCTTGGTGTTCCTACGGTGTTTATAAAATTGTCGATGTTTCTTATTATTTCTTCCCCTTTCGTGGTACGGCAACTGTATAGTTTTACATATTTGGAAAACACATCTGCCATAACTAAAACATGTTTATTCCTCTTCGTCGTCATAATTAGATCGCTTAACATATCTATTGCTACAATATCTAATTTGTTCCGGGATATAATATTTTTTGTAACGTTTTAATTTTTGAAATTTCTAATTTTATACTTTTGACAGATCTGGCACTTTTGGGTAATTTCTTTTGCAATGCGGTAATCTTGTCGGCAAATATAATTTTCTCGAAAAACCAGCCAGACTTTTTTGCTACCGATATGTCCATTGTCTTCGTGCAATTTTTTTACAATCTTCTCTGCCAATATTTGTGTCACCAAATATAGTTCCCTTCCGTCTATTCTCTTGAAGTATATGTCGTTTTCTATTTGCTCTCTTCTTTTTCTCTTTCCTCTAATTCTCCTTGGTCTCTTCTTATTTCATTTAATGAGAATACACCTTCTTGTGTCAAGATATGTAGTCCCACATGTAACGTAATTACTTCCTTTTTTCCTGTTTCTTCATCCCATGTTAGCGCGTCGGCTATGATATTGTCTTTTTCTTTGATATACCGGAATTCAAAATCGTACTCCTGTACTAATAGAATGCCTCTATGTATCCGATTATTCATCAATCGGTTCTTCATGATGTGAACCAAAGCGGCATGATCCGTCTCGATTGTGAATTTAGCTCCCAATAACTAATATCTTAATTTGTTTACACAAAATAGCACACTGGCAAATTCCAATTCTGTCACACTATACTTTCGTGAGTTTTGGTTACCCGAGATATAAAACATATTGGCACTTCTTGGTCGTTTTGTATCTGTGACAAAACTCCTGCAAACTTTTGTATTGACGCATCAGTTCGGAGTATAAATGGTAGATTATAATTGGGGTGGTATATTTTTGTTCCTTTTGCAAATTCTTGTTTTAATATTTAAAAAGCCTTCTCCTGTTCTTCTTTCCAATTCCATTTTTTCCCTTTCTTCAGCAGTTTTATTAGAGGAAATTCCTTTTGGCTTAAATCGGGAATTATTTTTTTAAAATAATTGATCGTGCCAAGAAAACCTCTCAATGTTTTCAAATTACGTTGGTCTTGGATATTCATCAATGAGCTTGACTCGGTCTTCGGCTAAGCTAACTGTTGTAGTGTCCAATTGGAAATCTAGATAAATTAGTTCCTTTTGGAAAAATTGACATTTTTCGATGTTTAATTTTAATCCCGCTCTGTTCAATTCTTCCAGAATTATTTTTATATGTTTCATATGGCTCTGTACATCTCGTGAAAAAATCAACACATCATCGATGTAATGGACTATGAAATCTTCGTATCGATTTAAAATAGAATGTAAAGCCCGTACCAATGCTGCATAAGCGCTTTGTAAACCAAAAGGCACTACCTTGAACTTGTATACAATACCATCAATTGAGAACGCGGTATAGTTTCTACATATTCAGCTAAGGTATTAAC